TGCCTCTGTCTGTCTCTCTCTGTGTCTGCCTCTGTCTGTCTCTCTCTGTCTCTGCTTCTGCCTCTGTCTCTGCCTCTGTCTCTGCTTCTGCCTCTGTCTCTGCCTCTGTCTCTGTCTCTGCCTCTGTCTCTGCCTCTGTCTCTGTCTCTGCCTCTGTCTCTGCCTCTGTCTGTCTCTGCCTCTGTCTGTCTCTCTCTGTGTCTGCCTCTGTCTGTCTCTCTCTGTCTCTGCTTCTGCCTCTGTCTCTGCCTCTGTCTCTGCTTCTGCCTCTGTCTCTGCCTCTGTCTCTGTCTCTCTCTGTCTCTGCCTCTGTCTCTGTCTCTGCCTCTGTCTCTGCCTCTGTCTGTCTCTGCCTCTGTCTGTCTCTCTCTGTGTCTGCCTCTGTCTGTCTCTCTCTGTCTCTGCTTCTGCCTCTGTCTCTGTCTCTGTCTCTGCCTCTGTCTCTGCCTCTGCCTCTGCCTCTGCCTCTGCCTCTGCCTCTGTCTCTGTCTCTGCCTCTGTCTCTGTCTCTGCCTCTGCCTCTGCCTCTGCCTCTGTCTCTGTCTCTGCCTCTGCCTCTGCCTCTGCCTCTGCCTCTGCCTCTGCCTCTGCCTCTGCCTCTGTCTCTGTCTCTGCCTCTGCCTCTGCCTCTGCCTCTGCCTCTGCCTCTGCCTCTGCCTCTGCCTCTGCCTCGGCCTCTGCCTCTGCCTCTGTCTCTGCCTCTGCCTCTGCCTCTGCCTCTGCCTCTGCCTCTGCCTCTGCCTCTGCCTCTGCCTCTGCCTCTGTCTCTGTCTCTGCCTCTGCCTCTGCCTCTGCCTCTGCCTCTGCCTCTGCCTCTGACTCTGCCTCTGCCTCTGACTCTGACTCTGCTCTGCCTCTGCCTCTGCCTCTGCCTCTGCCTCTGCCTCTGCCTCTGCCTCTGCCTCTGCCTCTGCCTCTGCCTCTGCCTCTGCCTCTGCCTCTGCCTCTGCCTCTGCCTCTGCCTCTGCCTCTGCCTCTGTCTCTGTCTCTGCCTCTGTCTCTGTCTCTGCCTCTGTCTCTGTCTCTGCCTCTGTCTCTGCCTCTGTCTCTGTCTCTGCCTCTGTCTCTGTCTCTGCCTCTGTCTGTCTCTGTCTCTAATAACATGTGTTCCCTGTGCCAGAGCGGCCGTACGTGAAGGACCAGGCGGCGGTGGAGAGTCTGCAGGAGCCGATGCTGGACGTGTTGAAGAAGCTGTGCCTCCTTCATCATCCTCTGGAGCCGCAGTACTTTGCTCGGCTGCTCGGACGCCTCACGGAGCTGCGCAGCCTCAACCACCACCACCACGAGATCATCACGTCCTGGAGGAGCCACGAGCACAAGTTCACTCCGCTGCTCTGCGAGATCTGGGACGTACAGTGACCTCTGACCTCTGATGGGGACCTTCCCCCTGTGACCTCAGAGCCACGGGGGGCTGGTGGAGGTGGAGGGATAATGGAGGTGGAGGACAGAACCTGAGGGACTTTCAGGCCAAACCCTGTCCCTTCAGAACAGTAAAAACACTGGACTTCTTTAAGCTAAATAAACTCATTTTTTAACGTGTTTTCATCTCTTTTGTTAATGTCTGGCAAAAGATTAAGCTCCAATCTCAATAAACAGAAACAGACAAATGATTCATTTGCAATATTTTTACAAAACTATGTAACATGTTATTTATTACAAAAACACAAAAAGCATCACTGTAAAGTTTACGTATAAAAATAGCTTTATTGAACTAGCAGGACTACAGTCAGAACTACTGCTTTATATGCACTATTCTTTTGGAAAAGTGTTCTATAAATAGCTATGGCCGTGTGTCTGTGATGTCACAGCGCCCTCTTGTGGCTAACAGTGGTATAACAGCAGTATGGTCCCTGAGACTTTATAGATGAGTTCTGTCCTGTGTGCTGGATGCACTGGTGCTGTGTGTCTCAGGATGAACCATGTGTGTCTCAGGATGAACCATGTGTGTCTCAGGATGAACCATGTGTGTCTCAGGATGAACCATGTGTGTCTCAGGATGAACCATGTGTGTCTCAGGATAAACCATGAAGCCAGAGAAGGTGGTGTATCGGCCCTGGTTGCTGTACACAGCGTAGCGCTCGTCCTGTTGGCTGTAGAGCCAGACCGTGTCCCCGCGGCTCAGAGACAGCAGCAGGCTCTGACTCTGCATCTCTCTCCTCTTGGACGTGTCCTCGTCAAACACCATGGCCTGGACGTCCCCCTGCCCCGTCATCAGCTTCACCGACACGGCCTTCCGCGGGTGTTTGCCCACAGTGAAGGCAAAGTAGTAGGCTCCTGGGAAGGAGCAGGTGAAGACGCCAGAGGACCTGTTGAAGTGGCCTCCTATGTTCACATACTCCACATCGAAGGTCAGAGCAGGCTTCAGCTGCTGCAGGTGGCTCTGTCCCAGGAGAGTGGAGGTCCGAGCCACAGAGAAGGCCGAGCGAGGCCTCTGCTCAGTGTGAGGAGGACAGTGAGGCCTCTCTGTGGAGGAGGACAGGTGGTTACTGATGTAGGAGGTCTGAGGATAGACCAGATACCCAGAGAAGGTGATGTATGGCCCCATGTTACTGTATAAGGCATACTGAGGACTCTGCTGGACCAGCAGCCACACGGTGTCCATCTCCTTCAAAGACACCATCACACTCTGACTCTGCACTTTTCTGCCTTTTTTGCGGTAATCATCATAAGCTATGGCCTGGACCTCCTCTCCATTCTTCACCAGAATCACTGACAGAATCTTCTTTGGGAATTTCCCCACAGAGAATGAGAAGTAATAGGCTCCTGCGACACGGCAGCGGAAGAAGCCAGAGTCAGGGTTGAAGTCTCCTCCGATGTTCACCATGAGGCGGTTGAAGGTCACAGCTCTCTGCTTTCCTCCCAGGACACTGCTGCTGCGAGAGGCAGAGAACGCAGACTGTAGACCCCGGGTCACAGGAGGAGGGTTCAGGACCCACACCTGCTGAAGGCAGAGGCTCAGGAGGAGGAAGGTGCTCAGACTGCATCCTGCGCCCCAGGATCCTGACACAGAAACAAGGGAAAGTTATTGTGATTCATTCAGACATGAGTCTGCAGTGGTCAGTGAGGCAGAAGCTCTCGGATCCAGAGTGTGAGAGGCCCTGATGTTGCTGATATGGTCTGTTCTTTCTGTGCAGTGAGAGAAGAGGTTCATTAGCAGCTGGTTCATCTGCTCCACTGTGTGCAGCACAATGGAGCATTTAGAGTAAAGCCCAGAGATGTGTAAAAGCACAACAACCTCATCAATGTGAGAATACATCTGAACTATCTTATTTAAACACAATGTATGTCAGATGTTTTAGTTTGTAAATGTTACTTTTACATATAGACTTAAAAGGTTGCTTCGTTTTTAATACATTCAAATCAAGCAAAACAAAGCAGTGTCATTTTAGTCACGGTTCTACTTTGTTCCCATTGAATGTCTTACATATGATAAATGGCTTACCTCTCTGTCTGCTCTGGTTCACCTGCATCGTAGATCTCGGACTAAAGTTTCCTGGAGTTTCTTTGTGGTTGCGAGTGTCCTGCTGCCTCCACATCACAGAGAAACTCTCAGAGTAAAATGAGCCCTGTGTCCATCCAGACTAAAGATACAGACATATCTGGAGGGGGCGGGGCTTCACATCCCCATCTGCACATTCCACAGTTCTGGACAAACTACACCCTGGAGAGATCAGGGTAACTGTGCATTTATTCTATTTCGTCATTACTAAACGTGACTGTTTTTCATGCAATGACTCGCAAAGAAGTGTGATGAAAATGTGAGGTGGTAAACTTGGATTTTTGATTAAATTACGACAGACTGTAGGTAAGGACCAGGAATCTATAATAATATCGCTAAGGACACGGATCATAAAGCGCTCTGTCAAAGCCCTGTTCTCTGCTGCAAATATAAAAATATAAAATCTTCAGACGTTTCATTGATACGTGACGGACCCGGAAGTGCAGCTGCTGTCAGTCTGGAGCTGAAGCATAAAGATGCAGAAAGGGCAAGCACGATTTGCGACTCACGGCAACTTCCGGTGACTCGCGTGACTCAGGCGCTGTGAGCCGCGACTCAGCAGCCAGAAGTCGTGACTCACGGTTAAAAATAACACAATTCTTTGCTTCTCAGGGGTATCTGGGAATGATCAATGAGACAATATGGATCTGGAGGCATTGTTTACAAGTAATCAGTATGTTAGACACTCTACATCAGCTAGTATGTGTTTGTATAGCAGTCCATGTCCGTTAACCACTGACTCAGGCGCTGTGAGCCGCGACTCAGCAGCCAGAAGTCGTGGCTCACGGTTATCAATTTAACTTTTTAGGGGTATCTGTGGATTATCAATGACACATTGTGGATCTGGAGGCATATATTTACAAGTAACCAGTATGTTACACACTCTTGATCATCTGGTATGTGTTTATATAGCTCTCCATGTTCGTTAACCACTGACTCAGGAGCTGTGAGTCGCGACTCAGCAGTCAGAAGTCGAGGCTCACAGTTAAAAATACCACAAATCTTTGCTTTTTAGGGGTTTCTGGGAATTTCTATTGAGACAATATGGATCTGGAGGCATAGTTTACATGTAATCAGTATGTTACACACTCTTCATCAGCTGGTATTTGTTTGTATAGATCTCTATGAACTGTTCACCACTGACTCACAGCTCCTGAGTCGCGGCTCAGGAGCTGTGAGTCGCGGCTCAGCAGTCAGAAGTCATGGCTCACGGTTAAAAATACCACAAATCTGTGCTTTTTAGGGGTATCTGGGAATTATTAGGGGCAACAGTGACTCAATTGGCAGAGCTTTGGTCTTTGGACCTAATGATCGTGGGGTCGTGCCCCCACAACCACCTGCTCCCACTGAAGCAAGACGCCCCATCGTGGTATCTTATATACAGTCATGGGACCTCATGAATGAGTATGAGTACAAGTATGTGATAACGGCACAATACTAATATTGGTATTGGTGCATCCTTAGTAAAATAAACAGACTATAAAAGAAATGTCAGGTTTACAGTCATAGTGCAAGTGGTTGATTAAGTGATACAGGCCTAAATACAGATTATTACATGTATTTGCAGGGCTTATTTCATATTCTAATGAAAAATACTTTTTAGGAGTATTTATGAATTATTAATGTATCTGGATGAACATTTTCCATGTCCTCAGTGCCTCATACATACTTTACCAGCTGATATATGTTTGTATTACTCTATTGTTAACAAGTGACCTACGAGACATAAGTCAGGACTCGTCTGCTGACACCAGGGGGCGCTGTCTAATCTCATGTTGAATCCTGCACGACGTTGGACATCTCGCTTGCAATTTAAATTTCACCAAAATATTGAGGTAAGTTATTTTGTTTCGTTTTTTGGAGTCTGTCTTTTAATCATTTTAAAGGGCATGAAACTTGTGTAAAATTCCTTGGTTGTAATTCTGTGGCTTCAAAGAATACACAAAACTTGCAGATACAGAGCAGAGTGTATACTCCATAGGACAAAAGATGAGGCAAGGTGTATAACACAGGTTTGGTCACATAAGAAATAAATAACTAAAAAACCACTGAGACATTATTATTTGTTATTTATTAATAATGCTAAAGGCATTTGAAAAAATACAAACAATACACAAACAAACACAATTATAAAAGCCACTTGTACCAATTTGTCCTTATAGTAAAATAATGTGGATGACAAAGTGAGCCAAGAACCCAGAGTAGAGATTTCTTTGTCTTTGAACAAACACAAACATCAGGGCATTTCATTTAGGGCATTTTCATTCTAAAAAAAATGATTATTGTTAACTTTGGAGGATAGTGTGCTGAGGTGGACTTACTATTGTAAATAGAGAATTAAAGAGAAAGACCCTAATGACATAATTTTATATGATCATGTTACCGAACCCAGATGTTCAAAATACAGAATTCAAGTAACTTCTGTTGTGGTGAAATGTTTGAAGATGCTTATTTGAGCCTTTGGTGGCCCAGCGGCTGTATGACTGCTGCACGGCACTTTCCCTCATAACTGCCTCCGTGATCATCCTGAATCAAATGTTTTAGGGTTTCCAAAAGTGTAGCTCCCTTATACCCTTTAAACATCTGATCCTGGAGCATTATACAGGATACAAATGCAGTGGAAATACAGGTGTCATGCTGCAGCCATCAAGACATGTTTTTCTCCTTAATGCCTCTTTTCTCTCATTTCTTTTCTGTGCAAAAATTAAGTGTAGTTAACCGGTTATTCTTGAATTACAGAACTACTGAGACGACACATCAAGATGAGCCACACACAGAAGAGAAGGAAAACAAACTTTATAAAAAAATGCACAACGTAATTCACTTTAATAGACCAATTATAAAGAATAAAGATTTGGTTTAGGTTTGATACATTTCAGTTTTGCACTTGGCTGTAGCTAATACATTTGCACACATTGCACTATAACATGAACATTTGTTTCCCCACAACCACATGAGCTGTTACTTTGTCTCCCAATACAGGAACATATACAGCTCAGTCATGAATAGCAGCAGAGTGGTGCCGCACATCACTGGAAGGACATGTTGAGCTACGTGCTAATGTGTAGAATAAGCCCACACCTGTTCACTGTCAATCAAAAAGGTGTTGCTGCGGGTTCGAAGTAGTAGGGTCATTCTGCGACCTGCAAGACAGAGGCGTGTCGTGAACTAGGCGTGTAAACTATGCCTCCAGGTCCATATAGTCTCATTAGAAATTCCCAGATACCCCTAAAAAGCAAAAATATGCTGTATTTTAACTGTGAGCCACAACTCACAGCTCCTGAGCCACGACTCACAGCTCCTGAGCCACGACTCACAGCTCCTGAGCCGCGACTCACAGCTCCTGAGCCGCGACTCACAGCTCCTGAGCCGCGACTCACAGCTCCTGAGCCGCGACTCACAGCTCCTGAGCCGCGACTCACAGCTCCTGAGCCGCGACTCACAGCTCCTGAGCCGCGACTCACAGCTCCTGAGCCGCGACTCACAGCTCCTGAGTCAGTGGTTAACGAACATGGAGAGCTATATAAACACATACCAGATGATCAAGAGTGTGTAACATACTGGTTACTTGTAAATATATGCCTCCAGATCCACAATGTGTCATTGATAATCCACAGATACCCCTAAAAAGTTAAATTGATAACCGTGAGCCACGACTTCTGGCTGCTGAGTCGCGGCTCACAGCGCCTGAGTCAGTGGTTAACGGACATGGACTGCTATACAAACACATACTAGCTGATGTAGAGTGTCTAACATACTGATTACTTGTAAACAATGCCTCCAGATCCATATTGTCTCATTGATCATTCCCAGATACCCCTGAGAAGCAAAGAATTGTGTTATTTTTAACCGTGAGTCACGACTTCTGGCTGCTGAGTCGCGGCTCACAGCGCCTGAGTCACGCGAGTCACCGGAAGTTGCCGTGAGTCGCAAATCGTGCTTGCCCTCTCTCTAAAGATGGCAGGTCTGCCCCGCAGGATCGCTAAGGTATAATGTTGTTCTGTACTTGTCCAGTCCATCAGGGCTTCTCTTTGGAAGCAACATGTATTTTAAGGCTATTAGCTGTGTAACTCTGCTCACCGCCCGGGTTTCTCTTTAGCATGCTAACAGTTAGCATGCTCGTTAGCTTGTTGCTAACGTGACTTTACTGAATAAACTTCCTTTTAACTGTTCGGGTGGATATGTGTGGGGAAATACACGGATATTTTTAATAGTTAATAAATAAAGGGCATAGTAATAATATTTATTCGACGTATTGTTATGATAAATTGATACAGTTTGAGACTAAATAGTGCTAGCTAATAGGCTAAGTGCTAACCAGGGCTCGTCTGAAGACTCAGACCAGTTCCACCGCCCTCAGATCTGGAAAGACTGGTTTACTTTGGGGCCAGAGCTTCTGCTTGGTCCGTGGTCTGATCATAGTTTATATTTAACCTTAGTGTTTAATTATGTTATAGTTTTAAACGGTTCATGACTCAGAACAGGATGGTTTAAACTGCTTCACTTGGACTGAGAACATTTAATATGTGTGAAGTTTATGTAAATAATCACATTATTTACATATTTGTATGTAAATATGTGTGAGCTCCCGATGCTGCAGCCTCAGCTCCCAGTGCTGTAGCTCCCAGTGCTGTAGCTCCCAGTGCTGTAGCTCCCAGTGCTGTAGCTCCCAGTGCTGTAGCTCCCAGTGCTGTAGCTCCCAGTGCTGTAGCTCCCAGTGCTGTAGCTCCCAGTGCTGTAGCTCCCAGTGCTGTAGCTCCCAGTGCTGTAGCTCCCAGTGCTGTAGCTCCCAGTGCTGTAGCTCCCAGTGCTGTAGCTCCCTATGTGATTTCATTGCAGCGTTGTGACAGTGGGAAATAAGATAAGAATTCCTTTATTCGTCCCACAGTGGGGACATTTCGATGTTGCAGCGCACAGACAGGACAGTAGTGAGAGCACACAGGGATCACACACAATATATACAAATAAGTAGTAGCTATGTTTCTTAACTAACATAACTAGCTGTAGATGCTGAAATCTGAAATGTTTAAAGAATTTCAATAAAGTATATTTAACCCAACGACACTTGAATATTCATCTCCAACAGCTGCGGACATTTAAATAATGTTTAAAATGATCTGATGCTCGGTTTGTGACGTCACTGATGTGAGCTGAAGGAGGAGCACATCCTTCACTTCTGAACATTGAAGAAACCTCTCACGTTTTCAGGAAGACTGTTTTAGATTTTAGCTGCATGAATCTGAAATGATGCCTCCTCATGTTTAGTCCTGACTCTGGGACCAGGCCAGTCCCTGTGCTCCTCAGAGTCTCAGCAGGAGGCCAGTCCCTGTGCTCCTCAGAGTCTTGGCAGGAGGCCAGTCCCTGTGCTCTTCAGAGTTGCAGCAGGAGGCCAGTCCCTGTGCTCCTCAGAGTCTCAGCAGGAGGCCAGTCCCTGTGCTCCTCAGAGTTGCAGCAGGAGGCCAGTCCCTGTGCTCCTCAGAGTCTCAGCAGGAGGCCAGTCCCTGTGCTCCTCAGAGTTGCAGCAGGAGGCCAGTCCCTGTGCTCCTCAGAGTCTCAGCAGGAGGCCAGTCCCTGTGCTCCTCAGTCCCTTCATGGTGGTTTGTGTGTGTCCAGGAGACTCAGCGGTTGATGGCTGAGCCGGTTCCAGGCATTAAAGCACTTCCTGATGAGAGCAATGCACGTTACTTCCATGTGGTCATCGCGGGACCTCAGGACTCTCCGTTTGAAGGAGGAACCTTTAAGCTTGAACTGTTTTTACCAGAGGAATATCCCATGGCTGCACCTAAAGTCCGCTTTATGACCAAAATATACCACCCCAACGTCGACAAGCTGGGGAGAATATGCCTTGATATTTTAAAAGGTAAGTCTCAGATCAGCACAGACACTGACTCTTTATGGAATTCTGAACACTATCATCCAGCCAACTTGAGCTCTGCCTGTATGCTGTAGTTTGTTTAAAATTGTTGAAGCTCTAGAATTCAGCAGTTTCAATTCAATACATTTATCGCCCTAAATCACAGCAGCAGTGTCTCTGAGGACTTTACAAAGTTGTGGATTCTCCAACAACAGATCAGAAAATCAAATAGTTACAATAATAACAAACACAGACATTGGTCCAAAGGATCAGAGAGGAACCATCGTTATTTTACACTGATGTTTGTTTTTGATTCCATATGTCACTAATGCAGCTGGTGAGATGGTAAACCTTAGTCATTCAGCCAACTTCAGCGCCAGCATGGCTCATTTTAAAGCTCAGAACTGCCTGAATCCAGTCCGAACAGTTTTCCAGTCTGGGTTGTTGGCCCTTGGAGCCTGGTGAACCGAAATGTTTGCACAGCCCAGAGCCCCGAGCCCGTAGCCCGGAGCTAGCTGCCTATGCTACAGCAGGAGCTAATGTTGTCTCTCTTTGTGTAGATAAGTGGTCACCTGCTCTTCAGATCCGCACAGTTCTTCTTTCGATCCAGGCGTTACTAAGTGCACCCAATCCTGACGACCCTCTAGCGAACGACGTGGCAGAGCAATGGAAGGCTAACGAAGCTATTGCTATCGAGACAGGTGGGTGGAGCCGGCAGCGCCCCCTGGGGCCTGAGCCAAATGTCTCACTTTTAACTTTCATCTTCTTTGATTTTTCAGCCAAGTCTTGGACCAGGCTTTACGCTGGAAGCAAAAACGACATTTAGAGCAACTGGAGGTAGCCTCATGTTCAGCCAAGACTTCTCCCGCCTCCAGTTGCATATAAAGGACTCTTATCTAAATAATACAATATACATCTATATTATAAACATGCATTATAGTGGAAGTGAAGCAGATGTGCCCACAGGTCTCACACGCAATGAAATAGTCTGGTCTGTCGTCACTACTGTACCAATGCATGGGCTGAGGTTCTGGACTGGACTTGACTTGCCCTTTGATTATCAAAGTCTCACACAGAAATGCTAAATGCAGCGTTAGCGATGCCCGAGGAGATGCAGTGGAAAGATGGACTAGAAATTGTCAACTTTTATGCTTTTTTTTAAACACCGTTTTTGTTGTTTCTTTGCTTTTTGCTTCTGCTTCTTGCTTTTAAACAGACACTGAGCTCGTGCAGCAGCAGAGCAGAGCGGGGGCTGGGTGTAGAATGGACCTTTAGTTTTAGCTCATGTTTTTATGACCTTATCAATGTGACAAACTATTGCTCATACTAATGATTATTATGCCTTGTTTCACCTCTGCTTTTGCTCGGTCTGTTTCTTCTTCTGGCCTCAGTAAAGCTTCCATGAGCTGTCGGGACGAGGAGTCTCACTGAGTCCCAAAGGTCTCTACGCCTGTGTTTTATTCACTGTTTATAAAAGCATAATTTCTCTTTGGGGGAAAGTTGGGGTTGAATAGTTTTCCTGATTTCTGAATGCTATGAATGGTCCATTTGCATCTGTTTATGTTCTGTAAATAAAATCTGTTGATTGATAAGATTCATGTTATTTCAACTTCATTACTTTCATTACTTGCATTACTTTATCTGTCCACTAGAGGGCAGCGCCTCACTGTCAAAGACCGGGACAGAGACTGACCTGAAACTTCATTTCGACTTCAACCAAAATATTTATAGGGAAGATTTATATTGCAGGACACAGAACTGGGAATATTAAGTTTGACACAAGTTCCACTTAAGAATTATAAAGAAACCAAACATAAAAAAATGCCCAAACGAGGTTATATATATTTACTAATATATACTTGTATGTACACATATGTAATAATTCATGTTAGCAGCACATTCTGTCATTATTGCACATGTCATTGCACACAAGCTCAGGGCATCAGTCATTTATGTGTTTATCAAAGAAACGGAGAGACTGAAACTGTCCGTTATTCCACTGAACCTCATCTCAAAGTTATTACATTATTATCACTCTTGACGTTTGACGCGGAAAGGTGTGCGTGCGCGCTCATTGGTCAACTAGCTTCACGCACGCTTCACGCAGTCAGCGGGCTGCACATGGAGACGTGCAGTGCGTGTGACAGAGGGACACATGAAGAGGAGGCTCAGTGAGGAAGACTGAGTCCTGCTCCACATGAAGATTAAAGAGAGGGGGGGGTAGGGGTAGGTGTAGGGGGGGGTTCTCTGAGGCCTTTATTTAAAATCCTCATCTTCATGAACTCTGAGTTTGCAAAAAATTAAATGTAGAAAGTCACATATGACATGATGCTTCATGAAGCTGGTGCCTCTTGATGCTGGTTCTTCATAGTGGAGGTGCCTCATGACGCTGGTGCCTTATGATGCCTCATGGTGCAGGTCCTCCTGGTGAGCAGCAGGTGGCAGCCGCAGCAGTGGATCGTTCCTGGAGGAGGAGCCGATTGCAGCTGGAGACTTTTTGCTAATGTATTCCAATGTGGTGTTTTTACTGGAAATGGCAAATAAACTGAATCTGAGCAGCTGTAAGGGAGATCTACAAGGAGGTACAGTACGTACTCTGAGGTCTACGAGGAGGTACGTACTCTGAGGTCTACGAGGAGGTCTACGAGGAGGTACATACTCTGAGGTCTACGAGGAGGTATGTACTCTGAGCTCTACGAGGAGGTACGTACGCTGAGGTCTACGAGGAGGTATAAAACACTCTGAACTCTACGAGGAGGTACGTACTCTGAGGTCTACGAGGAGGTACGTACTCTGAGGTCTACGAGGAGGTACGTACTCTGAGCTCTACAAGGAGGTACGTACTCTGAGGTCTACGAGGAGGTAAGTACTCTGAGGTCTACGAGGAGGTCTACGAGGAGGTACATACTCTGAGGTCTACGAGGAGGTACATACTCTGAGGTCTACGAGGAGGTACGTACTCTGAGGTCTACGAGGAGGTATAAAACACTCTGAACTCTACGAGGAGGTACGTACTCTGAGGTCTACGAGGAGGTACGTACTCTGAGCTCTACAAGGAGGTACGTACTCTGAGGTCTACGAGGAGGTAAGTACTCTGAGGTCTACGAGGAGGTACGTACTCTGAGCTCTACGAGGAGGTACGTACTCTGAGGTCTAAGTTTGTTTATGCCCTGGTCATCACAGAGATGCTGGAAACATGGGACGACTCTGTATCTTCAGTCTCTGTATCTTCAGTCTCTGTATCTTCAGTCTCTGTATCTTCAGTCTCTGTATCTTCAGTCTCTGTATCTTCAGGTTCAGTGCAGTCACAGCACAACGTTTTAGAACAATCAGGATCAGGATTCACAAACACACTATAACCCTTGGCTTCCCCCAGAGGCCACAGAGGATCAGGAGGATCTGAAAGGGTCTGAAAGGGTCTGAAAGGGTCTGAAAGGGTCTGAAAGGGTCTGAAAGGGTCTGAAAGGGTCTGAAAGGGTCTGAGGGTTCGGATGGTCCCTGTGAGTCACTATGCGAGGGTTTTGGTGGTCCCTGTGAGTCACTATGCGAGGGTTCGGGTGGTCCCTGTGAGTCACTATGCGAGGGTTCGGGTGGTCCCTGTGAGTCACTATGCGAGGGTTCGGGTGGTCCCTGTGAGTCACTATGTGAGGGTTTTGGTGGTCCCTGTGAGTCACTATGTGAGGGTTTTGGTGGTCCCTGTGAGTCACTATGTGAGGGTTCGGGTGGTCCCTGTGAGTCACTATGTGAGGGTTCGGGTGGTCCCTGTGAGTCACTATGTGAGGGTTTTGGTGGTCCCTGTGAGTCACTATGTGAGGGTTCGGGTGGTCCCTGTGAGTCACTATGCGAGGGTTCGGGTGGTCCCTGTGAGTCACTATGTGAGGGTTTTGGTGGTCCCTGTGAGTCACTATGTGAGGGTTCGGGTGGTCCCTGTGAGTCACTATGCGAGGGTTTGGGTGGTCCCTGTGAGTCACTATGTGAGGGTTTGGGTGTAGGGTTTCTCCACACACAAATCTCTTTTTTCATGCCATAGTTTCCAGTGTTTGTGGTTTAAAAGTTATGTCCCTGAGCTTTAACTCTGCTCTCACTCCTTTGTGTCTCACAGGAAGGAAACGCAGGTGGTTCACGGTGGACCAAGCCGTCAGCAAACTGCAGCGCCACCGCCCGGACCACGGCCAGAACCTCCACACGCTCCTAACCAGCCCCCCCTGTGGCCCCAACAGAACCAGCCCCCACCCCTCCTGTGACCCCAACCGAACTCAGGTGTTTACAGTGTGCTCAGTGTGAGGCTGAGAAGGTTCCTTTGGACGAAGAGGGTAAAGTTCTGCTCAGACGTGATTTACTTCCGCCTTCGTCAGAGGAAAACCACATCGTGGACATAAACAGATGGACATGAGAGAGGACCATCAACAGAGACGGGGTGCTTTCACCTTGGCTCACACCTGGGACTCACTTCTCAGTGACCACAGGGGACAGGCCTGAGGGGGCGTGGCCAGTCTGAGGGGGGCGTGGTCAGTCTGTTAGATCTGTCAAACTGACCACATCCGTAACAGCTGATCAGAGACAAGGCGGAAGTCCACATCCTCAAACATGTGATGATTCAGCAGAACTAGCTTCTTCAGAGAACTTTCTAAGCCGTAAACAAAGAAGACATAATGAACTTGTTACATGTGTTTCTCAGAGATGTTACTATTGTTTTAATGTTGTTTTTCATGTCTGAGACAAACTGTTAGAAACTGTTACATGGAAAAAGACTTGTCGCTGCTGTATGTTTCACTGTATCAGTTACAATCACATTGATCTTAAAATGGGTCTTATAAGTGCCTTAAATGCAACTGTGTCAAGGATTTGAATTCAACTATTTTCCTTGTCGATGCAGGAGGGTCTTGTTGGACAGTCCTTCTCTTCCGCCTCCGTCGAGCAAAGACGTGTCTCAGACGCTCCTGCTTCTGACTGCTTGCTATCTCCTGTTTTTGTCTTTTTTTTTTTTTCCAGTTATTTTTATTATCATTTTTTTTCAACAGTTTTTACAACACATTTATATGTATAACATTTATATCACATAAATGTAATCGACAACACGAGACAAAACACAAAAGTGGAGAAAATTATAATAATAAAATAATATAAAAAAAAAAAAAAAAAAAAAAAAAGAAAAGTAAAAACCTGCACACATTCGAAGTTCTATGCAAAAAGAACAAAATATATATATAAAATCAAATTAAGAATGACGAGGTCCATCAAAACTTACTTATTATAATAATCAATAAAAGGCTGCCAAATTGAGTAGAATATTTGTTCTTTCTTTCTCAAAGAATACTTGATTTTTTCCAATTGTAAGAATTGCATTACGTCTCTAAGAAAGTTTTGATGGGTAGGAGGCATGTTATTTTTCCAATTCAATAAAATTAAACGTCTGGCTAGCAATGTGACAAAACACATTATACTGGTCTGTGAGCTGTTCAAATGTATATCAGGAGACACAACACCAAATAGAAACATTATTGGATCTGCTGGGAGTCTAATTTTGAAAATCACTGACAAAGTCTCAATTATTTTAGTCCAATAGACGGTGATGTGAGGACAGTTCCAAAATGTATGTGACAACGAAGCAGGGGCATAGCCACAACGTTCACATGAGGCGTCCACTCCCGGGAACATCCTGGACAGCCTTTGCTTGGAAAGATGCAATCGATGTAGAATCTTAAACTGCAGCAAACCGTGTCTGATACAAATTGAGGAGGAGTGGACCCGCTCTTGAGCTTCAATCCACTGGTCGTCTGTGATATTTGTACCCAAGTCTTCACTCCAAGCATTTTTTATATGGTCAAGCGTAGTTGTACAATCCATCTGTGAAAAATTATTATATATTCTAGAAATAGATCCTTTCTTGAGCGGGTCGTTCACTAACACATGGTTCATAGGATCCATTTCAGGTTGATTAGGAAAAGAGGGAAATGTCGCCTTAGTAAAATTACGTATTTGTAAGTATTTGAAAAAATCTTTGTTATCAATTTTAAATTTGTGTTTTAATCTCTCAAATGTTGGAAATACTTTGTCAATAAAAAGGTCCAGAATTGTGTGCACTCCTTTAAGGTCCCATTGTAGAAATGCATGACCTGAAAATAATTTATGACCTTGATTTCCAATTATTGGTGTTAGGACCGAACAATGATTCCATTTAAAGTGTCTTCTGATTTGAGACCAAATTTTCAGTGAGTGAGACACAACAGGGTTGTGAGTTTTAAATTTAGAAAGATCAGAGGTGTAATGTATCAATGATTTCAATGTATTAGGAAAAAAGGCTTGATTTTCCATCCGTTCCCAATCATGCCTGTGAAATCCATTCCAGAAAGAAATACATCGAATATTACAGGACCAATAGTAGAGCCGGAAATTGGGCAGACCCATTCCTCCTACAGGTTTGGGTCTTTGTAAAAAAGATTTTTTGATCCTTGGTGTCTTTTTATTCCAAATAAAGGACGTAATTAAAGAGTCTATTTTAGTAAAAAAACTCTTATTGATCAAAATTGGAACACACTGAAATAAAAATACATATTTTGGCAAAACATTCATTCTGATAATATTAATTCGGCCAGCAAGAGAGATCGGGAGATTAGACCACCTCTCAATCTGTTTCTCTGTTTGTTTATATAGGTTCACAAAGTTCTTACTGAAGAGGCCAGAGATCTCACGTGTGACATTTATTCCGAGATATTTAAAACAGTCTGAAACAGCGAAGGGAAAAGGAGTAAGCGTGTGTATTTGTGCTTTAGCTTTTGAGCTGATCGGAAATAATATGCTCTTTAGTAGGTTGATTTTATATCCTGACACCTTCCCAAAATCAGATAGCATGGTCATAATGTTTGGTAGAGACAGAGATGGATCAGAGATGTACAAAAGCAGATCATCTGCATACAAGGACACTTTATGCTCCTTGCCTCCTCTCTCAATTCCTTTATAATCACCTGCAGAGCGCAGCAATATAGCCAGAGGCTCTATGACCAGGGCAAACAGCAAAGGAGACAGGGGGCAGCCCTGTCGTGTTGAGCGTTGGAGAGGAAAATAGCAGGAATCCATATTATTTGTATGAACACATGCTTTAGGCTGAGCGTAAAGTAGCCTGATTAAGGAAGTGTAGTGTGGGCCAAATCCGAACCTCGACAGGGCCGAGAAGAGAAAGTCCCACTCGACCCTGTCGAAGGCCTTCTCCGCGTCTAATGAGAGTAGTATTTCAGATACTTCCTGATTTGGATTTTGAGTGTAAATAATGTTAAACAATCGTCTGATGTTAAAAAATAACTGTCTGTCTTTAACAAATCCAGTTTGATCCGGTGACACAATAGTTGGAAGGACTTTTTCTAAACGCACGGCCAAGATCTTTGCTAAAATTTTGTTATCCACATTCAGAAGGCTTATGGGTCTATATGAACCTGGTTCTAGTGGGTCTTTCCCAGATTTGTGAATTAAAGAAATACATGCGTCATATAGCGTTGGAGGTAGAAATCTTGCAGCTAATGCCTCGTTATAAACACTTAAAAGGAGAGTTGAAATTTGATCCATAAAAGCCTTATAAAATTCAACACTGTAACCATCAGGACCTGGGCACTTAGAATTTTGCATGGACTGTATAGCCTGCTTTATTTCTAATTTGGAAATTGGTTGTTCTAATAACTCTTTGTTTTCTAAACTTATAGTGGGTATTTGAAGGTTATCAAAAAATTGTTCCATTAATTGTGGGTCTTTTTTAGATTCTGAAGAGTACAATTTGGAATAGAAGTTTTTAAATGTGTCATTAATTATTTTGGGATTTGTTGTGGTTTTACCTGTTTCTGTACGTATCTCTGTTATTAACCTTGACGCTGCCTCTTCTTTAATTTGTTGGGCCAATAGTTTACCTGTTTTTTCCCTGTATTCATAATTTTTGTGTCTTAATTGTGTCAAAAATGTAGTAGTCTCTGCTGTATATAATAAATTGAGTTCCGTCTGCAATGACTGCTTCTTTTTATAAAGGGCAGGTACGGGAGAATTGGCATAATTTCTGTCAATTTCTTTAAGTTCTTGGGTCAATTTGAGCTCCTTTTCCCTTCGCTGCTTATTTCTTAAACTAGTCAGGCAAATAATCTGGCCCCTAATGTACGCTTTAAACGTTTCCCACAAGGTGGCTCTCTTGATCTTCGGATCATCATTAGTAAGAAGAAACATATCAATTTGTTTATGCAGATTTTCTATTATATTATCGTCTGATAAAAGTGCATTATTAAACCTCCACTTTTTAGTTGAAGGGTCGTGACCCATCTCTATATGGAATGACACTGGACAATGGTCAGATATCACAATTGCCTCATAATCACAGTGCTTAATGTTGGTCAGATATGCATAATCAATTAAAAAGAAATCAATTCTAGAAAACGAATGATGAACCGGAGAAAAAAAAGAGTATTTTTTTGTGTTGGGAAATAATACCCTAAATGGGTCGCTTAATTTATAGATATTCATGAATCCCTGAATGGCTTTAGCAGACTTTGATATGTTGGATGATTTTTGTGATGATTTATCTATTGTCGGGTCCAATACTAGATTAAAATCCCCTCCAATAATCAATCTGTGAGTGTCCATATTAGGTAACGCTGAAAAAAAAGAGACGATAAAAGCTTCGTCATCGGTATTGGGAGCATAGATACTAGCCAAAGTCACCGGCTTATTATATAACTTCCCTGTAGCAATAACATAACGCCCTCGGGGATCAGATATTACTTTTGATGCCAAAAAGGGAATTGTCTTTCTAATAATTATTGCTGCACCTCTATTTTTTACAGGAAAATTAGAATGAAATATCTGTCCAAGCCATTTAGTTCGTAATCGTTTATGATCCTGATCTCTCAGGTGTGTCTCTTGTAAAAACCCGATATCCATCTCTAATTTTTTAAGGTGGGTCAGTACATTTCCTCGTTTAATAGATCCATTGAGTCCCTTACAATTCCAGGAGACAAATTTAACCAAGTTTATATGACTAGATGAGAAGTCTAAAGTATTGTTGCTAGCCATCATTGTTTAGGTGGAAAAATAAAATATTTCTCAATTTAGATTTTTTGGACAACCTCATTTGATAAAAGTCAAAAATATATTCAACAGTAGTGCAGGAAAAAACACAGAACAAACCAAAATTTCTAAAAACAACAAACCTTGCTTTCTCTCTGAAAAACCTTGAGCTAACTACTCCATCAGAACTACAGAGGAAACATAGAATCCCCCCCAAACCGTTGTTTGTGCACTCAGAAAGGTGTGTGAACATTTGACTTACCACTAAGCTCCTAAAGAAAAAAAAAAAAGAATTAAACCAAAATCTTCCAGACCATCTTAAACATATTCTGGCCAATACCTGTGTCGATTGTAGACCAGCGTTTCCCAAATTTAAAGCAGATAATTATAGAAATATATATGTAATAACAAATAAATAAAAACACTTCTATAGTGAAGAAATTTAAAACAATAAAAAATAAATGACTAAAAATCTAAATAAAAATAAATGGCACAAGGGCATACATTTATAGGGTACCTGGTTTAGTGTCCGTTTTTCAGTTTATGCAGGCCAGTCATAACATTACCACGGGCGTCTAAATCAGCGTTCAATGCTCCTCCGATGACGAGGATTTGTTGCGGTTAATGAATCTCTCCACTGCACATGGATCGATGAAGGTCATTCTGGAATCATCAACTGTTATCTCCAGCTTGGCAGGGAAGAGCATTCTGTACTTGATTCCAGCGTCACGAAGTTTGGTTTTTACTTGATTGAAGGCCGCACGTTGTCGTCCTACCTCTGGGCTCATATCCGGGAAGATGTGAACCTGTGCTCCTTCAAAGAAAAGTTTGCCTTTGGTCCGGGACAGTGACATGATCTTTTCTTTATCCGAATAGTAATGAAGACGGGCAATCATGGGTCGGGGTCGCTCGCCAGAACGTGGTTTTGGAGCGAGACTTCTGTGGGCACGATCAACAAGGATGGGACCGTCAAAGTTTTCTTCACCAAGCACTTTAGACAGAAATTTGGCTATAAATATGGTTGGCATGTTGTTTTCGGAACATTTAGGATCCTGATGTTTTGGCGGCGGCTCCTGTTTTCCAAGTCAATGCATTTCTCCTTAAGTTTCTTCTGGTCAGCAGCCAGAGTCTGGTAGGAGTTTTCCAGAGCCGTGAGCCTGTCAGAAGTGTCGCTGAGGGATTGCTCCATGTCCGACTGTGTGACAGCCGCCTCTTTTTGCATTGAAAACAGGCTCTCGACTTTTCCCATTAGCTCGTCGTGAACAGTTTTAATGTCCGCTTTGGTGGTCTCCCGCAGGGATGAGATCTCGTCGCGTATTTCTTTGGTGAGGCCTTCCATCTCTGCCTTTAGAAATGATCGCATTGTGTCTCTGTACGAGTTAAATTCCGCTCTTAGCTCCGTACGCAAAGTACCCAGTGAGATAGGACCGTCTTCTGTTAGCCCCGTGGCGCCGCTAGCTTTAGCACCGTCATTTTTTTCTGCAGTGGTGGCCTGAGAGTCAACCTCCAGAGTCGTTTGCGTGTATTGTCTGCCCTTCCTTTGAGACATTATGATATCGCGGACGTGGTAGTGCAATTTGCTTGAAATTAGCTGGTCTGGAAAATAAAATGTTACTTAAATACACACGGAGCTGGTCTATTGCGCTGCTCAAGCCATGAGACCGGAAGCGGAAGTCCTGTTTTTGTCTTTTTCCTGGAGTTTTGCCACAGACAACTTTTAGCAAGAATGGAAATGGTAAATTGGTCCCTCAACGCAATTGATTCTATCTTTTCAACACGTAAGCGTGGGTCTGGAGAGCCCGAGTGCCCGGACGGGACTTCACCAGCGGGTTATACGCTTGACAGCTGGAACAAGTGGCAGCCCCTCTGTCTGTCGACCCTGTCCATTGAAGATTCGGAAGACGTATATATCTTTGGCTTTTTGGTGGTGGGGATCCTCCTGTTTGGGCTTGGAGCGGTTCTATTCTACCATAAATTCGGAGGCATGGCAGTTCGCAAGATTCACGACCTGCTGGCCAACAAAATTGATGGGATGTACAAGGAGCTTAACCGAGTCGTGGTTGAGAGCGCTGTGGCTGGACAAAGAAGAGTGGTGTTAGTGGAACAGTTGATCAAAGATCTCGCAGCTCGTTCACTTGATGGGCATAAAACTCTGGAATTGAGATTGAATGACATTGTTTGTCACGCTTGAACTCTCTGACCCGGCTTGGATTGGCCCCTGTGTACGGGGTCTGAGGGCGCCGCAATTCGGTTTAATTGGATTTAATAGAATATCTGCCTGTTTTTGACTGCTAAAATGCATACAATATTGTCCCTCGTTACAGGAAGATGTGTTTTTCTCCTTGCTGTGTCTTCCCTCCACTCTTATCTCACATTCCTCGGGCCAAGGCCATCATAATAAATCTGGACTCTACAACAATTTCACACTCTTTCAGTCAGTTCCAGCTTGGATCCCGCTCCCCCCGCCTCCCTCTGATCTCTCCCTCCCCTCCCCTCCTCATTGTGTTTCCGACTCACCCCCTCCCTGACCCCGCCCCCCTCTGACAGCCACATTGGGCCGGCTGCAGAAGGGCTCATCCCGAAAAAAATCCGTGGTTTATACAAAGCACAATGTTTTCTATCCAACTGTCTGTTGTAACCTGTATGTTATTGCTCTCTGCTGTTTATTCTACTGTTTGTCGCATGGCGCCGGAAAAGATGGCGCCGTGGCAAGAGCTCTGGTGTGTGTCGTCTCTGTCTGGCGCACACGGGGGTAGTCTTGCACAGTTTTTCCAATGTGGTTTTACTGCAAATGGCAAATAAATGAATCTGATCTGAGTTAGTGTCCAACAGAAAGGATTGGTGATGATCAGGACACTTTAGCATTCTACAACATGTATGGACATTTTCTTCTGTGTGTGCTTTATATTCTTCATGGGCGGCACGGTGGCTGAGTGGATAGCACTCTCGCCTCTCAGCAAGAAGGTCCTGGGTTCGAATCCCGGTCGGACCAGGGCCTTTCTGAGTGGAGTTTGCATGTTCTCCCCGTGTCTGTGTAGGTTTCCTCCGGGTACTCCGGTTTCCCCTACCACTAAAAATATGTCCAATAGTTCTGGCATATGCCTCCTGTACTGGCGACCCCGCTCCCATCTCTGTGTGGAGTGAGAGACAAATGCCCAAAATTAACAATTGTAAACCGCTTTGAGACTCTGATCTGCAGTGAAAAGGCGGTATATAAATAAAAACTTACTTACTTACTTTATGTGTTTTAACTGTTGATTCTCTGACCTGTGTTGGTGATTTCAATGGTTTTGTTAAGTCCTCTGAGATTACTTCTGTTGTGAACTAGGGCTATACAAGAATAAATTGTATTGTATTGTATTGTATTGTAACTATTTTCTCTTGCGTTAGATTCTGCTCAAATTCATATTTTCTTCTATGACATAACCACATAAATAAACATGGAGTTTGTTCTGGGAGTCGTATGTTTAATATGTGCTCTACACCTGGAAGTGTCTGCAGCAGTTATTGTGGTAATAATGTGTCATAATAATGTAATATGTAACTCGGGGTAGTGCCATACTCCAGGACCAGGCTCCAGGACCAGGCTCCAGGACCAGGCTCCAGGACCAGGCTCCAGGACCAGGCTCCAGGACCAGGCTCCAGGACCAGGCTGCTCCAGGACCATCCTCCAGGACCATCCTCCAGGACCAGCCCATCTGCTGCCGCTGGAGTCTGGTCAGGTGCTCTCTCACAGCGGCTGCACTTCACACCGAACCCTTGGATTTAGGATCTTGGATCTGAACCTCCACAAACAGGACGATGCTCAGGCGAATACTTCAAATGGTGAGTCCCTGAGTCGAGGCGACCTGCTGCAGTAAAATTAACATGTTTTAATCAAGAGCTTCGGCCTGTATATATTGTGGCGTGCTTTGATTTAAAGTACAGCGTGTCGCGGTTGGGCGGTAAACACGATATTACACCGTAACAGCCAATCCAGCCTGAGGGGTCATAACATCGAGCGCACCCAAGCTACGGAAGCTAGTTAGCATTCACAGCTAACAACAGAGGGTTTTGTATTTTGTCGCTGTGATATAAAGCTTCCAGTTGCTGAGGTTTGTGTATAAATGACTACTGTACAAAGAGACACGACTGCCTCAATTAACCATGGATCAGAAACGCTGTGTCTGTGCTGTTAGCGGCTCATGCTAATGTTGATATCTGAGTCACACACATCAGTTAAAGGTTGCAGTTTATTCAGTCTCCCACACACTCATCTTTCATAGTTTGGTTGATGGTTTAACTATGAGAGGGTGAATTAGTATTATGCCAGATTATCTTGTATCAAACTACATGTAATGACGGATTGCGAAATGTCAGACTGTCTTGTTCTCTTCTATGAACTAATAATGTAATAACTTAGACTGTGTTCTACTGTCGCCTCCAGACTTTGATATGGATCCTTCCTGTGGCTCCTGAACTTTGGAGTCTCTGGGTGTGTTGAGGAAACGGCTCTGCCCGATGGTCATTCAAACAATCAGTAGTTTAAGGTTTAGGTACATTTAATTTATGTGGCGCCACCTGGAGGTCAAAGCCAGATCCTGACCTCTGAAGCTAAGCAGGGCAGGGCCTGGTTAGTACTGTGATGGAAGACCTCTGAAGCTAATCAGGGCAGAGCTTGGTTAGTACTGTGATGGGAGACCTCTGGGAACAGCAGGTGCCACAGTGGCTGGGACTGTAAAGTGCCAAACTGAGGTTGTGTCCTTAGGCAAGACACTTCCCCCACATTAGAATGAGTCTGGTGTGTGTGTGAATGGTTGGTGGTGGTGGGAGGGCCGATGGCACAGACTGGTTGCCTCGCTTCTGTCTGTGCCCCAGGGCAGCTGTGGCTACTGTATTTTATCACCACAGTGATTGGATGGATAATGATGTCAACATTGTTGTTAGATAGTGTGCCATAAATATGTTGTGTTATTTATATGGAATAAACATGTTACACAATACTAAACTTCAGAATGTTGTTTCTCTCATCTGTGCCTAATTCTAAATAACAGATTTGGTCTTGTTATTGTTTTACTTCAGACTCCTGGTAAAGGAGGCTCCCAAACTGCTGAGACCGAGCAGCCGAGCACCGAGCAGAACCACGACCAGACCTCTGAGGTACCAGCACTTTAACATTAGGTTATTATATAATAATAATAATAATAATGATGTTCTGCCCAGGGCTTCATCTGTCCCCAGTGCATGAAGTCTCACAACACGGCAGAGGAACTCTTCAAACACTATGACCTGTTCCATGACACCGGGGACCTGCCCGCCCACATGGCGCCCACACGGTGACATCACTCACACGCCGTTATTGTCTGTTTTAACCCTGTGACAAATGTATGAATTATTATTATTTATTTTTCAGGGAAGACCTCACGATGCTGCGACAGGAAGTGCAGGATCTGCACGCTTCTCTCAAGGTAACGGTCTTATTTAATTAGTTTAATCCAGACACAGACTTGAAATGTTGGTCTTCAGGAAGAACGATGGTTTTCTGGAGAACTCAAGAAAGAACTGGACAAAGTTCAAGGACAGCTGAAGCCAGTAATGATCCTTTTAATTAGAGTGATTATGACTTAACCGTGGCAGATTTGTGCTGACTCATGGTTCTTTGCTCCCACAGACTGATGTGCCGGAGGATGAGGGTAGGACACATGTGTTTATGAGCTGTGCTTCGTCACTGGGTCATAACGATCCTCTGTTACAGCGCTCACACGGAAACTCAACCAAGCTGAGACCGAAAAGTTCAACATCACACAGATGAAAGACCTGTTTGAGCAGAAGGCTGCTCAGCTGGCCACAGAGATAGTGGGTGAGTGCTCCTCCTCTTCCTCATCCTCTTCATCCTCCTCCTCATCATCCTCTTCATTCTCCTCTTCCTCATCCTCCTCTTCATCCTCCTTCCCGTCTTCCTCCCCCTTCTCATCGTCAGCGTTTATACAAACTACTCCCTTCTATGATGCAGAGGGCTGTGTGCTTTGCTCCATCTTTTACTCTGTTCCAGATCTTTCCGTCTTCTATCGATAGTTTTCTTAATTTGAGACACTTCAAAATCAGGTCCACCCCCTGGTGGTGGGAGGGTAACTAGCATAAATCAGGTCCGCCCCCTGGTGGTGGGAGGGTAACCTGCATAAACAGTCTTGAGGAACAAGTCAAACAGCTGTGACTCTGGAATGTGAATAATGAGACGTAGATATGTGGCCATACATGCGAAAGCCAGATTCTGTCAGACCTATGAAGCTAAGCAGAGCAGGGTCTGGTTAGTACTGTGATGGGAGACTTCTGGGAACATCAGGTGCCACAGTGGGGCGGCTGTAAAGTTCCAAACTGAGGTTGTGTCCTTAGGCAAGACACTTCCCCCACATTAGAATGAGTCTGGTGTGTGTGTGAATGGTTGGTGGTGGTGGGGGTGGTTATTATTATCTGACCCGACTGTACCTAAGGTTCTGTCCTGAGGTTCTGTCCTGAGATTCTGTGAGTTGTTTTGGTGTTGTTCTGGTCCCACAGACCTGAAGTGTCGGTACGATGAGGAGAGGAGCCTGAGACTGGCGTCCGAGCAGAGGCTGGAGAGACTGAGTGAGCAGCTGCAGAAGGAGATGGCCCAGAACCAGACGCTCCAAACTGAACTGGTGCAGTTATTTTTATTCCTGTCTCCTGCTCACTACAGTCATGTCACTTTGTTTTACAAACTAAAAATAAACTCTGAAATAAAAAATAAAAAAATAGAATCTTCATGTTTTAAAACAAGTGTTTTAACACTAGGACCGCCGCGCTCTAAACATACCTTGCACCGCCCCCTGCGGTCAGTTGACCGCTATGTATTTTGCGCTGATACAGCCTTTTGCCAAATTGATTGTTCACTAAACCAGAACTTGATGTTGCAAAGGAATCGTGATCATAATGAAACTGTGTAAATTATTTGTCTAAATATGCTAAGTAATTGTAATTCTAGCCGAAATAAAAGGCTAAGACGACACATTGTGCGTGTACTGATCCATCAAAATTACGATGACTTTTCAGGCTAGATTTATTTTGTAACTTTGCAAACACCTAAAAGGTTGCTCACTATATGTTATATTTGACTCAGTAACAATATGTAAATTCAAACAATATAAATGATAGTTTAGAAAAGCACAGGACCATAACGTCTTCGCGCTGCTATATGCGTCTACTTCTTACGTCATCTCCAGACTGTTTTCTCTTTCCAGCCGAAATCACCGTGGGAAATATTATCTAGATAATAATAATATTATTCGTATTGACACAAGATCATCAGCTAGGCTACCATCGTCAATGTAAAATCTTCAATTTTACACGGGACACGTTAGAAAGACAAATATATGTATATATATATTTGTATTTATTTGAGACAAGCAGTGCTCTTTATGCTCAGAACAAAATTATAATCATTGCCTTGCAGTGCGCGCTGTGCAGAATAACACACAGTGTTATCTGGATGAACTAAGAATTATATCCTTATTGATATATGAGGGCCGCATCTGCCCCACAGTCGCTCTCCTCCTGCAGTGTCTGCGGGTGACGAGCACTCTGATCTGCACTCTGCCTTGATAGTTCATCGAATTGTTCTATTTTATTACGATATTGTATTCTGCTTTATTGCCTTCTTGTATGTATAAATATAATAATGTAATTGATGATGAATGAAAAGGCAGAATGGAGCGACAGCGCGCACACAGACACCTGCGTATGGCTGGCATTACGCGGGTCATGTGCGTTATTGCTTCTGGACTTGTTACAACACTGCTGTCCGTGCCGTGAATGCACTTTGGGGTTACGTTCAGATTTAGAATATTATAGGTGTTCTCCCCGCTGTCACTTTCTACCTCAAAATGTGACATCTCTCACCTCCGTCAGACTGTTCTCATTCAATGTCTTGAAGCACTGTCAGCGCTTCATACCGTGTACTTGCAGCTCTATTCATTTTGTACTCCTCTCTCTCTCCCAAATAATAATAAAAAAGTCCCTTTAGAGTCTAATGACAACATATTGATACATTTTTATAAGGCGCGAAAAACCCCCGGGAAAGGTTACTATGACAACAGTCGCCCCTGCGCCATGTATCTCCATGGGGAAGCAGAAAGGGCTGTGGTTTAGAAAAGTTAAAATGCGTGTAAATCTTGTTTTCTTTACTTTTTCCAAAACCAAAACACACCAAAATATAAACAACAAGTACCTAGAAAAAGTCATAAAATTTCAACTTCTGGCGTTTTGTTTTGAATACACTAATTAGCATAATAAAGTGAGTGACGGTCAGTTGACCGCTAGGGGCGCTCCTAGTGTTAAAGAACTTCTCACCCCCGCTCCTCGAGGCTTACATCACTCACATTTTCTTTTCAAATCTCCCTCCAAATAAAAATCTACCTAAATGCTAAAACTAATCGCAAACCTGACAATCGATGAAATGCTATTCCTTCTCCGACTCGCTACGGGGGCGTGAACGAGACTGGGCCGTTTATATACCTCTGGGCAGCGGGGCTGCTGACGTCATCTACAACTGCTGCGCCAATGGTGTCACCAGATTCAAAATTCAAGTGTAGTAAACACAGGTCGCCTGCAGATGGCGCCTCACAGACGGTTTTAGGCAGAAAGTTGATCTTTCAACTAATTTTCACCAAAGTGACAAAATTATGACCAGGATATGTAGACAACGCTATTGGACACTCATTTATACGTTTATCAGCAAAAAAAAAAAGGGTGAGTTGTCGTTTAAATACAATTAATTATTATCACTATTATCATTAGTGTGTCTCTCTCTCTCTGTTCTCCCTCTCTGGTCTCTCTCTGGTCTCTCTCTCTGGTCTCTCTCTGGTCTCTCTCTCTGGTCTCTCTCTGGTCTCTCTCTGGTCTCTCTCTGGTCTCTCTCTGGTCTCTCTCTCTGGCCTCTCTCTCTGGTCTCTCTCTGGTCTCTCTCTCTGGTCTCTCTCTGGTCTCTCTCTGGTCTCTCTCTCTGGTCTCTCTCTGGTCTCTGCTCTGATGTTGCGCCCCCTGCTGGTCCACAGCTGCAGCGTCCTGGTGTGGAGGACGTGGAGCTGCTGCAGAAGGAGCTGATCCAGGTTCAGACGTTGATGGATCAAACGACACGAGAACGAGAAAACGAGTCTGAGAGAATCAAGGAACACTACGAGCAGCTGCAGGCCAACTACACCACCGCCGAGGTACCAGAGAGAGACCAGAGAGAGACCAGAGAGAGACCAGAGAGAGACCAGAGAGAGACCAGAGAGAGACCAGAGAGAGACCAGAGAGAGACCAGAGAGAGACCAGAGAGAGACCAGAGAGAGACAGAGAGAGATCAGAGAGAGACCAGAGAGAGAGACCAGAGAGAGAGACCAGAGAGAGACAGAGAGAGACCAGAGAGAGACCAAAGAGAGACACCAGAGAGAGACCAGAGAGCGAGACCAGAGAGCGAGACCAGAGAGCGAGACCAGAGAGCGAGACCAGAGAGCGAGACCAGAGAGCGACCAGAGCGAGACCAGAGAGAGACCAGAGAGAGACCAGAGAGAGACAGAGAGAGACCAGAGAGAGACCAGAGAGAGAGACCAGAGAGAGACCAGAGAGAGACCAGAGAGAGACCAGAGAGAGACCAGAGAGAGACCAGAGAGAGACCAGAGAGAGACCAGAGAGTGACCAGAGAGAGACCAGAGAGAGACCAGAGAGAGAGACCAGAGAGAGAGACCAGAGAGAGACCAGAGAGAGACAGAGAGAGACCAGAGAGAGACCAGAGAGAGACAGAGAGAGACCGGAGAGAGACCAGAGAGAGACACCAGAGAGAGACCAGAGAGCGAGACCAGAGAGCGAGACCAGAGAGCGAGACCAGAGAGCGAGACCAGAGAGCGAGACCAGAGAGCGAGACCAGAGAGCGAGACCAGAGAGCGAGACCAGAGCGAGACCAGAGAGAGACCAGAGAGAGACCAGAGAGAGACAGAGAGAGACCAGAGAGAGACCCAGAGAGAGACCAGAGAGAGACAGAGAGAGACCAGAGAGAGACCAGAGAGAGAGACCAGAGAGAGACCAGAGAGAGACCAGAGAGAGACCAGAGAGAGACCAGAGAGAGACCAGAAAAAGACCAGAGAGAGACCAGAGAGTGACCAGAGAGAGACCAGAGAGAGACCAGAGAGAGACCAGAGAGAGACCAGAGAGAGACAGAGAGAGACCAGAGAGAGACCAGAGAGAGACAGAGAGAGACCGGAGAGAGACCAGAGAGAGACACCAGAGAGAGACCAGAGAGCGAGACCAGAGAGCGAGACCAGAGAGCGAGACCAGAGAGCGAGACCAGAGAGCGAGACCAGAGAGCGAGACCAGAGCGAGACCAGAGCGAGACCAGAGAGAGACCAGAGAGAGACAGAGAGAGACCAGAGAGAGACCAGAGAGAGACCAGAGAGAGACCAGAGAGAGACCAGAGAGTGACCAGAGAGAGACCAGAGAGTGACCAGAGAGTGACCAGAGAGAGACCAGAGAGAGACCAGAGAGAGAGACCAGAGAGAGACCAGAGAGAGACAGAGAGAGACCAGAGAGAGACCAGAGAGAGACCAGAGAGAGACAGAGAGAGACCAGAGAGAGACCAGAGAGAGACCAGAGAGAGACAGAGAGAGACCAGAGAGAGACCAGAGAGAGACACCAGAGAGACACCAGAGAGCGAGACCAGAGAGCGAGACCAGAGAGCGAGACCAGAGAGCGAGACCAGAGAGCGAGACCAGAGAGCGAGACCAGAGAGCGAGACCAGAGAGCGAGACCAGAGAGCGAGACCAGAGAGCGAGACCAGTTATGAGCCTCCTTTCCCCTCAGAGCATTTATATTGGACTCATTAATCAGGCCACGTTCGTACACGTTGTAAGCCTTCGTTAGCCTCTGTTAAGCCGCGTTCAGACCGGATCATGCTGCGTCGGCTTTTAATGCAAAGTCAATGGTGACGCACGTTCGAGCATCAAAACGCACGAGCGTCTCGGAATGCACACATGGACTGCGCGGGGAAGTCGAAGGGGAGGAACTCAGGAGATGAATTTTGCTCAACATTTCCTCGGAACGTTCGTGCAGCAACCAATCAGAAAGCCACAAAGTGGTCACGGGGACATTAGCGGACTGAGCGAGCAGACTGAACATACTGTTAACAGCCAAAACAGGAGCTACATCAGGACTAAACCAGGGTTTACAGTGCTGCATAGTGCTTGTTAACATGTGAGTTTTCATGCTCCCGTGACTTTATGCAACTGCTTCGAGTGTGTTCGCCGATGCGGAAGTACCGTTTAATAATAAAATAAACTTATTGTGCACCTCCGAGAACACATACTACTGTTATATAAAATCCGTGGAAGGTCTCTGAACACGCAAAGCTGCATTATTAGATAAGATCTGTAGACAAGAAGCCGCTAGCAAAACTCTGTTAGCATCAGAGCCCGCCGGCTACTTCCGCCACTTCCGGCGCGCGCCAGGACTTCTGGTCTGAAGACCCCTGCGTCTGAAAACTAGAGAATGTGCGTTTCAGCGTTGGCGATCTGAAAGCACCATTAGTCTTTGTTAGCCTCTGTTAGCCTCCGTTAGCCTCCGTTAGCCTTTGTTAGCCTTTGTTAGCCTCCGTTAGCCTCTGTTAGCGTCCGTTAGCCTTTGTTAGCCTTTGTTAGCCTTTGTTAGCCTTTGTTAGCCTCTGTTAGCCTCCGTTAGCCTCCGTTAGCCTCCGCTAGCCTCCATTAGCCTCTGTTAGCCACTGTTAGCCTCCTCTGTCTCCTGCTCGCTGAACAATCCTACTGTAACCTTTGTCTGTCTCTATTTCCCCTTTCTCCTCATGTTTTCTCTAAACTTTCCCAAGATCCGTAAATTGGAGGTAAAAATGTTTTAAAAAGCTTCCTTTGGTTTCTTTTCACACTCATACTTATATTTAGGACTGAGCTGCATGGTTTAAGAACTGTTTTCTGAGTAATGTGTTAAAACAGTGGTCCCCAAACTACGGCCCGCGGGCCGCCTCTACATCTGCTCCGGCCCCTGAACAATACCAGAGTATTTTCATATTTGGGCTTGTTCTCACTAAAGGGCACAAAAGTGTGACAAAAGGCCAGAAGTTTGATTCTAATTATCCGAAGATATTTGATGTTTTTCATGTTTCCAAACAGAACACAACAAAACTGTTTTATACATTTGACAAGTTTCCTGTAGCGATCCTGTTTATTTTATGTAACGGGCGATGATTCGACGAAATGAGCTTTGTGGAAGTTTGTTACGTATTTTCAGATGTCCACATTTGATTAAGAGATTCTATTTTTTTTTTTTACATAGTGTCAAGGTATCTGTAATGTAAAAGGTGCATTACGTAGTTAATACATTATATATAGGAAGTAACGCGAGAGTTCGTTGTTAGACAGACGAGATCTGAAACATGTTCAGATGCAAGCACTTTGTGTTGCATCTGTTGTATGAAAAAGCGCTTTATAAATAAACTTTGATTGATGTAAGCAGCATGACTTATGCGAGTTGTTAATAAAGCAGACAAGTCGAATTCAGTAAGCTGTGTCGGCCAACAGTTTATTTGACATGGTGTCAGAAGTGCTCTAGGAGAGAACACACGCACAGAAATGGCAAAGTTCAAGCCACCGGAAAACTTCAACTTTGAGAAACCGGGAGAATGGCCGTCGTGGAGACAGAGATTCGCACGATTCAGGTCAGCTTCCAAGCTAAGCCTCGAGGATGCCGACGTCCAGGTTAGCACGTTAATTTACGCAATGGGCAACGAAGCCGAAAATATTTTCAAGACTTTTACCTTCACGGAGGAAGAAGACGAAAATGATTATGAGACTGTCTTGGAAAAGTTTGATGAGTATTTCATACCCAAACGAAACACAATACATGAAAGGGCATGCTTTTACCAAAGGCAACAGAAGCCAGGGGAAATGGCGGAGACATTTATCCGAGCCCTGCACGAACTGAGTGAGAACTGTGAGTTTGGCGATAAGAAAAATGAACACATAAGAGACAAATTGGTCGTTGGGATAAGGGATAAAGACCTGTCCAGAAAATTGCAATTAACTTCTGATTTAACCCTCGAAAAGGCAGTGCTTATGGTGAGGCAAGCTGAAGAGGTAGCACAACAGATAACCCAGCAAGAGCAGCAGGCTCCACTGGCGGTGCAAGCAGTGAAACAAAAGAGGTTCGTGAAGAAAGGAGGGAAACCGCAGGGAGAGAGGAGCGGAGGACAGCGGCACGGCTACCAAGGGGAGAGCAAGTGCAATCGGTGCGGTAAAGAAAAGCACCAAAATGCAGACAAATGCCCAGCAACGGATTCCGAATGCAGGAAGTGCGGGAAGAAGGGGCATTGGGAAAGAAAATGCTTCACAAAGACTGTGAGGGAAGTTAACCAAGGAAATGATGAGGACGAAAGCTTCTATCTTGGTGCAGTGAGTAAACAAAAACAAAGCAGTGCAGAGCAATGGACTGAGCCAATTCACATAGGGTATACACCAGTGAAATTTAGAATTGATACAGGTGCTGACGTCACTGTAATGAACATGGAAACATTCAAGGCACTCAAACCAGAAAGAAAGCTGGAGCCACACCATGGCCCATTAGAGAGTCCAGGAGGAACATTGGACATTATGGGACAATTTACAGCTAGCACGTTACATAAACAGAGAAAGCACATATTCAATATATATGTGGCTAGAGGGCCTACAGTTAATAACTTACTGGGCAGAGATACAGCAGTGGAGATGGGGCTGGTTAAGCGAGTACAGCAGGTGAAGGCAGCAGCCGTCCACCAGGGCACGATGAAGACCGACCCGGTGAAGATACACCTACGTGACGACGCCGTGCCACACGCCGTACACACAGCCAGGAGAGTCCCACTGCCACTCCTTTCGAAAGTCCAAGCTGAGCTACAGCGCATGGAGGAACATGGCGTGATTGTCAAAGTGACACAACCGACAGAATGGTGCGCGCCAATGGTGCCAGTCCTGAAGCCGTCAGGCGCCTTCAGAATCTGTGTAGGGCTCCAGAAGCTGAATGAGAACCTGAAGAGAGAAACTTACCAACTACCTACCACAGATGAGACGCTGGCTAAGCTGGCGGGCTCCACCGTGTTCACATCCCTCGACGCTGCCTCAGGCTTTTGGCAAATACCGCTTCACGAAGAAAGCAGAATTCTAACCACATTCATCACACCTTTCGGGAGGTACTGTTTTACCCGCCTTCCGTTTGGGATTAATATAGCCCCAGAGATATTCCAGCGCAAAATGCATGAGCTGCTAGATGGCCTGGAAGGAGTCGCAGGGTATATGGATGACGTGATTGTGTATGGAACGGACAAGGCCACACATGACAGACACTTGCAAAGCACACTCGAACGTATGAAGCATGTAGGCCTTAAGCTGAATGAAGAAAAATGTGTTTATGCACAACCACAGCTACGCTTCCTGGGCCACATTGTGGACGCCAACGGGGTTCGAGTGGACCCAGAAAAGGTGAGCGCCGTCAGAGAGTTGGATGCGCCCACCAATGTACATGAACTGAAGCGTGCATTAGGCATGATAAATTACATGAGCAAATACATACCAGACATGGCAAATGTCGCAGGCCCACTGTACGATCTCCTGAAGGGGAAGATGGCCTGGACCTGGGACCAGCCACAGCAGCGAGCGTTTCAGCGCTTGAAAGAAGCCCTCGTCACCTCGCCTGTACTGGCCCACTATGATCCACAGAGACCGACCGCAGTGTCAGCGGATGCGAGTAGCTACGGGATGGGAGGAGTCCTGCTCCAGCTGCACGGAGAGAGCTGGAAGCCTGTAGCGTACTGCTCCAGAAGATTAACGGACGCGGAAACCAGGTACGCTCAAATCGAGAAGGAATGTTTGGCAGGAGTATGGGCCTGTGAGCGGTTCCAGAAGTACCTGGTTGGCATGGACAAATTTAGACTCATAACAGATCACAAGCCGCTGGTACCGCTGATAAACAGCAAAGACCTAGACGCGGTGCCTGTTAGGTGTCAGAGACTTTTGATGAGGCTTATGCGCTTCAATGCAAAGGCCGAGTACGCACCGGGCAAAACGTTGGTCATATCCGACGCACTGTCACGCAGCCCGCTGAAGGAGAGCTACAGCACTACGGAAGCAGTCATTGCGAGCCACGTGAACGCAGTGACACACAGCTGGCCTGTCTCACAAAGCAAGCTGGACCGGATCAGGACAGCCACGCAGGAGGACCCACAGCTCCAGCACGTGAGAAAGCTGATCAGGGATGGATGGCCCAAACGAGTGAGTAGCACTTCACACAGTGTTAGAGACTTCTACGACATGAGAGACTCACTGTCTGAATGTGAGGGCCTGATCACGCTGGGCTGTCGCATTGTAATCCCACAGGCCTTGAGACAGGAGGTGGTAGACCGCCTACACGAGGGACATCAGAGCCTGTCCAAGTGTAGAGAACGTGCTCAAGAGACTGTGTGGTGGCCCAAGATGTCAGGGGACATTAAAAGAAAAATTGACAAGTGCAACTTTTGTCTGACAAACAGACGCACTCAGCGCAGAGAGCAGTTACTGTCAACACCCCTGCCTGAGAGACCTTGGCAAAAGATAGCCACAGACATTTGTGAATACAAAGGAAAACAATACTTAGTAAGTAAGTAAGTAAGTAAGTAAGTAAGTAAGTAAGTAAGTAATCTTTATTTATATACCACCTTTCACAGACCAGAGTCACAAAGCGGTTTACAATTGTTATTTTTGGGCACTTGTCCTCTCACTCCACACAGAGATGGGAGCGGGGTCGCCGAACAGGAGGCGCATGCCAATCCTATTATACATATTTTTAGTGGTAGGGGAAACCGGAGTACCCGGAGGAAACCTACGCAGACACGGGGAGAACATGCAAACTCCACTCAGAAAGGCCCTGGTCCGGCCGGGATTCGAACCCAGGACCTTCTTGCTGAGAGGCGAGAGTGCTATCCACTCAGCCACCGTGCCGCTGAGTGGCAGACAGTCTGTCTGAGTAATATCAGATTATTACTCACGGTATCTGGAGATACTACACTTATCAACCACAACTACAGAACAGGTAGTGAGGTCCATGAAAGCAACATTCGCCAGGTTCGGAATCCCTGAGCTTTTAGTCAGTGATAACGGGCCCCAATATACCAGTGATGCTTGGAAAGAGTTTTGCAGGCTGTATGACATTAAACATTCCACATCCAGCCCGCACAACCCACAAGGGAACGGGCATGCAGAGCGCGCTGTGCAAACTGCAAAGCGCATACTCAAGCAGGACGACCCACTATTGGCTTTAATGAGCTACCGCACCACCCCCACCACATCCACAGGAGTGAGCCCGGCAGAAATGCTCATGGGGCGTAAGATTCGCACCACACTGCCATCTCTAAAGAAAAACCTCATTCCAATGCAGCCAAACCGTGACCTCATCCGTCGCCGTGATGAAGAAGCCAAACAACAACAGGCATTCTACTACAACCGGAGACACGGAGCGAGGGACTTGCCACCCTTGCACACAGGTGACCACGTCCTGTCCAAGCTGGACGGGGAGAAGGTGTGGAAAGGTCGAGCATCGGTGCAGCAGGAGTGCGGCACGCCGCGCGCATACCAGGTGAAGTTGCCAGGAGGAGGAGAGATGAGGAGAAACAGGCGTCATCTTCAACAAGTGCCGCCACTGATGGAAGAGGAGAACACAGACTCTGGGCAACCTGCCACAGAGCAAGAGCAAGAAGCACCACAACACGGCTCTGACCAGGGACTGTGTGAGAGTAATGTTAAGAGTCCTACAGTAATACCAGGAGGACTGACAGTGACCAGGTTTGGTAGAGTTAGTAGACCTGTGAAAAGAATAGACATGTAGTTAAGCAACTCAGAGAACAGTGAATTTAAGTTTTATTAAGGATTTAAGTTAAGTTTGAGTTATTATTTACATTTAGAAGTAATCTGAGAAGTACAGTATTTTAAGGTTAATGGGTAAAGATAAGAAAGAAAAGCAGTAACTCTTTTAAGTTGTTTAAACTAACAGGTAATGAGGTTTACTAGTTATAAGTTTATGTTGTGACCCCATGTTATATAAGTATAATAATTTGAGGGGGAGATGTCAAGGTATCTGTAATGTAAAAGGTGCATTACGTAGTTAATACATTATATATAGGAAGTAACGCGAGAGTTCGTTGTTAGACAGACGAGATCTGAAACATGTAAGCAGCATGACTTATGCGAGTTGTTAATAAAGCAGACAAGTCGAATTCAGTAAGCTGTGTCGGCCAACAGTTTATTTGACACATAGAGTAGAAACAAAGTGATACTTTCATATAATCAAGCAATTAAATGTGAAACCAGACCAGATTATTTTTTCTCTAGTTTAATTGTTAGAGAAAAATGGACGGAAACCATCACGTCCGATACACCGTTTTCAAGGGTCATTTATTTGTAATTTTTTTATCAAGTGATTTACTGATGTTGTGTTAACCATGTAAATCTTGTGGGAGTTCATCCGCCGCTTTCTCAGACTGAGGACACTTTATTTTCTATGTAACTGAGTCACAGTAGAATGGTCCAATCAGAGGCTGATTTGGTCGTTTAAAATGTCGCCAAAAATATCTTTGTCAATCTTTCCTTTTGATTTTATCCACACGATCTCTTCAATGTGTCTGTGTTTGAAATCTTTTTTCTAATCTATGAAAGTATATTTAGTTTTTTAGTTATAACCTTTTAAAGTTTAATTGACACTTTACTGTGAACTCACTCATCTGTGTATTTCATCATAAAGTTGGACTTTTGCAATAAAAAGTTCTTTAGTTATGAACTTTTTTCATTATTAACTATTAGTTAGTACAAACTGACCCGGCCCCCATCGAAGAAGGGAAAAGTTATGTGGCCCTCACAGGGAAAAGTTTGGGGACCCCTGTGTTAAAACCTCATCTTTAGGACTAGAGCAAAGTCTCTTTAGTTTTGGCGGCTGATGGAGGGATTCTGTGTTAACAACATATTTAACATTAGAGAAGAAAGACTTTAGCTCTTCATCTGTTTATTCTGTCCATTCCTGGTGTTGCCCTCTTCATTATTGCACCCTTTTATAAAAGTCTAAATTCCTGTGAGACATTACCTTTGATCTCTAAATAATGTCCTGCTGGTCTGAACATGTACATAAGAAGCTATTGTTATATTTATCCTTTTTAATGAAGAAAAATCCCATTGAGATTAAAACCCTCATTTTCAAGTCCACGAGGCGGCAACGTTACACATAAACACAACAGACAGATACATTAAAATTGACAGGAACACATCAAGTAAAACAATTACAGGGGATTGAGGCAAAGGCAGGACAAAAGCTGAATTATTTATGACTATGTTAAAACTCACTCATGCAGCCCTTGTTTATGTGGATACAGTTTGTGTGTCGGTTCTTTTGTGTCTTGTGTTTACACTGTCCAGTGTCATTCTATTATATTCATTAATATTAAATATAAACTTTTGGCAGATGACCATCTCTCAGCTTAAAGCGGAGCTGGGCAAAGGGCCTCAGGAAGCAGCCGTGTACTCACAGCAGATCCACCAGCTCCAGGACCGCCTTAACCAGCTACAGCAACACAACCAGGTACTGAGTAATCAAGGCCGGGGCGAGACCGAGACGAGACCGAGACGAGACCGGGACAAGACCGGGACAAGACCAGGGCGAGGCCGGGGCGAGATTGAGACCTCGGGTCTCTGTCCTCAGGTCTGTATCCTCGGGTCTCTGCTCTCAGGTCTCTGCTCTCAGGTCTCTGTCCTCAGGTCTCTGTCCTCAGGTCTCTGTCCTCAGGTCTCTGTCCTCAGGTCTCTGTCCTCAGGTCTCTGTCCTCAGGTCTCTGCTCTCAGGTCTCTGCTCTCAGGTCTCTGTCCTCAGGTCTCTGCTCTCAGGTCTCTGCTCTCAGGTCTCTGCTCTCAGGTCTCTCTCCTCAGGTCTCTGCTCTCAGGTCTCTGCTCTCAGGTCTCTGTCCTCAGGTCTCTGTCCTCAGGTCTCTGCTCTCAGGTCTCTGCTCTTAGGTCTCTGCTCTCAGGTCTCTGCTCTCAGGTCTCTGCTCTCAGGTCTCTGCTCTCAGGTCTCTACTCTCAGGTCTCTGCTCTCAGGTCTCTGTCCTCAGGTCTCTGCTCTCAGGTCTCTGCTCTCAGGTCTTTGTCCTCAAGTCTCTGGTCCTCAGGTCTCTATCCTCAGGCAGATTCATGTTAAAACCTGGAACAGTCTACCTGAAAATGTGAGACAGGCTTGTTCTCTGACAATGTTCAAATCCAGGTTAAAACACTTTTTAAAGTAACTGTGATTATTTATTATGTTAATGTGATGGTTTAGTTCCGCACTTAGGCCTTGTTTATGAACTGTGCTGTACAAATAAATGAGGCCAATGCAGCTCAGTCGTATAATAACATACAGGTGTTTATTCTAATGTATTTATCTGTGTGTGTGTGTGTCTGTGTGTGTCTGTGTAAGTAAGCTTTATTTATATACCGCCTTTCACAGACCAGAGTCACAAAGCGGTTTACAATTGTTATTTTTTTTTTTTTTTGGGCACTTGTTCTCTCACTCCACACAGAGATGGGAGCGGGGTCGCCGAACAGGAGGCGCATGCCAGACCTATTGTACATATTTTTAGTGGTAGGGGAAACCGGAGTACCCGGAGAAAACCTACACAGACATGGGGAGAACATGCAAACTCCACTCAGAAAGGCCCTGGTCCGGCCGGGATTCGAACCCAGGACCTTCTTTCTGAGAGGCGAGAGTGCTATCCACTCAGCCACCGTGCCACCGTGTGTGTCTGTGGGTCTGTGTGTGGGTCTGTGTGTGGGTCTGTGTGTGTGTGTGTGTGTGTGGGTCTGTGTGTGGGTCTGTGTGTGTGTGTGTGTGTGGGTCTGTGTCATCAGAGACTTGTTTCTGTGGTTAATTATTCACAGCTTCTCTGTAACAGGTCAGACACAAAACACAGGTTACAGTATGTCCAATCACAGTCTGTTTCCATGGAGACCACAGACACATGCAGGAGGACAGGTTATTTGTATAGCACAGTTCATACATAAGGCAAAGTGCTGAACAAAACAAGAAAGAAGCAATACAAGGTTTAAAATAATAAGAAGACAAATAAGAATAATACACTCTATTTAAGGCAAGGCAAGTTTATTTATATAGCACAATTCATACACAAGGCAATTCAAAGTGCTGAACAAAACAAAAAAGCATTAAAATCATAAATAATCACAAAACATTAAAAAGAAAGATAAAAATATAAAATCCCTCAGTTGTAGCACAGCTAAACAGAACTGTCTTTAACCTGGTTTTAAACATTGTCAGAGAGGAGGCCTGTCTCACATCTTCAGGAAGACTGTTCCAGATTTTAGCAGCATGAATCTGAAAAGCAGCCTCCCCATGTTTAGTTCTGACTCTGGGCACTAACAGGAGTCCAGTCCCTGTGCTCCTCAGAGTCCGGGCTGGTTCATATGGGACTAACATGTCACTAATATATTTTGGTGCGAGGCCATGGAGAGACTTGTAACAAGCAGAGCTGTTTTAAAGTCTATTCTCTGAGCCACAGGAAGCCAGTGCAGAGACCTGAGAACTGGACTAATGTGGTCGTACTTCCTGGTTCTAGTCAGGACTCGAGCTGCTGCATTTTGAATGTACTGCAGCTGTTTTACAGCCTGTTTGGACAGACCTGTGAGCAGGCCATTGCAGTAGTCTAACCTACTGGAAACAAATGCATGGATAAGAATCTCCAGGTCTGCTTTAGACACTATGTTTTTGATCCTGGCAATGTTTTTTAGATGGTAAAAAGCTGTTGATGTTACTGATTTGATGTGGCTATTAAAATTTAAGTCTGAGTCCAGTATTACCCCTAGATTTCTGACCTTGTTTGAAGGTTTTAGGGAGAGAGACTGAAGGTGACAGATGACGCTCTCTCTTTGTTTCTGGGGACCAAAGACAATCATTTCAGTTCTGCGTTTAGCTGAAGGAAGTTGTTTTGCATCCACTCACTGATCTGTTGGATACAGTGAAGGAGTGAGATTGAACGGAAGAGGTCCCAGGATCGACCCCTGTGGTACTCCACAGGTCAGGGCCATATGATCTGAGACACAGTTTCCAATCTCCACAAAGTACAGTAGGTCCCATTTCGTTTTGCCGTCTTCACTCACGCTTTTCATGAATCACGCAGCTGCGTGAAACATATTACATCTTATTGCCACAAGGTGGCAGGTTAAGTCCGCTTTAGCTCTGCCAGCGACTTAAACGCTCAGGTATAAGTCTGCGTGCAAACATTATCTGCCTAGTGATACTAAGTTGGCCGAATGGTTTGAGTTGCAGGTTAGGATCCGGGGGATCTGGGTTCGATTCTTGTCTGAGGCAATTTTGGTTGCACACCTTTTGGTTGCTTGTGTGCAATTACGTAACGTTATCAGCCAGTTATCTTCTTTCCTTGTCAAAAGGATTTTTTGCTCACTTCGGGCCTATCAAACGCGGTTTAAAGTCAAAGGATTGACTCTGTAAAACACTGTACTAACTTACTGCACTGTATTGTAAGTACTGTAACAATACAATTGTATTTTACTTTATTACTTATTTTTACTTCTTATTTTTTAATAAAAACACTTCTTCTCAAAAGTTCCTTTCTGACTTCTTCTACAGTATGGGACAGCCAGCAGCAAGTGCGTTATTGAACGTGAAACATTGGAACAAAACAAACACGAGTGTACACTGTATTCTGAATACTTTTACTTTGATTAGCAATATATAGGCTGTGTATAATTACAAAAATTTAAACTACACGTTACATATAGCTACCATTAATTAGGAATTCTAAAATGCACAGGAGTAGCAGATCATATGGCAAACATTTGCATTAACTTGCATATAAGACATTTTAAGCGTCCCGCACATACGCACGGCTCATTTACTCAGCGCTCTTTGCTATTAGATCCAGTGTTTTCTCCAGCGCCTGTGTGGTGTAGCAGGATCATCCAAGACTTTCGCTTGGACGATCGGGGTTCGAGCCCCGGCCAATCCTCAAATTTTATTAGCGGGGGGAGTATATGAATCAGATTACTCCGTTACTGAATAAAGTTGCATTTTTTTCCTGCAGTTTGGTTGGTGCAGATTGTGAAGTTTACAACAGTTTACTACAGTCTAGCAACTATTTTAAATGTGTTGGCCTAATTACTATAAGTATTTTTTATTTAACACTGGAGAAAACGTGCTCGGTTTTTGCTCGCCTGAGTGATAGGCTATGTGAAGATGTTTTGCATATGTGAAGATGAACTGGATTTTTGACATTCCTGTGGACCTGAGCCCTGGTCAATCTAGTTCAATACAGTTCACAAACTAAGCAGACATTCATCAGCCAACTCCATTATATTTGTAAAACACGGAGAAAGAAAGTTTTCCCCCCATCATAAATTTGTATTAGCAATATCGTGAGAATGTGTTTTATGTTTAAAAGTGTCGCTACTGAATGCTATTTCAAAGTAAATGGTATAACTGGTATAACTTTCAAATTGTTAGAATACTCATTTTGAGTAATTGTATTCGGTAGAGTTACTGTACACTTGAAAAACTCCGCCGAGATCGGGAGCGGCATGAGGCTGCGTCAGCCCTCGCTACAACAGCAGCGTCTAAGAGTGCCTTTCTAGTAGCAATTTCTATCTGAAATCTATCTGTCCTAAAGACAGAAGAGCCTGTGCGCCAGCCGCGGCGGCAGGGATAGGCCTGGGTAGGCCGGTGCCTACCAGTTTTTTTCTTGGCCTACTCAAATTTGTTCTTCGCCTCTCAAGTCATTAGCCTTTTTTATTAAAAGTCACAATTTAAATATTGTTAAATTTTTACACAAATGTTGCGTTCTAATGTTTTAAGAAAATATAACCCCCTGAGCGTCATCACGTTCCTACGTTGCTTCAAATATAGTCCTGTTTATTGGCTGAACAATTTTGTCCAATATCATATCACACAGCGTGAAGCTCGTTCCCGAGAACAACAGCTATTCCTCGTCTTAAAGATTGACAACGCTCTCAAAACATTCACAACAGAGCAGCCTTTTTCATTTTAGTTTTAAGACAGTTCAGCGTGAACTTTGTGAGGTAGAGTAGCCAGAGGCCCGGTCCCGTAGGTCCCAGAGGAGGAGAGCGCGGTCAGGCCAGGCTCGCCTCGCACTGATGAGGTAAACTCTAGGCCTGTGTGAGACACACTGTGGGCCTCATGTATGAAACCTGTGTACGGCCAAATCAGGGTGTAAATGAGGCGTACGCAAAATATTACACTTTTCCGCATTTATCTATCTGGACGTGAGCGTACAATACGCAAAAAATATACGCCAGGTCTGGAGGTGGTGTAAATCTATACGCTGATCTCAACCTTCGGCACAACACGCCAAAACACGCATGAAATTCTAGATATAGACAACAATAAACATATTCCCTCTGGCAAAATTATAAGCTGTGTTTTCATTGAGGATCATGTTTCAAAATTTGAATTTGCGCATCAGAAAAAGTCTAATGGAAACACGCAAACTTCGAATAAATCACAGCTCATGATGAGAACCTTCTATTAAATCTGACTTGTGTGTGTATTATTTTGATCTGTATGTTTTTAAAATGTGAAGCGCTTTGTGATCCTGGACAGTGAAAGGCTCTATATAAATACACTTTACGCAACAGGGATGTGTGACCCATCTATTGCTGTGGCAGGCTCTGCGCTGCGTAATTACGCACGGCTATTTGTATTCCTCATTCACATCTGGTAAAGCAATGTGTTATTTCATTAGATTTGTGTAAGCCTCACACAGACACACACCCCAATAACGCATCAATGGTATTGCTCACTCACAAATGTCTCACTGCCCTGTCCAGAGTGCGCAGCGAGTGCCGTGAGAGGTCGCGCCACATGTGCAGAAGTTTTGGCTTCAGTTTTTTTGTGAAATCTGGACCGCAAACGCTCTCTGAAGTGTACAGCGCTTCAATGCGCACTTCTACCCCGAGCCAGGCTGCGTCCAAGACGCTGCAGACGCTTCATTCATGAGAGCCACCGCTGCATAATATATATGAATTAATTCATTCACTCAATCAATCTACCATTAATTAGGAATTATAAAACGCAAATGCACAGGAGTAGCAGATCATATGGCAAACATTTGCATTAACTTGCATATAAGGCATTTTAAGCGTCCCGCACATACGCACGGCTCATTCACTCAGCGCTCTTTGCTATTAGATCCAGTGGGTTCTCCAGCGCCTGTGTGGCGTAGCAGGATTGTCCAAGACTTTCGCTTGGATGATCGGGGTTCGAGCCCCGGCCAATCCTCAAATTTTATTAGCGGGGGGTATGTGAATCAGATTACTCCGTTACTGAATAAAGTTGCATTTTTTTCCTGCAGTTTGGTTGGTGCAGATTGTGAAGTTTACAACAGTTTACTACAGTCTAGCAACTATTTTAAATGTGTTGGCCTAATTACTAAGTTTTTTTTTTTTTACACTGGAGAAAACGTGCTTGGTTTCAGGTGAGAGTTAAGAGGTTAAAAGCAGAAGATTTTCCGACAATGTTCCTAACCCTGCAAAGATAAAAAGGAAGTACAAAAGTGGAATAATTTTATCTTCATAACTTGGTGCTGATTGTGGAGTTGTATCAAAAGTCTTTAACTTGTACTCGAACCCAGGTACTCGAACCCAGGTCCTCCTGCGCCAAAGACTTGAGCTTTATGACTGGGTGTCATAAAGCTCAAGGTGGCACTGCTCACAAGTGCCACCTGGTGGTTTTTTGGGTCATTGCAGCATCACTGGGGGAAAAAAAAATAAAAGACGCGTGTTTTACACGTGAGTCTCGTGCTATTCACGCGTGAAAGGCGACAAAACGAAATGGGACCTACTGTACTTCCTGTCCTCAAGGTAAGACCTAAACCAACTTAGGGCGGTGCCAGCGACTCCAACCCAGTCCTCTAGTCTCTGTAAGAGGATCTCATGGTCGACAGTGTCAAAGGCAGCACTCAGATCTAACAGGATTAAGATTGAGACTTTTCCTGCGTCAGTATTTAGCCGGATATTGTTTGTAACCTTAACGAGAGCAGTCTCAGTGCTGTGGTGGGGTCTAAAGCCGGACTGAAACATATCAAATGAGTTGTTGATTATAAGAAATCTAGTAAGCTGTAGGTAGACAACTTTCTCAAGGACTTTCCCCATAAATGGCAGATTTGAGATGGGACGATAGTTGTTAAGTACCGTAGCATCGAGACTGCTCTTTTTTAGCAGGGGCCTGATGACTGCAGTTTTCAGGGCCTTTGGGAATATTCCAGAATGAAGGGACATGTTTGCTATCTGTGTGAGTGAAGGTAACAGACTGCTCAGAACAGACTTCAGAAATCTAGTGGGTAGTACATCCAAGCTGCATGTGGAGGAGCTCAAACTGGAGATTATCTCTTGGACAGTTTTATCATTTACAGGTGCAAAGTGAGTTAGCTCAGAGAGCCTTTCTGGCTGTTGGATGGTTATCTGTGGATTGGAGACAATGGCGTTTTTGATGCCTTGAACCTTGTCATTGAAAAAATTAGCAAACTCATTGCATTTACATTTGGAAGTTAGCTCTAATGGCTTTTGAACAGGGGGGTTTGTTAATCTATTAACTGTTGAGAACAGAACACGCAGATTGTTGCTGCAGCCTTCAATCATTTCAGAAAAATACCTTTCTCTCGTACTACGTAGCACCCGGTTAAACTCGCACAACTTATCTTTGAAGATCTCGTAATCAACCTGGAGGTTGGACTTGCGCCACTTCCGCTCGGCCCTCCGGCACTTTCTCTTTTGTGCCCTGACTGAGTCTGCTTTAGCCCACGGCGCCTTCTGCTTATTTTTCACTATTTTAACCTTCACAGGGGCAACGATATTCAGAACATTCAAAACACTAGAGGTGACAGAGTTAAACAGTTTATCTACAGTAGAATACGATGCATTCTCAAAGTTTATCATTCCCATAAATAGTTCACTCGTATTTTCATTTATGCGCCTTCTTTGTACAGTTGCAGAGTCAACTGGTGGTTTGTTAGTGAAACACATGTCAAAAAAACCACAGAAATGATCCGAAAGAGCAACATCGACCACGTTTACATTTGAAATATTCACCCCCTTAGTAACTAACAGATCTAGAGTGTGCCCTCTGCTGTGGGTGGGGCCACTTACGTGCTGAGTGAGATCAAAGGATTCAAGTACAGAACTCAGCTCATTTGCATTTCTGTCATCAACATTGTCCACATGAATATTAAAATCACCTGTAATAACCAAACTATCAAAATCTGTGCATACAACTGAAAGCAACTCGGTAAAATGATCGATAAAACTGTGACATGACTGCGGTGGCTTGTATAGGACAATGAAGAGTATTGGAGGAGATTGTTTTTGTTGTATTTTAAAAGACACATATTCAAATGACGAAAACTTCCCAAGAGACATTCTATGGGAGACAAAGTGGTCTCTAAAAATGGCAGCTAAGCCTCCTCCTTTTTTGTTTTCCCGTATTTCAGATTCAAACTTGAAATTTGGTGGTGATGCTTCTATTAAAACTGCATTTCCTGAATTTTGGTCAAGCCAAGTTTCAGCCATGAACATAACATCAAGATTATGAGAACAAATAAAATTATTGATTAAAAAAAGACTTATTACAAAGAGATCTGACATTAGCATTAGTAGCAAGTTTCAAAGTTTCAGTATCAGCGGTTGTGGTCGGCTGATTCTTACACGGAACAAGAATTAGATTTTCCAGATTAGACTGATTAACTTCAGATGTTTTTCTGTAATGTATTCTTTGTGTTATCACTAAGGGAATGGCACAGGTGGCTTCATGACAGGGCCCCAGCCGGGTCTCTCCTCTACCTAGACTGCCAGTGGCTGCGAAGCAGAGACCCTGTGCATCCTAGTGTTTAGAGAAAAGATTTAAAACACCCAAGGACACTGTACAAACATGGGTAAAAACAGAGCAATTAAAAACATTAGTATTATTAAAGTGTTGGGGGGACTGGTCATGTGACTGGTCCTGTGACTGGTCATGTGACTGGTCATGTGACTGGTCCTGTGACTGGTCCTGTGACTGTTCCTGTGACTGGTCCTGTGACTGGTCCTGTGACTGGTCTTGTGACTGGTCTTGTGACTGGTCTTGTGACTGGTCTTGTGACTGGTCTTGTGACTGGTCCTGTGACTGGTCCTGTGACTGGTGACTGGTCCTGTGACTGGTCTTGTGATTGGTCATGTGACTGGTGACTGGTCCTGTGACTGGTCCTGTGACTGGTCATGTGACTGGTCCTGTGACTGGTCCTGTGACTGTTCCTGTGACTGGTCATGTGACTGGTCATGTGACTGGTCCTGTGACTGGTCCTGTGACTGGTCCTGTGACTGGTTCTGTGACTGGTCCGGTGACTGGTCCGGTGACTGGTCATGCGACTGGTCCTGTGACTGGTCCGGTGACTGGTTCTGTGATTGGTCATGCGACTGGTCCTGTAACTGGTCCTGTGACTGGTCCTGTGACTGGTCATGTGACTGGTCCTGTGATTGGTTATGTAACTGGTCCTGTGACTGGTCCTGTGACTGGTCCTGTGACTGGTCCTGTGACTGGTCCTGTGACTGGTCCTGTGATTGGTCTTGTGACTGGTCATGTGACTGGTCCTGTGACTGGTCAGGGGACTGGTCATGTGACTGGTCATGTGACTGGTCCTGTGACTGGTCATGTGACTGGTCATGTGACTGGTCCTGTGACTGGTCCTGTGACTGGTCCTGTGACTGGTCATGTGACTGGTCATGTGACTGGTGACTGGTCCTGTGACTGGTCATGTGACTGGTCCTGTGACTGGTCCTGTGACTGGTCCTGTGACTGGTCCTGTGACTGGTCCTGTGACTGGTCATGTGACTGGTCAGACTGAGGCTGAGACTGAGGCTGAGACTTCTTATAAACTTCCAATTAGAGTCTGGGTTCTGTTGGAAGGTATTTTGGACCATTCCTCTCTGCAGATCATCTACAGATTTGATGGGTTCTGAGCGTGGACAATACTCAGGTCTGGGGCTGAGGCCAGAGCAGTTCCTCTGTAGACGTTGTGTTTTGGTCAATTTTGTGTTGAAAGTGCCACTTCATCTTTGTCGCTGGTTCCATCTCTCTCAGAAAATCCTAAAATTACCACTGTTTCTAAAGAAAGAGAAACATGATTTTGAGTTTGAACGACGCTTTGTTCTCAGGTCATGTCTGAGAAGTTGGAACGTGAAGAGAGCAAGCACCAGGAGGCACAGAAGCAGCTGTCGTCTGAGAAGTCCTCAAAGAAAAACCTGGAGGATCGACTGCGAGAGCGAGAGATGGAGGTCCACGAGCTGCAAACCAGGGCCTCGGCGGCGGAGGCTTCTCTGCAGGAGGCTCAGGGAGAGCTCAGGGAGAGACGGGAGGAGGTGGGGAGGTTCAGGAAGGAGGTCACAGAGCTGGAGGTGAGGCACGCAGAGCTGAAGGCCGAGAGGAAGCAGCTGCAGCACCAGAGAGAGGACAAGGAGAACCAAGGAGCACAGCAGCAGGCCCAGATCAGCCAGGTACCAGACCCAGACCAGAACCAGACCAGACCCAGACCAGCCAGGTAGCAGACCCAGTTCCACCAAGTACCAGACCCAGATCAGCCAGGTACCAGACCAGACCCAGATCAGTCAGGTACTGTAGGTCCAGAACCTACTGACTGTAGGTCCATAATGCTAACGTTTGTCTCTATGTTAGCTTCATAATGCTAACATTTGTCTCCGTGTTAGCTCCATAACGCTAACGTGTCTCCCTGTGTTAGCTTCATAATGCCAACGTGTCTCCCTGTGTTAGCTTCATGCTAAACTGCTGGAGACGGAGCGGCTCTTGGGGGAGGAGCAGGGACGACTGAAGGAGCAGAGAACACTGTCCAGCGAGAAACTCAAGGATCGAGAACAACAGGCGTCAGATCTACAGCTGCAGCTCTCCAGGGCAGAGGAGCAGGTAGGAGAACCCAGGAGAACAGAGGAGAACAGATGAGCAGGTAGGAGAACCCAGGAGAACAGAGGAGAACAGATGAGCAGGTAGGAGAACCCAGGAGAACCCAGGAGAACCCAGGAGAACAGAGGAGAACCGAGTGGAATAGAGGAGAACAGAGAAGAGACCAGGAGGAGGAGATTCTGTTGTATTACAGCTGAAGGAGTGTGTGTGTGTTGTGTTACAGCTGAAGGAGTGTGTGAGCAGAAACACAGATGTGCAGCAGCAGTTGGAGAAAGCAAAGCAGCAGCAGCAGGAACTACAGGGACTTCATCAGAGCACAACAGGGAGACTGAGGGAAGCACAGGTACACACCCACACACACACACCCACACACAATCACGTTTTTGTTACCTGGTGGGTCCCTTTGACAGGGCCGTTCAGAATGGGACCCATAGACATAATCTTTTTTTACTGGGACTACTTTAAAGGCACACCGTGTAACTCTTGGCCACTAGGGGCGCTAGACCTGCAACTTTCACGTTTAGCGCCCCTAGTGGCCACAAGCAACTCAGCACTGTCGCAAAAGTCAACAAACAGTCAGCCGGTGTCTTTTGAGTGTGTATTCAGACAGCATGCACTGGTGTGTGTGTTCAAACTGTAGAGACATGCCTACAGATATTGAGAGACTCTGCTGTGGTCAGCCTCCAGACCGCTGCATTAGAAATCTACCACACATGGACTTCTATATCCTGGATGAGGGAGTTCTGCGTCTAGCTCGTGCTGCGTGGAATGACATCTTTGCAGTCGATGACATCCAGGAACCAGGTGAAGAGCAGCGCTCATACAGACATGCAGCTTACAGCACGATCCCTTTCGCGTTTCCTCTTTTTAGCCTCCTCCGAAGGTTTAAAATTTTTCCTTGCCTCAGCCATGACCAGGAGTCGAGCAGGTGAAAAATGAGTAGCAAAAGCCTTAGCTCCATGAGTATATCAGCGCCTGTAGCCGTAAAGCAAGTCTTTCTTCCAAGTCACGTGACCTGGTGGCAGACGGTCCGTCTGCTCGAAACTTACATGGGCGGTATTTCAAGAGGGCAGCCCCGCTCGGAGCATTGCAAGTGTCAAGCGCTGTATATTGGCCCAAGTATTCATATAAAATAACTCATGTGTCAACTCTTTAGGTCACAAAGTCCGCGGTGTGCCTTTAAGTAATACAAAACAGTCAATAGAAAACTCTTTTGGAATTTTATTTTATTTTATTTTTTTCGAATTGTTTAGTTTAGTTTAGTCTTTATTTGAAGGGACAGTGTACAGAGACATTAAGCTCAAAGACAGATATGTTCTGCACCAGATTATAGCTAAACAGCTAGTTTCCATCTGCAGTCCCTGGTTACATCAATAAAATGCATGGATACAGTAATGTACAATCCTAAAAAATAACTTTGCAATACAACACATTCTCTCTAATACAGACGCACACATTTAGCCTCATACCTGTTTGTTAAAACCACACTTCATTCACAGCATCACAGCATCACACCTACACAATACACATGTCACAACCACACATTCAGATGATACATTAACACATTCAGTACATTTCTCATCATACATAAATCACATACATCAGTTTCTAATCATACATAGATCATATACATCAATTTCTAATCATACAAAGTTCACACACATCAGTCGTCCTGGTCACACACCTCAGGGTTTGTGTGAGCAGCTTTGATTGCTCCATAACCATTTTTTAAGTTCTACTGTAAATGTAGGATAGTCTGATTGACTCTTCAGGTCTGTAGTGAGCTCGTTCCATTCCTTTATTGCTTTATATGAAAATGCTGATTGGGCAAAAGCAGTTTTACACCTAGGTATGCTGCACTGCCCCCTGGTGGAGGCTCGTGTGGTTCTAGTTGTCGCAGAAGATGTGAACTGAACAAAGTGTTTGAGTGGAGCTGGTGCGGTGTTGTTTAGTATTCTGTGAGCCAATCGTATGGATGCATATCTTTGAATATTGTCAAAATTTAAAAGTCTGTATTTTTGTAGAACTAAACAGTGATGGTGATGTCGTGGTTTCCGGTCGAGGATCTTAAGTGACTGTTTGTGCAGAGTTTCCAATGACCTCAGAGTGGTTTTATTTGCCTGGGACCAACAGGTTATACAATAATAAAAACGAGACATGATCATTGCATTAAAATAAGTTTGGGCTCCCTCCAGTGTTAGTGAGTTCCTGATACATTTGAAAGTTTTTATGGTGTATTTGAGGCTAAGGCTCATCTGTTTGATATGTTTTTTGAAGCTGAGGGTGGGATCTAAAATTACACCCAGGTAACGATATTCATTAACATTTTTTACCACCTCCCCTTTTATGGTTATGTTTGGAAACACGGTTGTTTTGTTTTTATTTACAAAGTACATTGTTGCTGTTTTACTTATGTTTAATGTGAGACAGGATTCATGTAGCCATATTGCAACCTTCTCCATTGCTACAGTCAGTTTATTGGCTACTATTTGAGCGTCCCTTCCCCATGTATAGATGACCGTATCATCTGCATACATCTGGATTTTGACATCCTCACATACAGATGGCAGGTCATTTATATACAGTGAGAAGAGAAGAGGGCCGATGTTGGAGCCTTGTGGTACCCCAATATCAGTAGCACTGATGTTGGATGTGGTGTTACTGATTCGGACACATTGACTCCGGCCAGATAGGTAAGACTTAATCCAGGCCAGAGTATTAACAGACAGTTTGAATTTGGTTAATTTTGTAAGTAACGTGGGGTGACTAACGGTGTCAAATGCTTTGCGAAGGTCTAAGAATATTGCTCCTACTACTCCTCCATTATCAAGCTTTCGTTTTAATGTTTCAATGAGTAGGCAGCATGCTGTTTCGGTCGAGTGCTTTGCTCGGAAACCAAACTGCATAGGATGTAACAGACCTTCATCCTCCAGATGTTGTGTGAGCTGTTCAACTACTACCTTTTCTATTGCTTTTGATATAACGGGAAGGATACTAATTGGTCTGTAATTGTTGGCGTCTTGCTTATTTCCTCCTTTGTGTATTGGAATGATAGTGGCTGTTTTAAGTGTGACAGGGAATGTGTTTTCAGTTATAGATTGATTTATCAGTCTTGTTATTGGAGCAGTGAGGGTATCTTTGTATGTTTTTATGAGTAAAGTGTCAATACCATGTATGTCCTTAGACCTAGAGCTTGATAATGTTGAGAGTATTTTGTTAACTTTTGTTTCATTCGTTACTTCTAAACTGAGACCATCATGGCTAAATTCCAATTCGTTGTACTGATTTTGGGGAAAGTTCTTATTAAGGGTTTGCACAGACTGGATGAAATAGTTACTAAAAAAGTTACTAATGTCTAGACTGTCAGTAACAGTAATACCATTAATATCTAATGAAATGGTGTCATTCTTTGTTTTCCCTCTTCCAGTGAGTTTGTCTATGCTTTTCCACAACTGTGTCATGTTCCCTTTAGCTGCTTTGATCATTTCTAGGTGAAAGTCAGCCCTGGCCTTCCGGAGTAGAATGGTGACTTTATTTCGCAAACTTTTAAAAATCATTCGATCTGTATTTAATTTGGATTTAGTGGCTCTTTTGAGGGCTGAATCCCTTTTTTTCATTATATTCCAAATTGTTTCAGTGATCCAAGGTATTTTTATCTTAGCTCCTCTCTCTTTCTGGGTTGTGTTATAGTGTACTTGCTGATAATGTGTTTGATTTTTGTGATTAGACCATCACAAGCATGGTCTGCATTAATCCAATTGACGTCAGTCCATGAGACATTTTTTAGGTCATTGTCGAGCAGGGGTTGGTCTTTTTTGGGGATATGGGGCGAGAATTGTTGAGTACCATGTTGATTGTTATGTCTATATTTTGACAGCTTCCGGGATATCAGTGTGATGTTATGGTCTGATAAACCTGTGAGTAAGTTGTAACTTTTTTTAATGCGATCAGGTTTATTAGTGAAGACCAAATCCAGTAGGGTTTGACAGGAGGGCGTTATTCTTGTAGGATTGCTTATCACTTGTGTCAAGTGTAGTCCATTTGTAATGTCCTTAAGTTTCTTTCTGCGTGGCTTATTTAACCAGTCCAGATTAAAGTCCCCCATAACAATCAATTCTTTGGCATTGTCTTGTTGTTTCAGAATGTCTGAGAATGAACTGAGAAAGGTGTCCTTGGCTGTGGGTGGTCTGTACACCACAATCACCTGAAATGACATTTCTGGGGACAGTGTGATTTTGATTCCCACACACTCAATATTATCAACTGGGATGTTTATTTGTTCACTTTTAATGTTTTCTCTTACATATATCATGACACCTCCCCCTCTCCCACTTGACCTGTCCTTTCTGTAGATCTTGTACCCCGGGACATGAATCAGGGCAAAGGGTGTTGTTGGTGTTAACCAAGTCTCAGATAGGCCGAGGTAGTCCAAGTTAGAGTCTGATAATAGCTGCTGAATTTGTTCCGTTTTTTGCACTACACTTCTAATATTAAGGTGCCCTCCAAAAATTCCCTTTGGCTTTGAGTTTTGGTCCCATAATATTTTTGCATGATTTACAGTTTGAAACATCTTTGTACTTTGCTGTTTAGTAGCAGCTGTGTTTGTGAGTTTATGCTGAGGTCCAGCATCACTTGGTTCAATCGTTCTCATTCCTGTGCTGGTATCGACCGAACGCCTGCGTTCCAGCCTAGGTAGATGAGCGCCGACGTCATCGATTTGTTGTTTTGCTTGTGCTACACGCGTGACGCTGGCTGCTTGACCGCGACCTCCACCACGGACACGGCACAACCCCTGCGAGGCGCGCGGTCCGTGGGCTGCAGTGATGGTTCCCTCGGTCTCCGTCTCCAAACCCCGGCATCTCCGTCGTGGCGCTGGGCGCAGAGCAGGCACGCTCGCAGCAGCCCGGATGGCCACCCCGCTCCATGCTCCACGCTGTCTCGTCCCGCCGGCTGTCAGGCTCGGGCCGTGCATCAGAACCGGGTCGGCACTCGCAGGGAGGACGGAATTGCACGAGTAAGTGTGTTGCTCGGGTGTGGAGTACAATGTGCGTAGTGTGCATACCTGAAGGTTAGCGGTGGTGCTCCTGTTGTTAATATTGCGTCCCTCTGTCACCGGTATGTTGTTTGGACCGGGACACTGGTGGATGTCTCCAGAGAGCAATAGGGTGATGGCCACAATAAACATCAGACTTTGCTGCTGTTTAAGTCCTGTCTTTGATAGTTTTGTGGCTTTGCTGTAGAGATATGGGTGGATGAATGTGGATAGCAGGGCGTGCTTCCCGAAGCCGAAGCGTTTGTCAGCTTCCATCTTGTGAGCATTTGTGAATTTACCGATGCCATTGCAATAACAACAGCCTTCTTTAGACTGACCAGTTTGACTGTTGTCTATATTTTTCATATTGCTTGTTAGTATTGCATATACAAACAGAGCACTGACAACACCTGCCGTGCCTGGCGGCGCCATCTTTTTTCTATCAGTTGTTGGATGCAAACAGTCATCAGGCAGTATCAGGGACAGCGGACAAGACAATTAGGAGCCTCTCACGCATCAGTCACTGGAGCTTTTATTGGGGCTCCTCCGGGCTCCAGCAGCAGCAGCAGCAGCCTCCCAAAGGGCTACGGCTAAATCAACCCTGCCCCCTCCTCAGACATCCCATAATAAACAGGGGGTCAGTCCTAATGCATTGTTTTTGGTCAGAATACAAAAATAAAATGTGAAATTCTACTGCAGTGATTCTATTTTTGACATAGAATTTAATGCCACTGTCCTGTCTTTGATAGTTTTGTGGCTTTGCTGTAGAGATATGGGTGGATGAATGTGGATAGCAGGGCGTGCTTCCCGAAGCCGAAGCGTTTGTCAGCTTCCATCTTGTGAGCATTTGTGAATTTACCGATGCCATTGCAATAACAACAGCCTTCTTTAGACTGACCAGTTTGACTGTTGTCTATATTTTTCATATTGCTTGTTAGTATTGCATATACAAACAGAGCACTGACAACACCTGCCGTGCCTGGCGGCGCCATCTTTTTTCTATCAGTTGTTGGATGCAAACAGTCATCAGGCAGTATCAGGGACAGCGGACAAGACAATTAGGAGCCTCTCACGCATCAGTCACTGGAGCTTTTATTGGGGCTCCTCCGGGCTCCAGCAGCAGCAGCAGCAGCCTCCCAAAGGGCTACGGCTAAATCAACCCTGCCCCCTCCTCAGACATCCCATAATAAACAGGGGGTCAGTCCTAATGCATTGTTTTTGGTCAGAATACAAAAATAAAATGTGAAATCAATTGCAGTGATTCTATTTTTGACATAGAATTTAATGCCACTCCATGTCCGATGTCTAAGGTCATCTGGTGAGGCATTAATGCAGGCCAGGCCAGGCCAGGCCAGGCAGTGAGACTTTCCAGGGACTTCTCCAGTCTGTATGAAAGGAGTCATGGTCTTCTCCACAGCCTTCACCTCAGATGCAGACCATGGCTTTCTTACACGTTCTAGGGAGAGAAATAAAAATATATTAGCAATATACACTCTCAGGGTTAGGACCAAGCAGCCTGGCTGTAATCCCCTACCTGGTACACTTACCAGAAGGGGCACTGCCACTACCATGGGGTGCATCTGGATGAATGGTTGAAGGTTCTCCGCTTGAAGTTTCTTTTAGCCCGTCCGTTTGTGAGAGGATCTCTACTGCTCTCCCTGTTGCACAGAAAATAAAAATACAAGTGGCCTTTAGGGGAAAAAAATCATACATATTTTAATAATATCAAGAATTACCTTCAGGCTCAATTTGTATCTGGTCGAGGCTCTTTCCTTCGAATTCCGTCACTCTTCCCTGCTCCATGGCCATCAACACTTTGCTGATTTTGGCCAGCTCCAGTGTCCCCTCTGGTAGTCTGTAATATTGTCTGTGGATGCGAATGTCATGGCCGAGGAAGTTGGCAAGTATGTCCATCTCATTCTCTTTCATATTGAGAACTGTAGACATAGTAGCTATGTGCTTTCTAAGTTTGGTTGAGGATAGCATCTCTGGATGCACCGCACCACATTCTTTGGCTACCTGCCGTAGGGAGTCTGATCCCCTGATGTGGGTGTCCGCGCCCGGGCGGGAAAAGAAGTATGGGTTATGGTCAGAGATGGAACAGGCCCTTCTGTTCTCCACCAGCACCTCCATCGAAGCAATCATTTCAGGAGTCAAAAGAACCGGCACTTTCCGACTTCTTTTCCCTTTAATTTCAATGCGTTGAAAATGCTGACACAGCTTTTTCTCAAGTTCGGACAGTAAACGCTGTCAGTGGCATCTTTGAAACCTCACCTTCCCTTCTTCGATTGAAAATAATGACCTCACAAAGAGTCAAAACTGCCAGTTTAGACCAATGCTTAGACGTTGGCTCACTTATTAGGGTTTGCACATATTCAGGTCGACATACCTCAATATGTGCATGCATGGCTCTAACGTCCTCAGTCAGAGGGAGCAGGTCCGGAGTGTTCCACTTGGCTTGCCGGAGGGTCTGTAGGGCAGCAGAAGAAACACAGACGTCCCACCTCTTCTCAAAAAGCAGCCGGCTTCGTTGGAGGTTTTTAATAAATAGTTCATCAACACAATGCTCCATTTTTGAGTCACATTCAAGAATATCTGCTAGCTTTCTGAGGCTATGGCCGAGTTTGAGGGCCAAGGATGGAGTCTTGTATTGATTTGTTTCCTCATCATATCCAGCCACAGACCTGACTGCATCAATCACATGGTTAAAGTTGGAAGGAATAAAGAAATCCTTCATTGTTTTCAGTTTCCCTGCGGTTTTTGCTTCGTTAATTAACTTACCGACTTCTCTCATTTTCTGCCTAATGTAATCATGCTTAGTCTTATCATGCCCGTGTTTTAAGTACAGGTGCTCTCCGAGTCTCAGAATCCCCTTTTCTGCTTTGACAACACCCGTGACCTCATCCTGATGCATTGCCGAAATTAAAGACCACAGCTTTTTGCTGATGCCCTCCGGTACAGGCTGGGCTAGGGAGCAGAGGGACTGGACCCTACTTCTACCTGGTTTAGCCTGGTTTAGCCTGGGCATCTTTCTGTGAAAGCCGGCACCTGGCCACATGCCTCCACAGCGACTTTCGCTTAAGCAATGCCCCACAGTCTATACAGTGCAAAAACTCACTGGATTTAACTTGGCAATTTGGCTGTTTAGCTGGGACTAAAGTTCCAATGCCGGCCTTTAAAACCTCAACATTGTGCTCACGGTTTCCACTATTCCTGATCAAATCAAACTGAAGTTTAGGTGCTTTAGATTTCACAGGTAGAGCCAATGCTCTGGCTACGTCACTTTCATTTCCATGTTTTCTAGTCAAATGACGGGACATTTTGTGGCAGGACATTGAACAGTAGAGGCAGAAGTGTCTCTTGCTATAAACTCTGCCTCCATTTTTCTTCTTTTGCAGCTGCATGATAACAATCTTATTTCCCTTTGGTTCGTCACTTTCCGAGTCTTGAAGAAAAGTGTTTTTGATTTTTCTTTTTCCATACTTTTTTACAGGTTTCTTCTTGACAGTTAAATCGTCAGAATCTGAGTCAACTTCATCAATTAGGGACTCTTGACTAAGCTGCACAAACAACAAATAATTTGTAATAATTCTATATAACAATTTGAAGTCATAACTTGTAGTCAGCACTTACCAGTGGTTTGTAAGCGTGCGCTTCAGTGTGCTGCTCTGTGATTGGCTGCAGCCTAATGAACCACACACTTGCACCTTTTCTAGCCTGACACCTGACCGCCTCTGTTGTGCTGCTCCATGATTGGCTCCAGCCTGCTGGACTGAAATTGCCCCAGTGTGCCCTTCCTTGATATCCCGCAATCCACCACCAGGGTTCCGACACATAACACACTTTTTTCAGGAAAGTAAACCCTGCTCCCTGGGTGCTCTTACTGCTGTCCTATATGTGTGCTGCAACATTGAAATTTCCCCACTGTGGGACGAATAAATGAATTCTTATCTTATCTCTCCCTCTGCTCCTAGAACGACCTGGAGCAGGTTTTGAGGCAGATCGGGGACAAAGACCAGAAGATCCAGAACCTGGAGGCTCTGCTGCAGAAGAGCAAAGACAGCGTGACGCAGCTGGAGACAGAGAGAGAGACCCTCTGTCTGAAGATCCAGGCGGGAGAAGGAGAGAGCGCACTGATGCAGCAGCTGAAGGACAAGACCCAGACCCTGCAGGACCAGGTCAGATCACTTCACACCACCTCAGTTCTCCTCAGCTCACATTCACACACACCTGACTCATTCTAATGTGGGGGAAGTGTCTTTCCTAAGGACACAACCACAGTTTGGCACTTTACAGCTGCAGCCGTCCCACTGTGGCACCTGCTGTTCCCATAGGTCTCCCATCACAGTACTACCCAGTCTCTGCCCTACTTAGCTTCAGAGGTCTCCCATCACAGTACTAACCAGGGCCTGTCCTGCTTAGCTTCAGAAGTCTCCCATCACAGTACTGACCAGGCCCTGTCCTGCTTAGCTTCAGAGGTCTTCCATCACTCTCCTCGTCTGTTCAATTATTTGTTGATTTTTGCTAGAGTCGTTTAACGTTCTATAAAAACCATATTTAAAAGTTTAAATTCTCTAAAAGTCTTAGGTGCATTTCTGAGAAAGGACTGAATGTACTTTTATTGTATTTGTTTAAATGTAAATGTTGGATTTTTTTGATCTGATGATGTGCTACATAAATAAAGTGCTTGTGCTTCAGGTGTCGCAGGTGTCGGAGAAACTGAAGAATCAGTCTGAGAGCCACAAACAGGCGCAGGACAATCTGCACAAACAGATTCAGGATCACAAAACACAGCTGCGCTCGGCTCAGGACCAAGCCCAGACCTTAGAGACCTCTGTGAGAGACCTCAGCACCCAGCTGTCAGAGAGCAGGGAGAAGGGGATCCAACTCGAGTCCCAGGTATTGAGACCCAGGACTGAGACTGTAGACCCAGGACCGAGGCTGTAGACCCAGGACCGAGGCTGTAGACCCAGGACTGAGGTTGTAGACCCAGGACCGAGGCTGTAGACCCAGGACTGAGGCTGTAGACCCAGGACTGAGGCTGTAGACCCAGAACTGAGGCTGTAGACCCAGGACCGAGGCTGTAGACCCAGGACCGAGGCTGTAGACCCAGGACCGAGGCTGTAGACCCAGGACCGAGGCTGTAGACCCAGCACCGAGGCTGTAGACCCAGGACCGAGGCTGTAGACCCAGGACCGAGGCTGTAGACCCAGGACCGAGGCTGTAGACCCAGGACCGAGGCTGTAGACCCAGGACTGAGGCTGTAGACCCAGGACTGAGGCTGTAGACCCAGGACTGAGGCCTTTGTTCTTTTCCAGCTCAAAGCAAAGACAGAGCAGTTGTTGTCGATGGAAGCAGCAAAATCTTCACTGAAAACAAATCTGGAAAACAGTTTGGAGACGACTCAACACGCTCTGCAGGACAAAGACCAGGTGAGACTAACACCAGGTGAGACTAACAACAGGTGAGACAAAGGCCAGGTGAGACTAACAAGAGACTAACACCAGGTGAGACCAACACCAGGTGAGACCAACACCAGGATGAGTTCTAGTATAAAGCAGTGTGTGTGACTAAAATGCAGCGATGGTTATTTTCATAAAGATTAAAGTCACTCACACCATCTTTATAATTCACACTAACACTAAGCACCAATGTACCTGTGAACCTGTACCTGTGAACCTGTACCTGTGTAACTGTACCTGTGTAACTGTACCTTTGCAGGAGGTCCTCAAACTGCAGAGAGAAGCCGAGGAGCAGATGCAGAAACTGAAAGAGAGAAAAGAGCAGTGTCTTCATCTGGAAACATCTGTGAAGGACTTCAAAGACAAACTGTCAATCTCTGAGCAGACACTGGAGCAGCTGCAAGGTCTGAAGAAGGTGAGAACAGCTGTAAGGTCTGAAGAAGGTGAGAGCAGCTGCAAGGTCTGAAGAAGGTGAGAACAGCTGTAAGGTCTGAAGAAGGTGAGAGCAGCTGCAAGGTCTGAAGAAGGTGAGAGCAGCTGCAAGGTCTGAAGAAGGTGAGAACAGCTGTAAGGTCTGAAGAAGGTGAGAACAGCTGTAAGGTCTGAAGAAGGTGAGAACAGCTGTAAGGTCTGAAGAAGGTGAGAGCAGCTGCAAGGTCTGAAGAAGGTGAGAACAGCTGTAAGGTCTGAAGAAGGTGAGAGCAGCTGCAAGGTCTGAAGAAGGTGAGAGCAGCTGCAAGGTCTGAAGAAGGTGAGAACAGCTGTAAGGTCTGAAGAAGGTGAGAACAGCTGTAAGGTCTGAAGAAGGTGAGAGCAGCTGCAAGGTCTGAAGAAGGTGAGAGCAGCTGCAAGGTCTGAAGAAGGTGAGATCAGCTGCAAGGTCTGAAGAAGGTGAGAGCAGCTGCAAGGTCTGAGGATGGTCTGAAACTATAACTACTGTAGATATTCAGGATGTCTATGGATCTAAACTCTAGCATGATCTAATCTCTAACATGATCTAATCTCTAACATAAAATCTCTAACATAAAATCTCTAACATATAATCTCTAACATCTAATCTCTAACATCTAATCGCTAACATCTAATCTCTAACATCTAATCTCTAACATCTAATCTCTAACATAAAATCTCTAAAATATAATCTAACATCTAATCGCTAACATATAATCGCTAACATATAATCTCTAACATATAATCGCTAACATCTAATCTCTAACATATAATCTCTAACATGCAGAAGCTGGAAGTTCAGGTGTCGGAGCTGGAGGCGGTGAGAGAGGAGCAGCAGCAGGAGCTGCAGAAGCTGCAGAAAAACGAGTCTGAGCTGAAGAAGAAAGAGAAGCAGACCCTGCAGCTGCTGCAGAAGGAGAAGGCCGGGTACGGGTTGGCTCTCAGAGCAGTCAAAATGACTGCTTTTACCTGGTTCATATAAACATACAGCACTAACAATGCAGTTGTTTCTGTTGAAGATCTCTGACGCTTCAAGACGAGCTCCAGAAGAAGTCTGCGGCTCTCGCTGAGCTGCAACAGCGACTCCATCTCTCAGAGAAGGAGAAGTTCACTCTGAACCAGAACCTGGACCGAGCCACGCAGGAGGGGAGGGGCCGTGAGGCCGAGCAGGAAACGAAGGTCCAGAGTCTGACCTCAGATCTGCTCTCGGCTCGAAAAGAGAAGGACTCTCTCCAGAGCGAGCTACTGGTCCTTCAGGAGAACCTTAACAAGGCTCACAAGGCCACGATGGAGACCCAGGACCAGCTCCAGAAGGAACGCAGCACCCACCAGGCAGCTGTGGCCCAGAAGGTAATGTGGACCAGAAGGAACGCAACACCCACCAAGCAGCTGTGGGTAATGTGGAATGTGGCCCAGAAGGTAAAGCGCCCCCTTTTTAAAGGACCAGAGGAAAGAGACAACACTTAAGTGAAACAGATCATTATTTAATTAAATATTTAAATACTTTGCTCCTGTTCAGTATCTTTCATTACATTTGTAAAACATCACAATACTGAACAGAATAGAACCCTACACTCGGGTGATGTCACACTCTGTGTGTTTACAGGACAAGAGCAGTGAGAAGACCAAACAGGAGCTAACGAAGGCTAACGAGGCTCTGTCCAAAGGTCTGAAGGAGGCGAAGGAGCAGCTGGAGAAAAGCAAACAGGTGAAGGTTGGACTCATGTAGCCGTGGATCATCATCATTATTTATTAAAATGTTGTTTAAATTCTCCAGGAGGAGAAGACGCTGAGGGATCAGCTGAGCTCGTTACAAGAACAATGCTCCAAAAGTGAGGAGAGATTAAAGGAAAAGGTGAAGGAGGTGCACAGATTACAGGCTCAGATGAAAGAAGCACACAGCACTTTGGAGGAGGAGCGGCAGCAGGTGTCGCAGCTGCAGGAGGCGGTGGCACAGAAGGTACTGAGCTCCGTCTCTTCGTCACATGTGCACAGATGTTGGTGATGTGTTGTGTCTTCAGGCAGTGGAGGAGCAGCAGCAGAAGTCCCAGGTGTCGGTCCTGGAGCAGACTCTGTCCTCAGAGAGAGCCACAGCCTCGGAGCTGAAGACGTCTCTGAAGGAAAACCAGGAGGCTCTGAACAAAGTGCAGTCGGATTTGTTTGGATCCCAGTCCGAGGCGTCAGCGCTGAGGCAAGACCTGCAGGTACAGGAGAGTTTACTGTAAATGTGCAACAGTTTGGGTCCAATGTAGCTCCAAAACTTTCATGGTTCATTCATCGACTGCTGCAAACTCCACGAGGAGCTGGGACCAGGAGCTACATCTGGGGTTTCAGACTGATCCTAAATCACTTCTGCCTTCCTCCGTACAAATAGATCAATAGTAACTTAAAGCTGAGGTACTGACCTTAAAGCTTAGGTACTGAACTTAAAGCTGGGGTATCCTCTCTCAGCCCATCCATCCATCCATCCATCCATTTTCTACCCTTTAATCCATTTCTGGGTCAGGGGGGTGGCAGTCAGAGATGCCACCCAAGTCTCATAGCACCAGCCCCTCACTGACCCTCTGCAGGTGGTGAGTCCACAGGAGGACGGCTGCTCTCTGAGTGTGAGCATAGCCTTGATCTTTCAGTGGGGGCTTTGGGCAAAGTGGGGTTAAGTGTCTTGCCCAAGGACACAACGACAGCAGTCATCAGTGGGAGTCGGTGGAGAAGGTGCAGAGGTGGGAATTGAACCCACGACCTTCAGGCCTGAAGGCCAACGCTCTACCAACTGAGCTACTGTCGCCCCTCACTCACAGGGATGAACCTTTGATAAAGGTTTGGTGCTTCAGTCTCTGCAGTTTAATGATCTCTGTCACAGGTGTCTAAAGAGCTCTGTTACAGGTGCCTAATGTTCTCTGTCACAAGTGTCTAATGTTCTCTTTCACAGGTGTCTAATGATCTGTCACAGGTGTCTAATGATCTTGTCACAGTCTAATGAGCTCTGTCACAGGTGTCTAATGATCTGTCACAGGTGTCTAATGATCTTGTCACAGTCTAATGAGCTCTGTCACAGGTGTCTAACGATCTGTCACAGGTGTCTAATGATCTCTGTCACAGTCTAATGATCTCTGTCACAGTCTAATGATCTCTGTCAAAGGTGTCCAGAGAGAAGCTGAAAGTGGCTCAGGAGGATGTGGCTTCAAACCAAAATCATCAGACGAACCTCGAGGCTCAGATCCAGGAACTAAAGTCTGGAAGAAAGTGTGTGGAGCAGGAGCTGAGCCAACGGGAGCAGAAGGTCCTCCTCCAGGAGCAGCTTCTGCAGGAGCAGACCCAGCACATGGTCCGTAGGAAGCATCTCTGAGGATCATTTTAACTTTAACTTTAATCCAAAATCTTTAACAGATGCAAATGAAGGAGGAGCTTGAGGCGCAGAAGAGCCTCCTGCAGGAGCTGAGAGGAGAGAAGGAGGTCTTAGAACAAAACCACCGCAGACTGACCACGGAGCTGAAGACGCTCAAGGACCAGACTGAGAAGGTGAGACTGTAGATCCAGGACTGAGGCTGTAGACCCAGGACTGAGGCTGTAGACCCAGGACTGAGGCTATAGACCCAAGACTGAGGCTGTAGACCCAGGACTGTGGCTGTAGATCCAGGACTGAGGCTGTAGACCCAGGACTGTGGCTGTAGACCCAGGACTGTGGCTGTAGACCCAGGACTGTGGCTGTAGACCCAGGACTGAGGCTGTAGGACGAGGACAGGTAGATTGTTCAACTTCACACATTGAAAGAATTAAAGATAATTTATAAAAATAGAAATAGAAAATGTCTCCTCCGTCCTTGACTTAATATAGTTATATTGTTATTTATTATTATTATATTGTTATAGTTTCCTCAGATGTTTGAGTTTCAGTTGTGAACGAACCATTGTGTTTCTGAGAGTCAACTCTGAGGCATCACTGACAGAGACACCAGAGAGAGACACCAGAGAGAGACACCAGAGAGAGACACCAGAGAGAGACACCAGAGAGAGACACCAGAGAGAGACACCAGAGAGAGACACCAGAGAGAGACACCAGAGAGAGACACCAGAGAGAGACACCAGAGAGAGACACCAGAGGCTGTAGACCAGTATACAGTACATATGTTTCCATATGGTTTGTGTCTCAGGAGCTGAAGCATCTGACTGAGGCCAAGCAGCTCCTGATCCAACAGAAGATGGAGCTGCAGGACAAAGTGCAGGCAGCAGAGGGCGCTCTGCAGCAGGAGCAGCAGGAGCAGCAGGCACTCAGAGACTCACAGAGACAGAAGGAGGAGGCTCTGCTCTCACAGACCTCAGCTCTGCAGCAACAGCTGGTACTAACATGTGCATTAAACATGTGCATTAAACATGTGCATTAAACATGTGAATTAAACATCTGGACTCAGCCCAAAGTGCTGAACAAAACCAGAAAGAAACAATCAAACAAAGCATTATAATAAATAATCAAAGATAAAATTCAGTTGTTACAAAAACAAGATGTTTCACCTGATCCACTTGGTTCGGACCATGAATCCTCTCTGCTCTGGTCTGGACCAGTGTAAAACCATGAATCCTCTCTGCTCTGGTCTGGACCAGTGTAAAACCATGAACACTGAACTGCAGCAACATCTCAGGCAGAAAAAAGCAATTGTCAATGTGCCGTTTCCAGCGCATTCAAAAGTAAACGATGGTGTTGATGGTGTCATTACCATCGACTCTAAATATTACAGACAATCACATCTATCTCCACTGTTCAAACTAATGTGACATCACTTTCACCTTCTGTGGCTTTTTCAAAATGGCCGCTCATCAGGAACATGTGAAAAATGTGCACACGTGTCAGCTGCACTAGACCCATGCATTTAACGAGTGCAATCAAAAGTCTTTAGGACCAAGAGCCACTTTTGGACCATAACATAAAGGTCAGCACTAGATCATATACGGAATCGGGACGGAAGCGGAAGTAAAAATAACAAACTACCTATTCATGCCTAAACTTAACCAGCCATTCCCATAAAATAACCCCAATCCAGCCTTAACTCTAAACTTAACCATCTTACTTAAACACCTAAAACTTAACCAGTCACCATTTAAGGACGAATTAGTCTAAAATTAATTTGAAAGTAGGATTGTTACTTCCGGTTTCGTCCCGATTCCGTATATGATCTAGTGCCGACCATAACATAAAGAGGTGTTGAGAGCAAAGAAGACAGCATACAAAAGCACTGGATAATTCTCTTCCCTGGTCTGCCCCCGCAGGCCTGGGGTGGTATTGCAGCCCCCACACTGGTTTCTTACAGATTGTATTGTGTTGCAGGCAGCAGAGACGCAGCGCCGGGAGGAGCAGGTGAAGCGTGAGGAGGAGGCGGAGTCTAAACGGCGCCTGCAGCTGACGGCGCTGAACGAGAACGTAGCGACGCTGAAGAGAGAGACTCAGGGAAGTCAGCGCCGAGTCACCGAGCTGGAGAAACAGACGGACGATCTGAGAGGAGAGATCGCTGTGCTAGAGGCTACTGTACAGAACAACCAGGACGAGAGAAGAGCCCTGCTGGAGAGGTGAGGGGGAGGGAGAGGGGGGAGGGAGGTGAGGGGGGAGGGAGGTGAGGGGGGAGAGAGAGGGGGTAGAGAGGTGTGGGGGTAGAGAGGTGTGGGGGGAGAGAGGTGAGGGGGGAGAGAGGTGTGGGGGTAGAGAGGTGTGGGGGTAGAGAGGTGAGGGGGGAGAGAGGTGTGGGGGTAGAGAGGTGAGGGGGGTAGAGAGGTGAGGGGGGAGAGAGGTGTGGGGTAGAGAGGTGAGGGGGAGGGAGAGGGGGGGTAGAGAGGTGTGGGGGTAGAGAGGTGAGGGGGAGGGAGAGGGGGGTAGAGAGGTGGGGGGGAGAGAGGTGTGGGGGGAGAGAGGTGTGGGGGAGGGAGAGGGGGGTAGAGAGGTGTGGGGGTAGAGAGGTGAGGGGGAGGGAGAGGGGGGTAGAGAGGGTGGGGGGAGAGAGGTGTGGGGGAGGGAGAGGGGGTAGAGAGGTGAGGTGAAGGGAGAGGGGGGTAGAGAGGTGTGGGGGGAGAGAGGTGTGGGGGGAGAGAGGTGTGGGGGAGGGAGAGGGGGGTAGAGAGGTGTGGGGGTAGAGAGGTGAGGGGGAGGGAGAGGGGGGTAGAGAGGTGTGGGGGTAGAGAGGTGAGGGGGAGGGAGAGGGGGGTAGAGAGGTGAGGGGGAGGGAGAGGGGGGTAGAGAGGTGTGGGGGGAGAGAGGTGTGGGGGAGGGAGAGAGGGGGTAGAGAGGTGTGGGGGTAGAGAGGTGAGGGGGAGGGAGAGGGGGGTAGAGAGGTGTGGGGGGGGAGAGAGGTGTGGGGGAGGGAGAGGGGGTAGAGAGGTGAGGGGGGGAGAGAAGTGAGGGGGAGGGAGAGGGGGGTAGAGAGGTGTGGGGGTAGGGAGAGAGGTGAGGGGGAGGGAGGGGGGGGTAGAGAGGTGTGGGGGGGAGAGAGGTGTGGGGGAGGGAGAGGGGGTAGAGAGGTAGAGGGGGTAGAGAGGTGAGGTGGAGGGAGAGGGGGGAGGGAGGTGAGGGGGGAGAGAGGTGAGGGGGAGGGAGAGGGGGGTAGAGAGGTGTGGGGGAGGGGGGGGGTAGAGAGGTGAGGTGGAGGGAGAGGGGGAGGGAGGTGAGGGGGGAGAGAGGTGAGGGGGGAGGGAGGGGGGGGGTAGAGAGGTGTGGGGGTAGAGAGGTGTGGGGGGAGGGAGAGGGGGGTAGAGAGGTGTGGGGGAGGGAGAGGGGGGTAGAGAGGTGAGGGGGGAGGGGAGAGGGGGGTAGAGAGGTGTGGGGGGGAGAGAGGTGTGGGGGGAGAGAGAGGTGTGGGGGGGGAGGGGGGGTAGAGAGGTGAGGTGGAGGGAGAGGGGGGTAGAGAGGTGTGGGGGAGGGAGAGGGGGGGTAGAGAGGTGAGGTGGAGGGAGAGGGGAGAGGGAGGTGAGGGGGGAGAGAGGTGAGGGGGAGGGAGAGGGGGGTAGAGAGGTGTGGGGGGAGAGAGGTGTGGGGGAGGGAGAGGGGGTAGAGAGGTGAGGTGGAGGGAGAGGGGGGAGGGAGGTGGGGGGGAGAGAGGTGAGGGGGAGGGAGAGGGGGGTAGAGAGGTGTGGGGGAGGGAGAGGGGGGAGAGTGAGAGGTGGAGGGAGGGGGGGAGGGGGGAGGGGTGGGGGGGGAGAGAGGTGAGGGGGAGGAGAGGGGGGGGTAGAGAGGTGTGGGGGTAGAGAGGTGTGGGGGAGGGAGAGGGGGGTAGAGAGGTGTGTGGGGGAGGGAGAGGGGGGTAGAGAGGTGAGGGGGAGGGAGAGGGGGGAGGGAGGTGAGGGGGGAGAGAGGTGAGGGGGAGGGAGAGGGGGGAGAGAGGTGAGGGGGAGGGAGAGGGGGGGTAGAGAGGTGAGGGGGAGGGAGAGGGGGGGGGAGAGAGAGGTGAGGGGGAGGGAGAGGGGGGGTAGAGAGGTGTGGGGGAGGGAGAGGGGGTAGAGAGGTGAGGTGGAGGGAGAGGGGGGAGGGAGGTGAGGGGGGAGAGAGGTGAGGGGGAGGGAGAGGGGGGGAGAGAGGTGGGGGGGAGGGAGAGGGGGGTAGAGAGGTGAGGGGGAGGGAGAGGGGGGAGAGAGGTGAGGGGGAGGGAGAGGGGGGTAGAGAGGTGTGGGGGAGGGAGAGGGGGTAGAGAGGTGAGGTGGAGGGAGAGGGGGGAGGGAGGTGAGGGGGGAGAGAGGTGAGGGGGAGGGAGAGGGGGGAGAGAGGTGAGGGGGAGGGAGAGGGGGGTAGAGAGGTGAGGGGGGGGGGGGGGGGGGGGGAGAGAGGTGAGGGGGGGAGGGAGAGGGGGGTAGAGAGGTGAGGTGGAGGGAGAGGGGGGAGGGAGGTGAGGGGGGAGAGAGGTGAGGGGGAGGGAGAGGGGGGGTAGAGAGGTGTGGGGGAGGGAGAGGGGGGTAGAGAGGTGAGGGGGGAGAGAGGTGAGGGGGAGGGAGAGGGGGGGAGGGGAGAGGGGGGTAGAGAGGTGTGGGGGGAGAGAGGTGTGGGGGAGGGAGAGGGGGGTAGAGAGGTGTGGGGGAGGGGAGAGGGGGTAGAGAGGTGTGGGGGGAGAGAGGTGTGGGGGAGGGAGAGGGGGGGTAGAGAGGTGTGGGGGAGGGAGGTGAGGGGGGAGAGAGGTGAGGGGGAGGGAGAGGGGGGTAGAGAGGTGTGGGGGGAGAGAGGTGTGGGGGAGGGAGAGGGGGTAGAGAGGTGAGGGGGGAGAGATGTCCGTGCGTATCTGTTTCTGTTTCAAGTGTGTGTCCCAGGTGTGTTGTGTGTCTCAGTTGTGTTGTGTGTTTTTCAGGTGTGTTGTGTGTCTCAGTTGTGTTGTGTGTTTTTCAGGTGTGTTGTGTGTCTCAGTTGTGTTGTGTGTTTTTCAGGTGTGTTGTGTGTCTCAGTTGTGTTGTGTGTTTTTCAGGTGTGTTGTGTGTCTCAGTTGTGTTGTGTGTTTTTCAGGTGTGTTAAAGGAGAAGGAGAGATAGAGAAGCTTCAGACCAAAGTCCTGGAGCTCAGACGCAAAGTGGACGACACCACAGCCGCCATGCAGGAGCTGGGCCGAGAGAACCAGTCCCTCCAGGTCTGTGTCAAATGGTCTCTGTCACATTGTCTGTCACATGGTCCGTCTCACATGGTCTGTCACCAGTGTTGGGCACGTTACTTTGAAAAAGTAATTAGTTATAGTTACTAGTTACTTCTCCCAAAAAGTAACTGAGTTACTAACGGAGTTACTCCACTATAAAAGTAACTAGTTACCAGTAAAAGTAACTATTGCGTTACTTTTTCGTTTTGTTCTGGAACATAATGTGCACCCGACGTGCGCATTTTTACCTTTAACCTTTAACCTCAGCGAGTCTGAAATAGTGCCAATATTTCCATCTAGAAAAGGCTGTTTTTCTGCTGAAGTCCTGTTCACTCTTCATCTCTCTCTGAGCTGTAAGCACTAAACACAACACGCTCCACTGTGAATGTGGAAACACCGGTGAAGCACTGACTTCAGTCCAATCAGATGAACATATACATCATATAAATCAAGTGGATAATTTGTTTGGCTACAGCAGAATATATTTCATGCCCGCATTGTTTGTTCATACAAAACGCAAAACTATGAGTTATGGGTCTTACCTTATAGCTATACCTTATAAATGACCTGCACAGGCCACTTCGGTTCAGACCAGTTCTGTGTTTAAGTCCAGATAATAGTTTGAGCGTAGATATGTAATCCTCCATTTGGAAATGAGTCCAAAAAAGTAAAGCAAAACGCGTGTGTCCTCCGTAAACTCCTCTGTTTTGCTGCAGCCGGGTGCATCCAATTTCTAAAATCAACCCTCTTACACATCACCTCTCTTTCTTATCATTCCTATAGTCATTGAAAAATTACCCTAAGCCGTGGTAGAGCCCATATTTGTTTCAAAAACACAATTTATGACCATCCTCTGAACTGTAGACATGTAGATTGTAAAGGAAATATGATTTACATCAGCCAATAATTGCTGTGAGGTTTTCTCATCCTCCCTTCTCTCATGACAACACGTTCATTGTGTGTCTTGAGTAACGCGCAGTAACGGGATATCGGAAATGATAACGGCGTTATAGTTACTGTCAAAGTAATTAGTTAGATTACTCGTTACTGAAAAAAGTAACGCCGTCATTCCCATCACTGTCACACATGGTCCGTGTCACATGGTCCGTGTCACATGGTCTGTCCCTCTGTGATTGGTCCTCAGATTCTCTGATGTTTACTTTCACTTTAAGATAAAGCAGTCGCAGTCGTTAACCAGGAAGTGGGCGGAGGACTGGGAGGTGCAGAGCTGTATGTCGTGTGGGAAAGGCTTCTCTGTCACCGTCAGGAAGGTTTGTGTAGCACTCTTCATTCACAAGGGTTTAAATCATCAGCGTTAACCAGAACTAACATCCTTCACTTGGTGCTGATTTAACGTGTCTCCTCATCTTCCTCCTCCTCCTCTTCCTCTCACCCGTCGCCTCCTCCTCCTCCTCTTCCTCACCTGTCTCCTCCTCCTTCTCCTCAGCATCACTGCAGACACTGTGGGAACATCTTTTGCGCCGAGTGTTCGTCGAGGAACGCGCTGACGCCGTCGTCTAAAAAACCTGTTCGAGTTTGTGAGACCTGCTTCGAGGACCTCCAAGGCTGAGGGTCAGAGGTCACCTGCAGGAGGCCCAGGGTCAGAGGTCACCTGCAGGAGGCTCAGGGTCAGAGGTCATTGTTGATGTGCACTAAAAAGGACAGGCCCAGTTCTGACTCTCTCCAAAACCAGGAAGAGGAAAACGATTGCGGTGGGATTGTCTGGCTGCATCCAAATTCAACCAAAACACCTCCTTGCTCGTTTCCTTCTCCTTCTCCTTCTGCTTTTGACAGAGGAGCTGCAGGTTTGATGGTCTGAGGTGTCTTTGTAAACACCACATCAGTAAAAGATCACATGAAGCTTAAGGGAAATGACAGTAAAAGAGCAGAAAGGAGGTCCTCTTATGAATTTGAATGCAGCCGCTGTGTTTTTGTGCCTTTGCTCCTCCTGTGAACTGCCAGAGGGGGGCGCCATCGAGGCATTAACGCCATTATGTCTTGCATTTTTATGTTTGATGTTTGATGTCTGTGACTGCTGTAGTGGAGGAGGACGACACTATTCTCAGATTCAAACCTGGATGTAAAGAAATAAGGATTTCAAAGACAAAGGATCATAACAATAATGTGTGTTACATCATAATGAGTCCTGACCGTGATGACAAAAACAACTATAAACATGGATCATTTCTATAGAAACTTTAAAACTGAGGAATCTGACCCAAGACCATGGACTATGGTTAGAATCCAAGTCACATGTTTCACTTTATCCATTTGTTAAAACAGAACATTAGTCAAAAAGTTATATTCCTCTCTGGTCTCTCTGGTCTCTCTCTGGTCTCTCTCTCTTTGGGTCTCCCTCTGGTCTCCCTCTGGTCTCTCTCTGGTCTCGCTCTCTGGTCGGTGTGTGTGTGTGTCTGTGTCTGTATATCGTCCCAAACGAGGACTCTGAGCAGAAACCAGTTGAAAGTATAAATGTGAGATGTCAGTGTGATTGTGACTGAGGCGAGCGGCCGCTTCTAGTCTTTGGCCGCTGCTGGTCTTTGGCCGACAGCTCGGCCTGAAGCTTCACAATCGTCTCTTTGTGCTCGTCCTGATCATTACTGAAGAATGTGTTACTGCAGCGTCTGCTTTTGTTTTCTACCTCAGATGAAAGCCTCGTTTGTAATTGTCACAAAGCATCATGGGAATCTGTGAGCGTCAGACACAGAGAGGTTCTCACACAGAGGGGGTTGTCCTGGTCCCTAGACAGTTCTGGTTCTCACAGAGTGGTTACTCCTGGTCCTCACAGTGGACAGCCCTGGTCCTGACACAGAGGGGTTGTCCTGGTCCTCACAGTGGTTAGTCCTGGTCCTGACACAGAGGGGGTTGTCCTGGTCCTGACACAGAGGGGTTGTCCTGGTCCTCACAGTGGTCAGTCCTGGTCTTGACACAGAGAGGTTGTCCTGGTCCTCACAGTGGACAGCCCTGGTCCTGACACAGAGGGGTTGTCCTGGTCCTCACAGTGGTCAGTCCTGGTCCTGACACAGAGGGGGTTGTCCTGGTCCTGACACAGAGGGGGTTGTCCTGGTCTTGACACAGAGGAGTTGTCCTGGTCCTCACAGTGGTTAGTCCTGGTCCTGACACAGAGGGGTTGTCCTGGTCCTCACAGTGGTTAGTCCTGGTCCTGACACAGAGGGGGTTGTCCTGGTCCTGACACAGAGGGGGTTGTCCTGGTCTTGACACAGAGGAGTTGTCCTGGTCCTCACAGTGGACAGCCCTGGTCTTGACACAGAGAGGTTGTCCTGGTCCTCACAGTGGACAGCCCTGGTCCTGACACAGAGGGGTTGTCCTGGTCCTCACAGTGGTTAGTCCTGGTCCTGACACAGAGGGGGTTGTCCTGGTCCTGACACGGAGGGGGTTGTCCTGGTCCTGACACAGAGGGGTCGTCCTGGTCCTCACAGTGGTCAGTCCTGGTCCTCACAGTGGTTAGTCCTGGTCCTGACACAGAGGGGGTTGTCCTGGTCCTGACACAGAGGGGTTGTCCTGGTCCTCACAGTGGTCAGTCCTGGTCTTGACACAGAGGGGTTGTCCTGGTCCTCACAGTGGACAGCCCTGGTCTTGACACAGAGAGGTTGTCCTGGTCCTCACAGTGGACAGCCCTGGTCCTGACACAGAGGGGTTGTCCTGGTCCTCACAGTGGTTAGTCCTGGTCCTCACAGTGGTTAGTCCTGGTCCTGACACAGAGGGGGTTGTCCTGGTCCTGACACAGAGGGGGTTGTCCTGGTCCTGACACAGAGGGGTTGTCCTGGTCCTCACAGTGGTCAGTCCTGGTCCTCACAGTGGTTAGTCCTGGTCCTGACACAGAGGGGGTTGTCCTGGTCCTGACACAGAGGGGTCGTCCTGGTCCTCACAGTGGTCAGTCCTGGTCCTCACAGTGGTTAGTCCTGGTCCTGACACAGAGGGGGTTGTCCTGGTCCTGACACAGAGGGGTTGTCCTGGTCCTCACAGTGGTCAGTCCTGGTCTTGACACAGAGGGGTTGTCCTGGTCCTCACAGTGGACAGCCCTGGTCTTGACACAGAGAGGTTGTCCTGGTCCTCACAGTGGACAGCCCTGGTCCTGACACAGAGGGGTTGTCCTGGTCCTCACAGTGGTTAGTCCTGGTCCTGACACAGAGGGGGTTGTCCTGGTCCTGACACAGAGGGGGTTGTCCTGGTCCTGACACAGAGGGGTTGTCCTGGTCCTCACAGTGGTCAGTCCTGGTCCTCACAATGGTTAGTCCTGGTCCTGACACAGAAGGGGTTGTCCTGGTCCTGACACAGAGGGGTTGTCCTGGTCCTGACACAGAGGGGGTTGTCCTGGTCCTGACACAGAGGGGTTGTCCTGGTCCTGACACAGAGGGGTTGTCCTGGTCCTCACAGTGGTCAGTCCTGGTCCTCACACAGAGGGGTTGTCCTGGTCCTCACAGTGGTCAGTCCTGGTCCTCACACAGAGGGGTTGTCCTGGTCCTCACACAGAGGGGTTGTCCTGTGGGTTTGAGGCTCGGTCTCTTTCTGTTCTCTCTGCACTAAAACTGTTCTAACATTTCTACTTGTGTGAAACCAGAAAGACGTAAATAAAATGTGTTATCGATGGAACCATGAGTGAGATTCTGGTTCCATGGTTTGGACGTCAGACTCTCGATGATGAATGAATATTTCTGTAAAGTTCACTTTGATTCATGTTGCACCAGTTTTCATCACATGACTAACTTAATAAAGTCTACAGTATGTTTTTACTCTGTGCTTTTTTTATTGTTTTGTTTTTCAGCCAGAACCAAAACTACGGTAAAGACCGGACTGAAAACTGCTTTTTCCTAGTTCTTTGATCTCTGCGGCTAATTGTCGGGGCGGAGAGTTTATGGACCTATTATTTTTGACATCTCTCTGGTTTCTCCCTCTCTGGTCTCTCTCTCTCTCATGGTCTCTCTCTCTGGTCTCTCTCTCTGGTCTCTCTCTCTCTGGTCTCACTCTCTCTGGTCTCACTCTCTCTGGTCTCACTCTCTCTCTCTGGTCTCTCTCTCTGGTCTCTCTCTCTGGTCTCTCTCTCTCTCTCTGGTCTCTCTCTCTCTCTCTCTCTCTGGTCTCTGAGAATATTTAGTAATATTAACAAAGAGTAAACTGGGCCCAGTGTTGTAGACATGTGACTTTATTGTAGACCACTGCAGTATTTGCCCTGAAAGGCAGAGGAGACATTTACAAAACGATGCTAATGCTAATGCTAAAGCTAATGCTAACACAGTGATGTCTGAAGTGCAGTCACAGTGAATGGCTTTAGAGCTGAGGGTCAGATCTGAGACGACTCCAGCCACAGGGAGGCGCTCTTCAGTCGCAGCTGCTGAGAATCCTGCTTCAGCAACGAAGACACTGCATCCTCCACCTTTGACATCCAGACTCTCTGTGAAGCACAGAGACACAGAGAGAGAGAGACACAGAGAGAGAGAGACACAGAGAGAGAGACACAGAGAGAGAGAGACAGAAACATGGTGTTAAGTAAATCATCCTCGACATTTTATCTCTCTGGTCTCTCTCTCTCTCTATGGTCTCTCTCTCTATTACATTAAGCATAAATGTTTCTGGTCTGAAAGTTAGAGACCCCATCTTTAAAGTGACTTACTTTGGCCGTCTCTGATGGTGCCTGCAGGATGAAGGCCCCGATGCATTGCTGGTACCGGTTCTGGTGCATAATGATGAAGGACTGAGGAAGACCAGACGCTGAGAACAAAACACAGACTTTAAATTTATATTCAGAGACCAAAGAGAGAGACCAAAGAGAGAGACCAGAGAGAGACCAGTGAGTGAGACCAGAGAGATGAAAGTCTTACTGGTATTTAATTGGTGGATGTTCTTGACCTGGACTCGGTCCAGAGACAGAGGTTGGTCGACGACAGTGAAGCTGCAGTTTTCCTTCAGCAGCTGCTCCAGCTCCTGGTTCTGAGGCAGACGCAGCGGGTTCTGGTCTGGACCAGCAGAGCGCTGAGGACCAGCAGAGACAGAGGACCATCAGAGACAGAGGACCATCAGAGACAGAGGACCAGCAGAGACAGAGGACCATCAGAGACAGAGGACCATCAGAGACAGAGGACCAGCAGAGACAGAGGCCTCTTTTCAAACTCACCTTTTTGTTTCTTTTGATTTTCGTGATGAGCAGGAATTCGTCGAACAGAAACAGATAAACATCCAAGAGCTTTGTGTTTTCTGGACAAACACTTCAGGGTTAGTCAGACCAGAGAGAGAGAGACCAGAGAGAGAGAGACCAGAGAGAGAGAGACCAGAGAGAGAGAGACCAGAGAGAGAGACCAGAGAGAGAGAGACCAGAGAGACCAGAGAGAGAGACCAGAGAGAGAGAGAGACCAGAGAGAGAGAGACCAGAGAGAGAGAGAGAGACCAGAGAGAGAGAGACCAGAGAGAGAGCGACCAGAGAGAGAGACCAGAGAGAGAGAGACCAGAGAGAGAGAGACCAGAGAGAGAGAGACCAGAGAGAGAGAGACCAGGGAGAGAGAGACCAGAGAGAGAGCGACCAGGGAGAGAGACCAGAGAGAGAGACCAGAGAGAGAGACTTGGTGTCACCTGTCAGCAGCAGTTTCCCATCATGCAGCAGGCTGCGGTGAGTGATGAGGTTTTCCAGAGTCACAGCCTTCAGCAGATGTTTCAGATTCTGTAAAACAAGCTTTTTAGATGTTTCAGATTCTTCTGTACCTTTGCTACACATAAGACACTGCTACTGCTACTGTTACTACTACTGCTACTGTTACTACTGTTACTACTGCTACTGTTACTACTACTGCTACTACTGTTACTACTACTTCTGCTGCTGCTTCTTACCTCTGGGACGAAGGCTCTCTTCTCTCTCTCCCACACTGGCAGCCAAACCAGGGCGTCTCTGAGCTGCTTCACCTTCTGGTAGTTATCAAGCCACTTCACCTTTCCTTCTAAATCACCTGCACAGACACATGGTCCTCAGAGACAGACACATGGTCCTTGTCAATGTAAAAGGGTCAAAGAACATTTCTGGACAGTGGTCATCTCTCTCTCTCTGGTCTCTCTCTCTCTGGTCTACCTCTCTCTGGTCTACCTCTCTCTGGTCTCCCTCTCTGGTCTCCCTCTCTGGTCTCCCTCTCTGGTCTCCCTCTCTGGTCTCCCTCTCTGGTCTCTCCCTCTAGCTGGAGAAGGAGGAGGAGGAGAGGAGGAGGGGAGGAGGAGAGAGGAAAGACTCTAAAGAGGGAAGAAGAGAGGAGAAGAAGAGGAGGAGCAGAGGAGGAGCAGAGGAGGAGAAGAGGAGGAGAAGAGGAGCAGGAGAGGAGGAGAGAGGAGAAGAGAGGAGGAGAGGAGAAGAGAGGAGAAGAGAGGAGGAGAGGGAAGAAGAGGGAAGAAGAGAGGAGGAGAGAGGAGGAGAGAGGAGGAGAGAGGAGGAGAGTTGTGTGGTGAACGAGGAGGACACGTGTGAAGCCAGGTCCCTGTATAGTTCCACTCGCCTCTTTCAGGACCATGAGCTGATCCAGGAAGTAGACGCTCTCACTGGTGAAGAGCTCCCAGACCGCCTCCTGACGCTTGTAGATCTGAGGGTCTGAGGCCGGACCCTCCTGCAGCTGCTCCATCAGGAACTCTGCCACACAGTACTCCTGGAGGAGAGAGGGGGGAGAGAGGGGGGGAGAGGGGGGGGAGAGAGGGGGGGGGGAGGGGGGGGGAGAGGGGGGGGAGAGGAGAGGGGAGAGAAGAGAGAGAGAGGGGAGAGAAGAGGGGAGAGGGGAGAGGAGAGGGGAGAGAGAGAGGAAGGGAGAGGGGAGAGAGAGAGGAGAGAGAAGAGGAGAGAGGGGGGAGAGAGAAGAGGAGAGAGGGGAGAGAGAGGAAGGAGGAAAACAATCATCATTTGTGTGTGTGAAGTACATCTGCAAATCTAAATTCTCTCTCTCTCTGGTCTCTCCCTCTCTCAGGAGTTTACTCTCTGCTCTCTCTCTCCGGAGTTTACTCTCTGTTCTCTCTCTCTCTCTCTCAGGAGTTTACTCTCTGTTCTCTCTCTCTCTCTCTCAGGAGTTTACTCTCTGTTCTCTCTCTCTCTCTCTCTCAGGAGTTTACTCTCTGCTCTCTCTCAGGAGTTTACTCTCTGCTCTCTCTCTCTCAGGAGTTTACTCTCTGTTCTCTCTCTCTCAGGAGTTTACTCTCTCTCTCTCTCTCTCTCTCTCTCAGGAGTTTACTCTCTGCTTTCTCCCTCAGGAGTTTGCTCTCTCTCTCAGGAGTTTACTCTCTCTCTCTGCTCTCTCCCTCTCTCAGGAGTTTACTCTCTCTCTCTCTCTCTCTCTCACAGGAGTTTACTCTCTCTCTCTCTCTCTCTCTCTCTCTCTCTCTCACAGGAGTTTACTCTCTCTCTCTCTCTCTCTCTCTCTCTCTCAGGAGTTTACTCTCTGCTCTCTCTCTCTCTCAGGAGTTTACTCTCTCTCTCTCTCTCTCTCTCACAGGAGTTTACTCTCTCTCTCTCTCTCTCTCTCTCTCTCTCAGGAGTTTACTCTCTGCTCTCTCTCTCTCACAGGAGTTTACTCTCTCTCTCTCTCTCTCTCTCTCTCTCTCAGGAGTTTACTCTCTGCTCTCTCTCTCTCTCAGGAGTTTACTCTCTCTCTCTCTCTCTCTCTCACAGGAGTTTACTCTCTCTCTCTCTCTCTCTCTCTCTCTCAGGAGTTTACTCTCTGCTCTCTCTCTCTCTCAGGAGTTTACTCTCTGCTCTCTCTCTCTCTCAGGAGTTTACTCTCTGCTCTCTCTCTCTCTCAGGAGTTTACTCTCTGCCTGAACCTTGATTTTCTGGTTCTGTGTAGGACGTGCTTCTGTCGTTCGTCACTGTCACTTCTCTTTAAACCTTTTGTTTGGACCGATCTGTCCGTGAGCAAACAGCGCGTGTTTGGACAGAATCAAAGGCTCCGAGGCTAAAGCTAACTGCACGGTTTGCTAACCTTAGCAAACAGCACGGTTTGCTAACCTTAGCAAACAGCACGGTTTGCTAACCTTAGCTAACAGCACGGTTTGCTAACCTTAGCTAACAGCACGGTTAGCTAACCTTAGCTAACAGCACGGTTTGCTAACCTTAGCAAACAGCACGGTTTGCTAACCTTAGCTAACAGCACGGTTTGCTAACCTTAGCTAACAGCACGGTTTGCTAACCTTAGCTAACAGCACGGTTTGCTAACCTTAGCAAACAGCACGGTTTGCTAACCTTAGCTAACAGCACGGTTTGCTAACCTTAGCTAACAGCACGGTTTGCTAACCTTAGCTAACAGCACGGTTAGCTTACTTGAGCTAACAGCACGGTTAGCTTACTTACAATACAATACAATACAATTTATTCTTGTATAGCCCTAGGTCACAACAGAAGTCATCTCAGAGGACTTAACAAAACCATTGAAATCACCAACACAGGTCAGAGAATCAACAGTTAAAACACATGAAGAATATAAAGCACACACAGAAGAAAATGTCCATACATGTTGTAGAATGCTAAAGTGTCCTGATCATCACCAATCCTTTCTGTTGGACACTAACTGTCCAACAAGACCCTCCTGCATCGACAAGGAAAAACTCTTAAAAAACCCAGTGGGAAAAAGTGAGAAACCTTGGAGGAGAACTAGGGAAACCCACAGGGAGGGAGACCCATATGAGCTAACAGCACGGTTAGCTCATATGGGTACATATGGGTTAGCTCATACTTGAGCTAACAGCACGGTTAGCTAACCTTGTATTTTTGGAGATCCACGTTCCTCCAGTCCTGAATCTGCACCGACGAAAGATGCTTCTCCACATCTGACGCTGAACCCAACTGTGGCTTTCCCTTCGTCTGCAACACACACCTCACATTCATGTGATACACAATACACACACAGTACATATACAACACACACCTCACATTCATGTGATACACAATACACACACAGTACATATACAACACACACCTCACATTCATGTGATACACAATACACACACAGTACATATATAAATATAACACTATACACAGGGAGAACATGCAAACTCCACTCAGAAAGACCCTGCTCCGACTGGGATTTGAACCTAGGACCTTTCTGAGTGGAGTTTGCATATTCTCCCCGTGTCTCCGGTTTCCCCTACCACTCAAACCATGTTGCTGTTCCTCCTGAGACTCACAAACTGACTCTTTATCTCTTTGTTGTTTTCATGAACTTCTCAGTTCCAGATTTTCAGTTGAAGCAGAAGCTGCTGATCAGGAAGTGGCTCAAAGAACAACCACTAATGTTTTTTAGATTAGTGTCGTCACGGCAACCGTAAGGAACGGACCCAATCTGACACATTAATCCAGATTAGCATAGTTTATACCCATTTACTACACACACACAGCTACACACAGAGACACACACAGATACACACACAGAGACACACACACACAGCTACACACACACAGATACACACACACACACACGGATACACACACACACAGAGCTACACACACACACACACACACACACACACAGATACACACACACACACAGATACACGCACACACACACAGATACACGCACACACACAGATACATACAAGAGACACACACACAGAGACACACACACAGAGAGACACACAGACACACACTCACCGTGCTCCGTCGTGAAAAAGGCCACTTCGACTTCTTTGAATCTGCAGGAAACAAAACATTTATAATTATTAAATGTAGCAAATACTCTGTCCCTGAGTCGTACCTTTGATACACTCTGTCCCTGTGTCGTACCTTTGATACACTCTGTCCCTGAGTCGTACCTTTGATACACTCTGTCCCTGTGTCGTACCTTTGATACACTCTGTCCCTGTGTTGTACCTTTGATACACTCTGTCCCTGTGTCGTACCTATGAGATAAGATAAGAGATCCTTTATCCGTCCCACAGTGGGGGAAATGTCGATGTTGCAGCGCACAGACAGTGGTGAGAGCACACAGGGATCACACAAAGTAAGTAGTAGCTGTAAATGCTTCGATACCAGTCTTTCAAAATAAATATATCCATGTAGTGCAGAGGAATGTACTGTGTAGCAGGATAATAAAGTAGATAAAGTAAAGTGACTTTGTTTAGTGATATTCTGAAGTTGCAGTATTGCACATGATTTAAGAATTTACTTATTTACAGATGAATGACATTTACAGGCTCAGCAGTTCTCATTGTACAGTCTGACAGCAGCAGGAAGGAAAAACCTACGGAACCGCTCCTTCACACAGCGAGGGTGAATTAGTCTGTCACTGAAGCTGCTCTCCAGAGCAGAGAGAGTGTCCTGCAGGGGGCGACAGTCATGGTCCAGATGTTAGTTTGTCCAGGACCCTCCTGTCCCCCACCAGGGAACAGCCCAAGACTGAGCTGATGTTCCAGCTTCTTCCTGTCCCTCTCTGTGATGCTGCTGCTGTCCCTGTGTCATACTCATGATATACTCTGTTCCTGTGTTGTACCTATGATATACTCTGTCCCTGTGCCGTACCTTTGATACACTTTATAATTATGTAATCAACATTTAATTATGATGCCACGCCCACAGGTTAGAAACACTTCCAACATCAACCCTGATTTGTACCTTTGACCCAACGAAGGGACCAGGAAATTGATAATTCACTGATAAGTGCCTGTGTGTGTGTGTGTGTGTGTGTGTGTGTGTGTGTGTGTGTGTGTGTGTGTGTGTGTGTGTGTGTGTGTGTGTGTGTGTGTGTGTGTGTGCCTGTGTGCGTGTGTATCTATGTGTGTGTGTGTGTGTGTGCCTGTGTGCGTGTGTATCTATGTGTGCCTGTGTGCCGTGTGTATCTATGTGTGTGTCTGTGTGTCTGTGTGCGTGTGTATCTATGTGTATATGTATATGTGTGTGTCTGGGTGTGCGTATGTGTGTGCGGGTGCGTGTGTGTGCGTCTGTGTGTATACGTGTGTGTGTGTGTGTCTGTCTGTACCTGTGTGTGTGTGTATTTGTGTGTACCTGACAGAGTCGACTCATTGAGTAAATGAGCAGCACCGTTGGACACAAACAGATCTCCAGGAGAAACATCGAGTCCTGGAAGACTGACCACCACCGAGCTCCGCCTCCGCTCCTGTAACCTAGGAAACAAACATTTAATATATTATATATATATACATATGTGTGTGTGTATATATATATATATATATATACACATTTACATATATATATATATATATATATATACATTTACATATATATATATACATTTACATATATATATACATTTACATATATATATATATATATATATATATATACATTTACATATATATATATATATACATTTACATATATATATACATTTACATATATATATATTATATATATATACATTTACATATATATACATTTACATATATATATACACACATATATGTTTTTATATATACCAGTGATCCGGAATCATACGTGTAAAGACGGCCTCCGTGATAAAGCGTCACAGACAGACTCAGGAAATTATAGAATTCCTCTTTGTCGTGTTGCGTTTCTGAAATACCATCAGAATACCATGTATCCTCAATTAACAAAGGTCTCCTATTGTACCTGTGATACACTTCATATTGTACCTGCGATACGCCTCTTAATGTACCTGTGATACACCTCTTATTGTACCTGTGATATGCCTCTTAATGTATCAGTGATACACCTCTTATTGTACCTGTGATACGCCTCTTAATGTATCAGTGATACGCCTCTTAATGTATCAGTGATACACCTCTTATTGTACCTGTGATACGCCTCTTATTGTACCTGTGATACGCCTCTTATCGTACCTGTGATACGCCTCTTATCGTACCTGTGATAGGTCTGACACAGTCCTTGTTCATGTGTGAAACAGAAGCAGTTTTTCTTTTGGCCTCAGGCTCAGACTGAGGCTTCAGCCACAGGTATGCCATCACCATGACAACGAGCGCACGGGGACGTGTGCACGAGGGCGTGTGCACGAGGGCGTGTGCACGAGGGCGTGTGAATTGTGGTTGAAACCTTTGTGACTCATGTCTGATGTCTTTGATCATTACTGCAACATCACTTTAATGTTTTATGTACATGCATCATACACACTTCTACCTGTTAGGACCAGACCAGACCAGACAAGACCAGAGCTGAGACCAGATCAGAGACCAGAGAGAGACCTACGACCAGAGAGAGACCTACGACCAGAGAGAGACCTGAGAGAGACCTGAGAGACCAGAGAGACCTGAGAGAGACCAGAGAGAGACCAGAGAAAGACCAGAGAGAGACCTACGACCAGAGAGAGACCAGAGAGAGACCAGAGAGAGAGAGACCTATAAGACCAGAGCTGAGATCAGAGCAGACCTCAACACTAATGGTTGGACACTAAACAAACTGTTTTTATCTGAGACGCAGTGAATTTAGAGATTATCATTTATCACAGAGATTACAGCTGCTCTTATCACTTTCTTTAACACGCATCATTTACATGGACCAGATTAGCAATAAGGAAGTACTGGTACAGGGCACAGGAAGTACAGGTACAGGTACAGCGCACAGGGACAGTTTATCTGAGCCAGAGTTTGACAGCTCATTTCTCTCCCTGCTTCTTGACAGACGCCTGAGAGAAAACAGTAGCATTTCTGACACACGTGAACTGAACACAAGCTACACACATGGACTGAACACACGCTACACACAGCGGACTGAACACACGCTACACACATGGACTGAACACACGCTACACACAGCGGACTGAACACACGCTACACATGTGAACTGAACACACGCTAAACACATGCAGACTGAACACACGCTAAACACATGCAGACTGAACACACGCTAAACACATGCAGACTGAACACACGCTAAACACATGCAGACTGAACACACGCTAAACACATGCAGACTGAACACACTCTACACACACGTGAACTGAACAGGAGGAGAAGAGGAGAGAGGACTGAGGAGAGAGGACAGAGGAGAGAGGACAGAGGAGAGAGGACAGAGGCCTGAGGAGAGAGGAGAGAGTACAGAGGACTGAGGAGAGAGGACAGAGGACAGAGGAGAGAGGAGAGAGTACAGAGGAGAGAGGAGAGAGGAGAGGGGAGAGAGGACAAAGGACTGAGGAGAGAGGACTGAGGAGAGAGGACAGAGGAGAGAGGACAGAGGAGAGAGGACTGAGGAGAGAGGACTGAGGAGAGAGGACTGAGGAGAGAGGACAGAGGAGAGAGGAGAGAGGAGAGAGGAGAGAGGAGAGAGGACAGAGGAGAGAGGACAGAGGAGAGAGGACAGAGGAGAGAGGACAGAGGAGAGAGGAGAGAGGACAGAGGAGAGAGGACTGAGGAGAGAGGACAGAGGAGAGAGGACCGAGGAGAGAGGACTGAGGAGAGAGGACAGAGGAGAGAGGACAGAGGAGAGAGGACAGAGGAGAGAGGAGAGAGGACAGAGGAGAGATGAGAGAGGACAGAGGAGAGAGGAGAGAGGAGAGAGGACAGAGGACAGAGGAGAGAGGAGAGAGGAGAGAGGACAGAGGAGAGAGGACAGAGGAGAGAGGAGAGAGGAGAGAGGAGAGAGGACTGAGGAGAGAGGAGAGAGGAGAGAGGACAGAGGAGAGAGGACAGAGGAGAGAGGAGAGAGGACAGAGGAGAGAGGACAGAGGAGAGAGGACAGAGGAGAGAGGAGAGAGGACAGAGGACAGAGGAGAGAGGACTGGGGCTGTCTGTCTCTTGGTTCTTCCTCCTCTTTAGGGTCCTCTCCTCTTTAGGGGGTCTCTCTCCTCTTCAGGGGGTCTCTCTCCTCTTCAGGGGGTCTCTCTCCTCTTCAGGGGGTCTCTCTCCTCTTCAGGGGGTCTCTCTCCTCCAGGCTCTGATGATCTTTGTGTGTGTCTCAGAGCTGAGGAGCTGCTGATCAGGTCTGAGAGTCTTCCAGGAGAATATGGGAAACTCCAGTAACAACATTAGTATTGTTACAAATAAAGGGTTAGGGTTTGTGTGTATCTGTAAAGTGTGTGTAACAGTGTGTATCTGTAAAGTGTGTGTAACAGTGTGTATCTGTAAAGTGTGTGTATCTGTACAGTGTCTGTAACTGTGTGTATCTGTACAGTGTGTAACTGTACTGTGTGTAACATCAATGTAAATGTGCGGTGGATTGAGGAACATGAGATCACGCCACACTATGCAAAACATGGACATTTGTGCAGCAGACACTGGACACACACACACACAGTCACACACACGCACACACACAGTCCTACCTGCTGTGGCTCAGCTCCTTCTCCTGTGAAAAGAGAGAAGAATAAAAAGAAACAGTCAGTGACTTTATAAATAACTTTATAAATAACTTTATAAATAACTTTATAAATAACTTTATACTTTTTACAGTTTTAGGTTCGTTAGAAACAAAGTCAATAACCTTTAGTGTTTATGTAACCCACACCTGGGACACGCCCACACCTGGGACACGCCCACACGGACACACCCACACCTGGAACACACCCACACGAACACACCCACACCTGGGACACGCCCACACGAACACACCCACACCTGGAACACACCCACACCTGGAACACACCCACACCTGGGACACGCCCACACCTGGGACACGCCCACACCTGGAACACACCCACACCTGGGACACGCCCACACCTGGGACACGCCCACACCTGGAACACACCCACACCTGGAACACACCCACACGGACACACCCACACCCGGGACACGCCCACACCTGGGACACGCCCACACCTGGAACACATCCACACGGACACACCCACACCTGGGACACGCCCACACCTGGAACACATCCACACGGACACACCCACACCTGGGACACGCCCACACCTGGAACACATCCACACGGACACACCCACACCTGGGACACACCCACACCTGGAACACATCCACACGGACACACCCACACCTGGGACACACCCACACCTGGAACACATCCACACGGACACACCCACACCTGGGACACACCCACAGATCAGTAGTTTAAAACTTCATAGAACTGGATACTAATCTAAGAAAGAATCAAAACTGAAAAAATTCAGAATCAGGAGAAAAAGTGAGATTCAAAAAAAAAACTGAGTTTTATTTCCCTGGACTGTGTGTGTGGACTAACACACACACACACACACACCAAATCATTCAGCTCAGTCATGGGTCTACAGCCTCAGTCCTGGGTCTACTAGCCTGGCTCTGCCAGACCCATGTAGTTCCGCCATGCTCCACCAGAGGTGTTTGGCTGAATTACATTCGTCTGGGACTCGATGATAGGAGTTGTATTTCAGAAGGCAGGGCCTTGTAGAAAAAAATCCTTGTGTGTGATTGGATAAACCACTTGTCCGTTTTCTTGAATGACGTCTGTTTTCAAGCACTCGCATCGAAGCACACGACTCTCATAGGTTGCCAAATGCCGGCTAGATTTTCCATCCCAAAATCTGAGAGAATGCCCAAAATATCAACTTGGGCTATCATGATTCTGTTTATTGTCTTTCTGTTTATCTATTACCTACAAGTCTCTTGGAAAAAGTATGCGGGAGACCACCCAACCTGGCATCCCCGCTGCTTAGTGTTGTAACAGGAACACCTACCCCAGTGCTTAAACCAAACTTTACACAAACATTTGACTCTTAAAACACACTTATATCAACATAGAACCATCAACATCTCGCTTCAAATTGCATTAAAAGTGACATCCGTGTCTTAATTCGTTCGTATTTAAACTTTTATAAAGATTTGCGGGCCGCCATCTTGGATTCCTTTCATTGCTGCATGACACGCACGAGAAGGCAGTGCAAACCCGACGTAACACCGGCAATCCTGATTGGTCGATTATTTTTTGATCTGCTGAAGGAGTTTGCTATGCGCTCGATACCAGACCAAAGTGGTTCAGCCAAACACCTCTGGTGGAGCATTGCGGAACTACATGGGTCTGGCAGAGCCAGGCTAGGGTCTACAGCCTCAGTCCTGGATCTACAGGGTCTACAGCCTCAGTCCTGCGGGTCTATAGCCTCAGTCCTGGGTCTACAGCCTCAGTCCTGGATCTACAGCCTCAGTCCAGGTCTCAGTAGATGTGTAGAGTGTGAGTGAATGCAGAGAGTCACACAATAGATCTGCCCATTCTCTGCTGCCATCGCTCACTGACCCCTCTGTTATGGGGTGACTGCAGACTGCGGGGAGAGGGGGCCCCCCAGAGTGGAGGGGGGGGACAGAGTGGGGGGGCGGAAGGGGGGAGGCAGAGGAGGGGGCCCCAGAACAGGGCTTCCCAGGGTCCTGTGTCCGAGCTGTCAGTGCGTGTCACTGCTGATCCATCGACCGTCAAAGCTCGCATTGTGATCGAGCTGCGGGAGGCCAGGAGAGGAGGAGCAGGAAGGCCAGGAGAGGAGGCGCAGGAGGCCAGGAGAGGAGGTGCAGGAAGGCCAGGAGAGGAGGCGCAGGAGGCCAGGAGAGGAGGTGCAGGAAGGCCAGGAGAGGAGGTGCAGGAAGGCCAGGAGAGGAGGTGCAGGAAGGCCAGGAGAGGAGGTGCAGGAAGGCCAGGAGAGGAGGTGCACGAGGCCAGGAGAGGAGGTGCAGGAAGGCCAGGAGAGGAGGCGCAGGAGGCCAGGAGAGGAGGTGCAGGAAAACCAGGAGAGGAGGTGCAGGAAGGCCAGGAGAGGAGGCGCAGGAGGCCAGGAGAGGAGGTGCAGGAAGACCAGGAGAGGAGGCGCAGGAGGCCAGGAGAGGAGGCGCAGGAGGCCAGTAGAGGAGGTGCAGGAAGGCCAGGAGAGGAGGCGCAGGAGGCCAGTAGAGGAGGTGCAGGAAGGCCAGGAGATGAGGCGCAGGAGGCCACCGACGAGAGGAGGTGCGCTTGAAGGAGGCAACTGATGGAGAGGAGGCGCGGGAGGAGAGGCCAGGGGAATGCCTGATGAAATTAAAGTGCTTTATGGCATTGCTGTGCTGTTACCGTGGCAACAGATAATTATGGACAATTAAGAGTTTGACGACTGGATCAAAGGGTCGAATGATCAAACAAACATAAGTGAATTAAAGTTTGAATGAGGCTCTACTCTACTCTACTCTACTCTACTCTACTCTACTCTACTCTACTCTACTCTACTCTACTCTACTCTACTCTACTCTACTCTACTCTACTCTACTCTACTCTACTCTACTCTACTCTACCCTACCCACTGGCGGAGAAGAGGCCAGGCACACGCTGCAACCCTCCTCCTCCCCATCTCAGTCTAGTTCTGGGCCAGCTCTTTCATCCTTCTCCCCGCTCCCACCACCAGGGTCTAGGCCTCAGAGGTTTGCCTGTTCTCTCTGGTCCTGCTCATGGTCCTCTCATCCACCAAACTTGTTTCAATACCATCGACATTTCAAATGTAAACAATCCTTTGCTGGTCTGTTGTTGAGGCCTGCAGCGGTTACTCCCAGGTTACTACTGCGGAACAACAGAAACAGTAAAATGATCTCTGCTGAATGGGAGAAGTCCTCCACCTGCTGCAGAAAGAGGAAGCAGAAAACAAAGAACTAACTCATCTGATCCTCTGTGTTGGAGGCGTAGCTAAAACTTTAAACATGTGAATAAAGCTGCACTCATCACTAACTTCCTGTTTCCAGCTCTCGTCCAATAATCGCTCGATAAAACCTGTTAAGGTTTTAAAATAGTCCCATCAGGAGAAAGGAGAAGGTTATTTTATACTGAGATGTCGTTTTACTGAATCGTTTAGAAGTCTCTGGTCTCTGGTCTCTGGTCTCTGGTCTCTGGTCTCTGGCAACAACATAAAACCTCCCGCTCCCTTTGGACCAATGTCTGTGTTTGTTATTATTGTATCTCCTGTATTTTAACTGTTGGATTTTCTGATCTGTTGTTGATGAATCCACAACGTTGTCAAGTTCTCAGAGAATTTAGGGCAAGAAAAATAAATGAAAATTACTTAAAATAATAAGTTTATTCTATAATTTTTCCAGAACGGTTTTTAGTCGACTAAACATGCTTAGACTGCTGCCCCCGCAACTTGCCAACGGATGAAGTGGAAGACATGGATGGATAAACAGTACCGGAATTTCCAGACTATAAGACGCCACTTTTTGGTAGTTTGCTGCGGTTTATATAGTGATGTGTCCAGTTAAAACAGTCAAGTCTCTTCTACACTAAACGTGAAAACCTGCAGTTTAAATCCAGGTGAGACTTATAGTCCAGGTGAGACTTATAGTCCAGGTGAGGCTTTTAGTCCCGGTGAGGCTTTTAGTCCAGGTGAGGCTTTTAGTCCAGGTGAGACTTATAGTCCAGGTGAGACTTATAGTCCAGGTGAGACTTATAGTCCAGGTGAGGCTTATAGTCCAGGTGAGGTTTATAGTCCAGGTGCGGCTTATAGTCCAAGTTTATAGTCCAAGTGAGGCTTATAGTCCAGGTGAGGCTTATAGTCCAGGTAAGTCTTATAGTCCAGGTGAGGCTAATAGTCCAGGTGAGGCTAATAGTCCAGGTGAGTCTTATAGTCCTGGTGAGGCTAATAGTCCATTAGCCAAGGTTAGTCCAAGGTTTATAGTTTATAGTCCAGAGAGTCCAGTCCATGTGTTCAGTCGACCACAGAAGCACAGACTCACCTTGGACTCACTGCGATCTGGAAACACGAAGTCCGTGGAGAGACTGAGGTGGAGACTGTGTCGTTCTGGTCTCGGGAACGTGATCCCGTTGTCAAAAGTCTTTGATCTGTGAGACTTGGTCCTCTGTCGCCCTGACGACGAAATGTGCTGCTGGACCTGACACATGTTCCCAGAGAGAGCCAGGGGCGAGATGATCCTAGGGACAGGGGACAGAGGGGACTGGGGGGGCAGGGGGGACAGGGGGGACAGGGGGGCCGTAGGGGAGGGTTCTTCCTGAGTTGGGCTCATGGCAGCGTCTCTGTAATCGCTTTGGGTCGGGCTCATGGCGGTCTCCTGGTACTCGCTCTGGGGTCTCCTGGTGCTCCTCATCCTCCTCAGGGTGGGGGAGGTGGAGATGCGTCCAGGAGCCTGACGGTCAAAGTGAAAGAAAGGAGCAGGGAGACCCTCACTGTCCACCAGGGACGAGTGTCTGAGGCGCGAGTGAGTGCGGCTCAGGTCTATGTGCATGATCAGGGGGCTGCTGGTCTGGGTCCCCCTCTCAGTCTGGGTCCCCCCATCAGTCTGGGTCCCCCTCTCGCTCTGCTCTGGGCCCCCCCTGTCAGTCTGGGCCCCCCCCTCGGTCTGGGTCTGTGCCTGACAAACACCAGGGCCCTCGTTCTCGGCCCACTCGATGTAGCTCCACTCCAGCTTCTTCTCAGGGTCCTCCTCCGTGTGCTGCAGGGTTACGTGTGTCATGGTGGACATGGGAGACGTGGAGGACATGTCAGACGCATGGTAGAGCTGCACTGGGGTAGAGCTGCACTGGGGTAGAGCTGCACTGGGGTAGAGCTGCACTGGGGCAGAGCTGCACTGGGGCAGAGCTGCACTGGGGCAGAGCTGCACTGGGGCAGAGCTGCACTGGGGCAGAGCCGCAGTAGAATCGCAGCTAACGGTCCGGTTCCCGCAAACGCTTTGGGTTGAGGTCAGATGCTAATCCTTTAGCATTCCAGCGCTGCTCACAGTCTCCTCAGACTCTGAGGGAAAAAGAAAAGTGTCGGTAGTAAGAATGAGGCTGAGCTGTAATCCCCCAAGGGATTTCACCACAGGTCACTGTAGTCTGCACCAGGGGTCTCCGTCACAACAGTCTCTGCTGTAGTCTGCACCAAGGGTCTCCGTCACAAGTCTCTGCTGTAGTCTGCACCAGGGGTCTCCGTCACAAGTCTCTGCTGTAGTCTGCACCAGGGGTCTCCGTCACAACAGTCTCTGCTGTAGTCTGCACCAGGGGTCTCCGTCACAACAGTATCTACATTAGTCTAACTTAGTCACAACAGTATCTACATTAGTCTAACTTAGTCTCAGTCACAACAGTATCTGCATTAGTCTAACTTAGTCACAACAGTATCTACATTAGTCTAACTTAGTCTCAGTCACAACAGTATCTACATTAGTCTAACTTAGTCACAACAGTATCTACATTAGTCTAACTTAGTCTCAGTCACGACAGTATCTACATTAGTCTAACTTAGTCTCAGTCACAACAGTATGTACATTAGTCTAACTTAGTCTCAGTCACGACAGTATCTACATTAGTCTAACTTAGTCACAACAGTATCTACATTAGTCTAACTTAGTCTCAGTCACAACAGTATCTGCATTAGTCTAACTTAGTCACAACAGTATCTACATTAGTCTAACTTAGTCATAACAGTATCTACATTAGTCTAACTTAGTCACAACAGTATCTACATTAGTCTAACTTAGTCACAACAGTATCTACATTAGTCTAACTTAGTCACAACAGTATGTACATTAGTCTAACTTAGTCTCAGTCACGACAGTATCTACATTAGTCTAACTTAGTCTCAGTCACAACAGTATCTACATCGGTCCCAGACAGAGACAGGTGCAGCGGAGATCCTCCGGGAGCTGCAGCTTTTGTGTCTTCGGGAAATTAGATAAATGTCATTGTTTGTTCTGCGCCACGCGATCAGAGGAGACGCCACATGCGACATCACAGTCTGTGCCTCAGATCCGAAAACCACAGAGACCTGCGCGTTTGGGAACGGCTCGTTCATGTCTATAGTCCGCGTTACTTACGTCTGTCCCCGGTGTCAGGCTGCAGCACGAACAGGTCTCTCAGTATCATGGAGCCTGGAGCCTGGAGCCTGGAGCCTGGGTCCTGGGTCCTGGGTCCTGGAGCTGCAGAGAGGGACAGGTCTGAGCAGCAGTCGCGGAGGGAATGGAGCTGTGTCCAAAGGCGAAAGGTGCGACTGCGTGCGCGCGGCTGTGCGTACGTGCGTGCGTGCGTGGGAACTAGAGCTCTCTTTCAAAAGCCTCGTTTCCACCAGCGAGACCTGTCCCTAGTAGAGTAGAGCAGAGTAGAGTAGAGTAGAATAGAGTAGAGTAGAGTAGAATAGAGTAGAGTAGAATAGAGTAGAGTAGAGTAGGGTAGGGTAGGGTAGGGTAGAGTAGAGTAGAGTAGAGTAGATTAGTGTAGAGTAGAGTAGAGTAGAGTAGAGTAGAGTAGAGTAGAGTAGAGTAGTGTAGAGTAGAGTAGGGTAGAGTAGAGTAGAGTAGAGTAGAGTAGAGTAGAGTAGAGTAGAGAAGGGAAGGGTAGAGTAGAGTAGAGTAGAGTAGAGTAGAGTAGTGTAGAGTAGAGTAGGGTAGAGTAGGGTAGAGTAGAGTAGGGTAGAGTAGAGTAGAGTAGAGTAGAGTAGAGTAGAGAAGGGAAGGGTAGGGTAGGGTAGAGTAGAGTAGATTAGTGTAGAGTAGAGTAGGGTAGAGTAGAGTAGAGTAGAGTAGAGTCGAGTAGAGTAGAGTAGAGTAGAGTAGAGTAGAGTAGAGTAGAGTAGGGTAGAGTAGAGTAGAGTAGAGTAGAGTAGAGTAGAGTAGAGAAGGGTAGGGTAGGGTAGGGTAGAGTAGGGTAGAGAAGGGTAGAGTAGGGTAGAGTAGAGTAGGGTAGGGTAGAGAAGGGTAGAGTAGGGTAGGGTAGAGTAGAGTAGAGTAGAGTAGAGTAGAGTAGGGTAGAGTATGGGCTGGTGGAAATGGGGCCAAAATCACATAGAAGGAGAAAATCTCTGACAGAAACACATCCAGACTTTCTGAGGCTTTCAGACTGCTTCTTCTTCTTCTCCCTCTTCTTCCTCTTCTTCTTCTTATTCTTCTTCTTCTTCTTGAATGACAGTGTCTTGTTCTGGTACTGGAGCTGCGAGTTTCAGCTCAAAATAAACCAGAGACAGAAAACACCCATTTCTTTGTTTTCAGCCCAAACAGCAGGTCAAAGTCTGTGGTCAAAGCAGGTGGGCGCGTTACTGCTGTCGGCCTGTAGGGGGCAGTGTGTGTGACTGACGCACACAGAGACACAGGTTGGACTCTAGCGCCTCCTGCCGCCGCAGAATAACAAGTACAACAGGAGAAAGTCTCACGTGTGCGTTTGTTATGTCTGACACTCAGAGGTTCACTTTGAAATACTCACTATTTACCCTTTACAAGGTTTAGTTATTATTGTACTCTATACTCTTCTCTACTGTACTCTACACTACTGTTCTTTACTCTACTGCACTGTACTGTACTGTACTCTACTCTACTCTATTCTAGTCTGCTGTACTCTTCTGTACTCTATTATACTCTACTGTACTCTACTCTACTGTACTCTATTCTACTCTACTCTACTGTCTACTCTGTGTTTGACGTCAGACTGTACAGTGTCAGACTGTACTGTCAGACTGTACACTGTACTGTCAGACTGTACACTGTCAGACTGTACACTGTACTGTCAGACTGTACACTGTCACACTGTACTGTCAGACTGTACACTGTCACACTGTACTGTCACACTGTACTGTCAGACTGTACACTGTCAGACTGTACTGTCAGACTGTACTGTCAGACTGTACACTGTCAGACTGTACTGTCAGACTGTACACTGTCACACTGTACTGTCAGACTGTACACTGTCACACTGTACTGCCAGACTGTACACTGTCAGACTGTACACTGTCAGACTGTACACTGTCACACTGTACTGTCAGACTGTACACTGTCAGACTGTACTGTACACTGTCAGACTGTACACTGTACTGTCAGACTGTACACTGTCACACTGTACTGTCAGACTGTACACTGTCAGACTGTACTGTCACACTGTACTGTCAGACTGTACACTGTCAGACTGTACTGTCAGACTGTACACTGTCACACTGTACTGTCAGACTGTACACTGTCACACTGTACTGCCAGACTGTACACTGTCAGACTGTACACTGTCAGACTGTACACTGTCACACTGTACTGTCAGACTGTACACTGTCAGACTGTACACTGTACTGTCAGACTGTACACTGTCAGACTGTACACTGTACTGTCAGACTGTACACTGTCAGACTGTACTGTCAGACTGTACACTGTCAGACTGTACACTGTCAGACTGTACACTGTCACACTGTACTGTCAGACTGTACACTGTCAGACTGTACACTGTACTGTCAGACTGTACACTGTCAGACTGTACACTGTACTGTCAGACTGTACACTGTCACACTGTACTGTCAGACTGTACACAGACCCTGAGAGGCTCCTCCCCCTAAGGGGCTGAAGAGGAGCCTCTGTCACAAACAGGAAGGAGGAGAAGCAAAAACACTCATTCAGCTGCAAACTTTGCTCTTTCAGTGTCCGCCGCGGGCATGCGCACTGCAGCAGGCCCTGAAGACAGTCGGAAACTCAGTCTGTAACAACTGAGGGAGAAACGTGTGGAGAATGTGGAGAACAGGAGCAGAGGCTGAAGTCTGACATGGAGCTTTAACTCTGCGCGACACCACTGAAAATGTCCGAACAACGCTCCAGCTTCCTCCACATCGGAGACATCGTGTCTCTGTACGCGGAAGGAGCGGTGCACGGCTTCATCAGCACTCTGGGGTGAGTCTCTGTGGGTCTCTGTGGGTCTCTGTGGGTCTCTGTGGGTCTGTGGGTCTCTGTGGGTCTGTGGGTCTCTGTGGGTCTCTGTGGGTCTGTGCTTCTTCTACTGTGTCCTGCTAAACTCACGTCTACACTTCTGGAAACGTGAATACTTCTGTGTTACTATTGGCAACATTGGCATCAAAGTTCCTTGATAGTGTTTGTATGAGGCCAACACAGAGCTACAGACTCTTAACTTCAATATTCTGCACTGAGATAAATCTGGAACAGTCTCCCTGAAAATGTGAGACAGGCCACTTCTCTGACAATGTTTAAATGCAGAAGAATTGTATCTTTTTAATGTTCTGTGATTTATGCCTTGTGTGCCAGCGCGTGTACCTCCTCACTGCCAGTGCATGTACCTCCTCCTCACTGCCAGTGCGTGTACCTCCTCACTGCCAGTGCGTGTACCTCCTCACTGCCAGTGCATGTACCTCCTCCTCACTGCCAGTGCATGTACCTCCTCCTCACTGCCAGTGCATGTACCTCCTCCTCACTGCCAGCGCGTGTACCTCCTCACTGCCAGTGCATGTACCTCCTCCTCACTGCCAGTGCATGTACCTCCTCCTCACTGCCAGCGCGTGTACCTCCTCACTGCCAGTGCATGTACCTCCTCCTCACTGCCAGTGCATGTACCTCCTCCTCACTGCCAGTGCGTGTACCTCCTCACTGCCAGTGCATGTACCTCCTCCTCACTGCCAGTGCATGTACCTCCTCCTCACTGCCAGCGCGTGTACCTCCTCACTGCCAGTGCATGTACCTCCTCCTCACTGCCAGTGCATGTACCTCCTCCTCACTGCCAGTGCGTGTACCTCCTCACTGCCAGTGCATGTACCTCCTCCTCACTGCCAGCGCGTGTACCTCCTCACTGCCAGCGCGTGTACCTCCTCACTGCCAGTGCATGTACCTCCTCCTCACTGCCAGCGCGTGTACCTCCTCCTCACTGCCAGTGCATGTTACTCCTCCTCACTGCCAGCGCGTGTACCTCCTCACTGCCAGTGCATGTACCTCCTCCTCACTGCCAGTGCGTGTACAGTACCTCCTCCTCACTGCCAGCGCGTGTACCTCCTCACTGCCAGTGCATGTACCTCCTCCTCACTGCCAGTGCGTGTACCTCCTCCTCACTGCCAGTGCTTGTACCTCCTCACTGCCAGCGCGTGTACCTCCTCACTGCCAGCGCGTGTACCTCCTCCTCACTGCCAGTGCATGTACCTCCTCCTCACTGCCAGCGCGTGTACCTCCTCAAAGCACTGTGATACACAGAGTTTAGCGACTGCAGACACTGAGCTGATGCAGACATATAAATAACATCGCCATAATCAATTTAGGGTAAAAAAGTGGCAGAAGCAAATCGTTTTCGGACTCTGAGGGTGAAACATGATTTGTTCCTGATAGTCCAGAGTCAATAACAAATCCCAGATACTTGAAACAATCCACACACTCAATCTGTTTACCCTGAGTAGTGATAATTCCACGAACACTCTTCTTTCTTTCTTTTTTATTTGAAAAGATCATTTGTTTTGTTTTTTCAGCATTCAAAACTAGTTTCAAGGAGTGCAGACGAGATTGTACAATATTTATTTATTATTATTTTTTTTTCAAAAAAGTTTTTTATTGAGCATCTTATACATCACAAATATTAAACATAATAATTGAGGCTCAAACTTTTTTATATAAAATAAAACATACAAAACAAAAACAAAAACAAACTAGAGCCCAACAATACAAGGTTTGCATAAATTGTGTATATACAAACTTATTTATGTTCATGTAGATTGCAGAAATTCTATGAATGGTTGCCAGATGTTCTGAAATGATGAAATATTATCTTTTAATAAATATCTAATTCTTTCAAGGTGTAATGTATTTGACAGGTCCCGCAGCCACACCTTAGCATTTGGCACGGTCGGTCCCTTCCAAGACATGAGTAGTATCTTTTTTGCGGTTATGAGAGAGTAGGAAATAAACCGACGTTGTGCTAGAGTGAGCTGTCGAAACCGCTGCGAAGTTCCAAAGATGATTAGCAGAGGGTCTGGGAGCAATGTAAACTTAAGAGTTTTTGACAAAGTATTAAATATTTCAGACCAATAAGTAGTAAGTTTAGGGCAGTTGAAGAAGGCATGGAACAGTGTTGCATCAGAGGACAGACACTTATCACATGTTGATGATGTGTTTGGGAAAATATTATGGATTTTAACTTTGGAGTAATGGAGTCTATGCATGATTTTGAATTGTATTAGACAGTGTCTGGCATTGTTGGAGCAACTGTGTATACATTCAAGAGCTTCTTCCCAGATATCATCAGGAATCTTAAGGCACATGTCTTTCTCCCAACTTTCCTTATATTTATTCGAAGAGGGGGAGTTAATCATCAGTAACTTATTATAGATGATGGAAATGAATTTATCTTTGCTTGCAGGTGTGTTCAAGCAGTCATCAATGATGGTCTGTGTTTCATTTTCAAAACTTATTGTATATTTACGTACATAGTCCCTGACCTGTAGATACCTAAAGAAATTGTTGCCATGTAATTCAAATTTTGCCTGTAATTGTGCGAATGTAGCAAAGTTACCATCAATGTATAGGTCACGGATGCAGTCTATCCCCAGTCTACTCCATTCGTTAAAGGTCAAATCTAAAATAGAAGGGGCAAAGGACGGATTTTTTGCGATTGGTAGTGTATGGGGGATTGTTTTGTGGTTGAAATGGGATTTGATTTGTTTCCAAATACGAATTAGGTTGTGTATAATCGGATTTTGATTGTATTTTGATTTGTCAATTGGGGTTGGTGAGAGTACTATAGCAACAGGTGCATATGGATTACAATCTTCAAGTTCTAAATTTAACCAGGTGGGAGGGTTGTTTGAAGTAGTCATGAAAGAGTTTATATTTTTGAAGGCACATGCCCAGTAGTACATTATAAAATTTGGAAGGGACAGACCCCCATTTACCTTAGGTTTGGTTAAGTGTTTTTTCATAATCCTTGGGGTTCTGTAATTCTATAGGAATGGTTGAACAATCGAGTCAATTTTCTTGAAGAAAGATTTTGTGAGAAACATGGGGATATTCTGAAACAAATACAGGATTTGTGGTAGGAAGACCATCTTAATAGCATTTATCCTTCCTAGTAAGGATATTGGCAATGTTCTCCAAAACTGAATCTTAATTTTAAGTTGATCCAATAATGGTATAAAATTCGACTTTATGAGTGAGGTAAATTGTTTTGTAACCACTATGCCTAAATAAGTAAATTTATCAATGGATACCTTGAACGGGAATTTTGATAGCGTTGTTTGAGGAATCGGGTGGATCGGCATTAATATACTTTTTGTCCAGTTTATACGATAACCTGAAAATTTCCCAAACATTTCAATTTTTCCTAGAATGGACGGAATTGAGAGGTGGGGTTTAGTCACATACAGCAGAATATCATCAGCGTATAACGAGATCTTATTATTTGTAGCCTTAGTCTGGTAGCCGAATATTTGAGGGTCTAAACGTATACTTTGTGCTAATGGTTCGATTGCGAGAGCAAAGATTAGTGCCGAAAGGGGACAGCCTTGACGGGTCCCTCTGTGCAGATTAAAGTATGTAGACAGGTTTTGATTTGTGCGAATTTGGGCTTTAGGGTTAGTGTATAGAAGTCTAATCCCATTTATAAACTTCTCACCTAAATTAAAGCGTTTAAGCACTTCAAACAAATATTCCCACTCTATCTGATCAAACGCTTTTTCTGCATCAAGAGTCAGAATAGCGAGATCATTATGTATTCTCCTATCAGTATATAAAATGTCAAACAGTCTGCGCAGGTTGGATGTCGAGTTTCTGTTTGTTATAAAACCAGTTTGGTCGTTATGAATTAGCGATTCCATTAGAGGGCTTAATCTATTGGAGAGAATTTTTGCATATATCTTATAGTCTATATTTAATAATGAAATTGGCTGATATGATCCAACATTTAATTCGTCTTCATCCTTCTTATGGATAACTGTAATTGTTGCTTGAGTAAGAGTAGGTGGTAGTGTGCCATCTTGTAAGGCTTGTTTATACATTCTATGGAGATATGGTATGAGGATATTACTAAACTTTTGTAAAGTTCGACCGGTATGCCATCTGGACCAGGTGCTTTACCACTTTTAATGGTGGTAATTGACTTTTGAATTTCTGTCGGGTGGATATCAGTATTTAGTTTATCTAAGTCTACAGAAGAGAGACATGGTAGGTTACATTTATCTAGAAACTTGGACATGACATCAGGATCAATATTGCATTTGGAAGTGTATAAATCAGAGTAAAATTGTAAAAACGTTGTGTTTATATCTTTAGGTTTAGTGAGCAGATGGCCCTTATCATTTTTGATTTTGTGAATAGTTCTATCTGCTTCCATTTTCCTGAGTTGTTGAGCTAATAATTTATTTGGTTTTTCACCAAATTCAAAGTATTTTTGTTTGGTAAATAAAAAGGCTGATGTGATTTTCTTTGAGAGAAGTTGGTTGAGTTGGTATTTTAAGTGTGTTATTTCTCTGTGTAAATCAGGGGTGGGGGTTAATGCATTTTTGTGATCTAGTTGCTGTATCTGTTCCTCCAGTTGTTTGTATTGAGTAGTCTCGTTTTTCCTTTTAGCAGCTTCATATGAGATGACACATCCTCTCAGATAGGCTTTAAAGGCCTCCCATAGGGTAAATGAAGTGATATCTGGTGTATCATTTATCTCAAAGTATAAACGTATTTGAGTCTCTATGAATTTACAAAACTCCTTTTCTGTAAGTAACTGAGGGTTCATTCTCCAAGATCTGCTGGGTGGGTCCATGCCTTCCAAATGTAAACTAAATGTCAATGGGCTATGGTCAGATATTGTGATGGGATGATATTTAGAATCCACTGTGAATGGGGCCAATTGTGCGTCTATAATAAAGTAGTCAATCCTGCTGTAAGAATTGTGGACTGGTGAGAAGAATGAGTAATCTCTTCCTGATGGGTTATTGAGGCGCCATAGATCTAATAAATTCATATTCACGAAATATGCATTCAGAAAAACACTTGAGTTGCTCTTGGGTGTTTTACGTGTGGCTGATCTATCAAGGTATGGATCTAATGGTGTGTTAAAATCACCACCTATTATCAATTTCGTTAGTGATATATTGGGGATTAAACTGAACACTTTCTTAAAGAATGTTGGATTATCAGTGTTCGGTGCATACAAGTTAACTAGTGTTACTGACGTGTTTTGGATCTCTCCAGAGATAATGACATAGCGACCTTCTTTATCAGTTATAGTTAGTTTATGTATAAAGGGCACCCCTCGCTTAATTAGTATGGCTGTGCCTCTTGATTTAGCAGAGAAGGATGAGTGGTACACTTCTTTTACCCATTTCGCTTTCAGTCTATTATGAGAATTATTCTTTAAATGAGTCTCTTGTAAGAAAATAATATCTGAATGTAGGGATTTTAAATGGTTCATAACTTTACCTCTTTTCACAGGGTTGTTTCCACCTCTTATGTTCCAACTAGTAAATGTCAATCCTCTTTTAGCACTTTGAGAATCTGTCATGTGACATATGGAAAAAGAAATGGAATATGAGTAAGAACATCATTCAGAAATCTGTAATAAGGCGATATTACTTCTACACTTGTATAAACAACAGGATTCTGGATTTTCAGGGCTGTGAACAGAATGAACAAAAAAGTAAACAACATAAATATAAACACCTCTGGCTAACACTAGGTAGCCTCAGGAAATGTCACTGGGAAGCGAGAAAGTAAAGCAATAAAATAAAAAATAAACTAACTTCCCTGTTGAGTAACTTAACTTGCTAAGACTGTTACTCTCTGTGGGGGGTGGCCCGTTGAGTCTATAAAGTTACGGCCATTTGTAAACGAAAAACAAAACAAAGGGGATTACTCCTAACCTGGAGTTCGAAATAGTGATAAACAGCTTCATTAACATTATATTATAATATAGTAAACTTTCGTGGTTATAACAAAATACAGTAGAACTTGTTCCCAATAAAATACAGTAGAACTTGTTCTCAATAAAATACAGTATAACTTGTTCTCGACTACTATACTGTATAGCGTTATCATACCAAACATCAGTAACATAGTATGAGGTAGTAAAACAAAACAAAAAGTTCCTGAGCGATTGTCATTACTGTACTTCAATTCGGATCACATTGCTTCTACCATCTGGTGACGCGCCGAGCCCGTGAGACGTTCAGCATACTCCTCAGCCTTCTGTGGGTCGGTGAAGGATAGCTGGGAACCGTTGTGTGTCACCAGGAGTCTTGCAGGGTAGAGCAGGCCATATCTGACGTCTGGTTGATTGCGTAGTACTTGTCTTGCTCTGTTGAATAGGGCCCTTCGCTTAACCACTGTGGGAGGGTAGTCGGGGAAGATTCGTATAGTTTTGCCTTGATATTGGAGGTTTTTAATCGTGGCCGCTTTGCGAAGGATCTCTTCCAAAACGTGATAGTGGTGAATGCGTATAACAAAGGGACGTGGGGGCTCAGATGGACTCGGACGCTGTCGTAGAGTTCTGTGAGCTCTGTCAATCATCGGTTGTTCATTTAGTGCGAGGGCATCCTTCAGTAAAGTGGCAATAAAGTCCCTCGGTTTTGTCATACCCAAGCCCTCACAAATACCAGTGATCCTGATGTTATTCCTCCGCGAGTTTCCCTCCAGTTCTTCATTCTTTCGTTTGAGTGTAGCCACATCAGAATTTAGGCTAGCCACTTGTTGCTCGAGCTGGCTAATGCTATCGGAATGTGCGGTTGCGGCCCGTTCCATATCAGCTGCTTTGTCATGTAACTTCTGAGAATTAGCTTCAATGCTAGCTATGGATGCTTGGACGGAGTTGTTCGCCATTGTTATCTCTTGCCTCAAATCGTTATAAACGCGTTCAATGCGTCTGTCTACATTCGCACAAATGTCATCTTTCATTTTGGCCATTTCACCTTTGAGGGCTGTGATGGCCGCCAATACGGCTCGGTTAGAGGTATCTTCTTCGTCATCAGTGGATTCCTCGTGGGCGTCCATATCACGCGAGCTCGGTGTCTGGTCGGGGCCTACATGGGCTGTTTTCTGCTTCTTGCCTTTTCCTGGCATCGTGTTGAAATAACCAGTCAGAAGTGAAGCCTCGACGTCGTAGTGGTAGAGGCGCTCCCCTTCGGTATAAATTACTTGCTTATTGGCCTTTGTATAAGTTTTTAAAGGATTTTGCGGACGGAGCTCTCACAGACACGTCCTACTCCTCCATCGCTCAGTGGCGCCCCCGAGATTGTACAATATTAAAAGCATTTTGTAGTTGCTCGTAGCCCTCTGTTAAAGATGTGGAGCAACAGTAAATAACAGTGTCGTCTGCATAAAGATGGTAAGACGCATTTGGGAGGTCGTCACACAGATTGTTCACATAAATTGAGAACAGCAAAGGGCCTAAAACTGAACCCTGTGGTACCCCCTTAGACACTTCTAAAAAGGAGGCAGTTGACCCAGACACTTGAACGCACTGTGACCTGTTTGACAGGTAGTCAGGGAACCACTCAGCTGCTTGGACGTGTGCACCTTGAAAGTGCAGAGCAAAACAAGAGCGAAACAATCACAAACTGGTAACTGCTGATGCAACACTGATATTTCCCCACAGGATCTAGTTTAAAGCTGGGGTACCTAACTTTTGTTCCATAAATAATACACATAGTTTGTCCCAACAGTAAAATGTTAGAAAGTATGTTATCGTTTGTGTACGAATGAGAATGATCCCTGTGATTCACTATTTGACTCTTTGGGCTGAGATCTGATTGGCTGAGATCTGATTGGCTGAGATCTGATTGGCTGAGATCTGATTGGCTGAGATCTGATTGGCTGAAGTCGGATATTTAATATGAGGCCAAAAGAGACACGAATCTGATGGAACCAAGCCCCGGCGATCCAAGATGGCGCCATATTCAAATGAATGGTTTGTGCTCAGTGGCGCCGGCACGGTCGCTGACATGTTAGCATAACTCGCCATATCACTCGCTATATTTGGGCATCGTCTGGTCCTCCCGGTTCTGTGCAGTGGATGAACTCCCATGATGCATTGCGGCAAATACGCGCGTGTGGCTGTCATGCACGCGCACAGAGGGACTCGGCCGCGCTCTGACCAATCAAAGCTGCTGATCAGAGCAGGAGTAAGCGCGGGAGCCAGACGAGCAGAGTTTGTGGAAGTAAAGTGGATTTAAAGAAAACTGAAGGATTTAAGAAGAAAAAAAGTTCAGGACGACAAGGGACACTAAAATCCCCACAAAATCCAACCTTTATGAAAGCTGTAGGTTCTCTGTCAGGTTCTCTGTCAGCTGAGGTCGCGCTGTTTTATTTTACATTGAGTCCTATGGGGAACATTTCTGGATAGCCCACATGAATTTAGTCTGGTTTAGTCTGGTTTAGTCTGCAGTACCGTGAGAATCCCCCGAGCACATGAGTCCTTCAGCTTCAAGCTGTAATACCCTGTCCAGTTATTATAATAGATCCATGGATGGAACCAAAGTGTTTTGAGAGGAACAAGGGAGATGTTTGAAAGTCAGGTACCTGAGCTTTAAACTCACAATCATGTGCTGCACATAACAGCTTTACATTAGTGCAATTAGCTGGACTTCTACTACTGCTACAGCTGCTACCACTGTTACTACTTCTACTACTGCTAATGCTATTGCTACTACTGCCACTACTACCAAAGAGTATTAAAGTACCAAGAGGGTAAACTCAATATAATATGATATTTATATAATAATATAATATGTATTAGAGTTTTGCCTCTTGTTATATTTACTCTTTGCTATTTCTGCAGCTACTGCTACTACCTGCTACTACTATTACTGCTGCTACTACTACTACTACTACTACTACTACTGCTGTTACTTTTACTGCATTGTACCTTTGCATTTCCCCTTTAGCACCCTTTGTAATAATTCCTACTTCTTCTAGTCTTAAACAGAACCTCTGGGAGCACAGGTGTCAGCTCCAACCTGCAGCAAAACAAATCTCCTTTTGGCAAATGTTTATTCTACAATAACAGTAAAACGACACTTTACCACAGCGACCCGTGGCTTTGCTCACTTTAACAACTTAGCACCAGTCTCCCAAATACTTTGCAACTTCCCGTGTTCTTCCCCATGTGTGCGTCGGCCTTAACACACAGCTGCGTGTTTGTATTGTGTGATTTGGCAAAGATTGTCGTCCCGTGACACAAGCTCTTTCCAGAGAACGTGTGGTTAATGCACTTTCAACGACATTTCAGTATCAGGCATGGCTCAGTGTGTGTCTGTGTGTGTGTCTGTGTCTGTCTGTGTTTGTGTGTCACGCATCGATAGGTGTAATGCTGGGGAGGTTGGTTCCGGGTGCTTTCTCTCTCTGGCCCCAAGGAATGAGCCCCACCCACTCTCTCTCTACTTCCTGCTCGAGACTCAGATCTCTGTCTCTTTCTCTCTCTCTCTCTCTCTCTCTCTCTCTCTCTCTCTGTCTGCTCCAGACTCAGATCTCTCTCTCTCTCTCTCTCTCACTCACTCTCTGACTCTCTTACTCTCTCTCTCTCTTACTCTCTCTCTCGTCTAAGTAAATAAACAGAAATCTTATCTCTGAGTCACTCATCACTCACCGTGGTTTCAGCACTTGTCAAGGTCCATGGAGACCAAGAGCGGTCGCTAAAGCAAAACTCTTTTTCCCAAGAACATGAGTAATGTGTACTCAGGGCTCAGGACTCGGGACTCCGGTCTCTAGTCTCTGGTTTTGGGTCTCTGGTCTCAGGTCTGCTGCAGATCACTGCATTCTGAATGTGGTTTAAGTCTTTGTGAGTTTGATTACAAACCCTCAATACTAATAGAAAGACTAGATCATCCTCACCCATTCACTCCCTCATTACATTCACACCTGTTGTACATGTGTTTACCGGAGCACCTGGAGGAAACCTACACAGAGAGAATGTGTAAACTCTGCACAGAAAGGTCTGCAGGTGGAATCGAACCCTGAACTTTCACAAACACAAACCAAGACCTGTTTTAGCTCTAGGATCTCCTCAGAACAGATGACCTCTCACTTCTGAATTTGTGTGTGACGCAACAACCACAGAGCTGTTTCTTTGCCACGATTTGTCTAAATGTAGCTGCACATCAAACCTGCTGGGTCATATTTATCATTAGTTCATGTTTAACCCGCTGTGTTTGAGCTGTCGCTCACTTATTCTTTATGAGCGCTTCCACATCGCCTTCCTTCCTTCCTCCTGTTTGCTCCAAAGCCTTAATATCACTTCCTATGGCCTATTGTGCTAATGCTACATGCTAATATCACTTCCTATGGCCCAGAGAGAGAGAGACCAGAGAGAGAGAGAGACCAGGGCAGAGCCTGACTGGGACTGAAACGGTTTTAAACAAATAAATCATTTCCATAAAAGCCTGAACTGTTAATTCAAAGTGAGTCTTTGTCTCTGCTGCGATTTATGCAAATGTTAGAGCTGCAGTTAGAGCTCTGGTTAGAGCTGTGGTTAGAGCTGTAGTTAGAGCTGTAGTTAGAGCTGTAGTTAGAGCTGCAGTTTGAGCTGCAGTTTGAGTTGTAGTTAGAGCTGTAGTTAGAGCTGCAGTTTGAGCTGTAGTTAGAGCTGTAGTTTGAGCTCACTGTGTCCGTGTTTTCAGTTTGGTGGATGATCGTTGTGTGGTGCAGCCGGACACTGGAGACTTGAGCAACCCTCCAAAGAAGTTCAGAGGTAAAGGGTCTGGTTTTGTTGTTACAGACTGTAATGTTTGATGTTGTTAGACTGTAATGTTTGATGTTGTTACAGACTGTAAGGTTTGATGTTGTTACAGACTGTAATGTTTGATGTTGTTACAGACTGTAATGTTTGATTTTGTTACAGACTGTAATGTTTAATGTTGTTGCAGACTGTAATGTTTGATGTTGTTGCAGACTGTAATGTTTGATGTTGATACAGACTGTAATGTTTGATGTTTTTACAGACTGTAATGTTTGATGTTGTTGCAGACTGTAATGTTTGATGTTGTTACAGACTGTAATGTTTGATGTTACAGACTGTAATGTTTGATGTTGTTACAGACTGTAATGTTTGATGTTGTTACAGACTGTAATGTTTGATGTTGTTACAGACTGTAATGTTTGATGTTGTTACAGACTGTAATGTTTGATGTTGTTGCAGACTGTAATGTTTGATGTTGTTACAGACTGTAATGTTTGATGTTGTTACAGACTGTAATGTTTGATTTTGTTACAGACTGTAATGTTTGATGTTCTTGCAGACTGTAATGTTTGATGTTGTTGCAGACTGTAATGTTTGATGTTGTTACAGACTGTAATGTTTGATGTTCTTGCAGACTGTAATGTTTGATGATGTTACAGACTGTAATGTTTGATGTTGTTACAGACTGTAATGTTTGATGTTGTTACAGACTGTAATGTTTGATGTTGTTACAGACTGTAATGTTTGATGTTGTTGCAGACTGTAATGTTTGATGTTGTTGCAGACTGTAATGTTTGATGTTGTTAGACTGTAATGTTTGATGTTGTTGCAGACTGTAATGTTTGATTTTGTTACAGACTGTAATGTTTGATGTTCTTGCAGACTGTAATGTTTGATGTTGTTGCAGACTGTAATGTTTGATGTTGTTACAGACTGTAATGTTTGATGTTCTTGCAGACTGTAATGTTTGATGATGTTACAGACTGTAATGTTTGATGTTGTTACAGACTGTAATGTTTGATGTTCTTGCAGACTGTAATGTTTGATGATGTTACAGACTGTAATGTTTGATGTTGTTACAGACTGTAATGTTTGATGTTGTTACAGACTGTAATGTTTGATGTTGTTGCAGACTGTAATGTTTGATGTTGTTAGACTGTAATGTTTGATGTTGATACAGACTGTAATGTTTGATGTTGTTACAGACTGTAATGTTTGATGTTGTTGCAGACTGTAATGTTTGATGTTGTTACAGACTGTAATGTTTGATGATGTTACAGACTGTAATGTTTGATGATGTTACAGACTGTAATGTTTGATGATGTTATAGACTGTAATGTTTGATGATGTTACAGACTGTAATGTTTGATGTTACAGACTGTAATGTTTGATGTTGTTACAGACTGTAATGTTTGATGTTGCAGACTGTAATGTTTGATGTTGTTGCAGACTGTAATGTTTGATGATGTTACAGACTGTAATGTTTGATGATGTTACAGACTGTAATGTTTGATGATGTTACAGACTGTAATGTTTGTTACAGACTGTAATGTTTGATGTTGTTACAGACTGTAATGTTTGATGTTGCAGACTGTAATGTTTGATGTTGTTACAGACTGTAATGTTTGATGTTACAGACTGTAATGTTTGATGTTGTTACAGACTGTAATGTTTGATGTTGTTACAGGCTGTAATGTTTGATGTTGTTACAGACTGTAATGTTTGATGTTGTTACAGACTATAATGTTTGATGTTGTTACAGACTGTAATGTTTGATGTTGTTACAGACTGTAATGTTTGATGTTGTTACAGACTGTAATGTTTGATGTTGTTACAGACTGTAATGTTTGATGTTACAGACTGTAATGTTTGATGTTGTTACAGACTGTAATGTTTGATGTTGTTACAGACTGTAATGTTTGATGTTGTTACAGACTGTAATGTTTGATGTTGTTACAGACTGTAATGTTTGATGTTGTTACAGACTGTAATGTTTGATGTTGTTGCAGAATGTAATGTGTGATGTTGTTGCAGACTGTAATGTTTGATGTTGATACAGACTGTAATGTTTGATGTTGTTAGACTGTAATGTTTGATGTTGTTACAGACTGTAATGTTTGATGTTGTTAGACTGTAATGTTTGATGTTGTTAGACTGTAATGTTTGATGTTGTTGCAGACTGTAATGTTTGATGTTGTTGCAGACTGTAATGTTTGATGTTGTTGCAGACTGTAATGTTTGATGTTGTTGCAGAATGTAATGTGTGATGTTGTTGCAGACTGTAATGTTTGATGTTACAGACTGTAATGTTTGATGTTGATACAGACTGTAATGTTTGATGTTGATACAGACTGTAATGTTTGATGTTGTTGCAGACTGTAATGTTTGATGTTGTTAGACTGTAATGTTTGATGTTGTTGCAGACTGTAATGTTTGATGTTGATACAGACTGTAATGTTTGATGTTCTTGCAGACTGTAATGTTTGATGTTGTTAGACTGTAATGTTTGATGTTGTTGCAGACTGTAATGTTTGATGTTGTTGCAGACTGTAATGTTTGATGTTGTTACAGACTGTAATGTTTGATGTTGTTACAGACTGTAATGTTTGATGTTCTTGCAGACTGTAATGTTTGATGTTGCAGACTGTAATGTTTGATGTTGTTGCAGACTGTAATGTTTGATGTTGTTGCAGACTGTAATGTTTGATGTTGTTGCAGACTGTAATGTTTGATGTTGTTACAGACTGTAATGTTTGATGTTGTTGCAGACTGTAATGTTTGATGTTGATACAGACTGTAATGTTTGATGTTGATACAGACTGTAATGTTTGATGTTGTTGCAGACTGTAATGTTTGATGTTGTTGCAGACTGTAATGTTTGATGTTGATACAGACTGTAATGTTTGATGTTGTTGCAGACTGTAATGTTTGATGTTGTTGCAGACTGTAATGTTTGATGTTGATACAGACTGTAATGTTTGATGTTGTTAGACTGTAATGTTTGATGTTGTTAGACTGTAATGTTTGATGTTGTTGCAGACTGTAATGTTTGATGTTGTTGCAGACTGTAATGTTTGATGTTGTTGCAGACTGTAATGTTTGATGTTGTTACAGACTGTAATGTTTGATGTTGTTACAGACTGTAATGTTTGATGTTGTTGCAGACTAATGTTTGATGTTGTTGCAGACTGTAATGTTTGATGTTGTTGCAGACTGTAATGTTTGATGTTGTTGCAGACTGTAATGTTTGATGTTGTTGCAGACTGTAATGTTTGATGTTGTTACAGACTGTAATGTTTGATGTTGTTACAGACTGTAATGTTTGATGTTGTTGCAGACTAATGTTTGATGTTAGGCTGTAATGTTTGATGTTGTTGCAGACTGTAATGTTTGATGTTGTTGCAGACTGTAATGTTTGATGTTGTTGCAGACTGTAATGTTTGATGTTGTTGCAGACTGTAATGTTTGATGTTGTTGCAGACTGTAATGTTTGATGTTGTTGCAGACTGTAATGTTTGATGTTGTTGCAGACTGTAATGTTTGATGTTGTTGCAGACTGTAATGTTTGATGTTGTTGCAGACTGTAATGTTTGATGTTGTTGCAGACTGCCTGTTCCGGGTGTGTCCCATGAGCCGTTATTCTGCTCAGAAGCAGTTCTGGAAAGCTAAACAGGGGAAACCAGGATGTAACAACACTCAGGCCGACCTCTTCAAGAAGCTACAGGTACTACACTGACCAGGGGCGTGGTCAGGAGGTTTGGTCGGGGGGGTGGCCAGGAGGTACTACAGGTACAACACTGACCAGGGGCGTGGTCAGGAGGTTTGGTCGGGGGGGTGGCCAGGAGTTACTACAGGTACGACACTGACCAGGGGGTGTGGCTTGGGGGCGTGGCCAGGAGGTACCAGCAACAGAACGATTACATAGTTTTATAGTATTTTTGTGACATGACATTTTGTGTTCCCTGCTTTTGTTGTGTCTCTTTTCTCCTGGACTTTTTGTTGCTTCACTGTCTTCTCTTTGTGTCTCTGATGTGTGTGTCCGTTTGCAGCACGCGGCGGAGCTGGAGCAGAAACAAAACGACTCTGAGAATAAAAAACTTTTGGGAGAAATCGTCAAATACAGCAACGTAATCCAGGTACTTCCCGCAACAGTCGCGGTCCTCACTTTCCTGTAGTTTCAGAAGTTTCCGGAGGCTTCAATCATTAATGTAACTCTTCACTGTTAAAGCTCAGGTCTCTGCTTTTACAGTTGGATCATGAGTTGTTTCAAACGTCCGCAGTCGTCATCAGTTTGTTATTGACACTGATGCTAAAGCTACGTCGCTAACTTCACCTTGAAATAGTGATTTAGGGAAATCCCATTATACACTTCTTTCTATCGCTGTTAAAAACAATTAAACTAAAGCAGTTTCTCAATCTCTGCTTTTGCGATTGTTTGGACAGACCTGGAGACAGCAGTGAGTGCGGCTGCTTTTGTTTTGAAGCAGAAAGGTTCATGCTGTTATTGATTGTGTTTATCAGAACTAATACACACCATTACATGACATTTGAAATGACATTGAAATCTTTGGAGCGTTCTGCTGCTGCTGGGAGGAGCTGTGTAACAAAGTAACAAACAAAAGAACTTGAAATATGATTTTTGTGCAAAAGTAAAAGCGCTTTGTGACTCTGGTCTGTGAAAGGCGCTATATTAATAAATATTACTTACTTTACTTTCTGTTTCTTCAGCTTCTTCACATAAAGAGCAACAAGTTCCTGACGGTGAACAAGCGTCTGCCCGCGCTGCTGGAGAAGAACGCCATGAGGGTTTCTTTAGACCCCGACGGGAACGAGGGCTCCTGGTTCAACATCCAACCGTTCTGGAAACTCCGCAGCGAAGGAGACAATGTGGGTCACAGATGTTTTTAGGATCTGTTATTTAGGCAAAGAGAGTAAAGAAGCTAGCACGGCTGCATCACCACATGTTTGGAAGCGGGGACTGGATGAAGCTTCAGGTTTATTTATAGAATCTTCCAAGTCTTAAACTTAAAGAAGATATAAAGAACTTGTTACATTGAAACCATGAAACATAAGAATAATGAAATTATATTATATATTCTCCTGAGTCCGTCTCAGTAACTTGTGTTTTGTCCTTTTGTCTTTAGCTTCCTCTGGTTAAAGGTATTTTCATTCTGCATGAGTTTGTCTTTGAAGGTGTGTCTCAGACCTTCTTCTTCCCCTCAGGAACATTACTTCCCATTATTATTACAGTTTATCCTATACATCCTATACATGCTATATATCCTATACATCCTATACATGCTATATATCCTATATATCCTATACATCCTATACATGCTATATATCCTGTCCTGATGGACAGATCACTTTTATTATTCCATGTTTAAAAAACCACACAGAGCAGACGCAGAGCAGACGCAGAGCAGACGCAGACGCAGACACAGAGCAGACCATACAGAGCCAGAATAGACGTAGAGCAGACGCAGACACAGCAGACACAGAGCAGACCATACAGAGCCAGAATAGACGTAGAGCAGACGCAGACACAGCAGACACACAGCAGACACAGAGCAGACACAGACGCAGACACAGACGCAGACACAGAGCAGACCATACAGAGCCATAATAGACGCAGACGCAGAGCAGACGCAGAGCAGACGCAGACCATACAGAGCCAGAGTAGACGTAGAGCAGACGCAGAGCAGACGCAGACACAGAGCAGATCATACAGAGCCAGAGTAGACGTAGAGCAGACGCAGGCGTAGAGCACACACAGAGCAGACACCGTGTGATCTTTTTTCCTTGTGGCATGAACGAGTGTTTTGTTTTATTGCACGCCTGCACCGTCTGTTAAAGAGGACGTATTGCACAGAAGTTGCACTCACTTTGCATTTGACTTATTATTATAATTATTCAGTTCCTGAGAGAGGGAGACACCCAAGAGAGGGAGACACCCAAGAGAGGGAGAGACCATAGAGAGAGGGAGAGACCATAGAGAGAGGGAGAGACCATAGAGAGAGGGAGAGACCCAAGAGAGAGGGAGAGAGACCCGAGAGAGGGAGAGACAGTCCAGGCAGTATCATGGACCCGTTCCAAAGTTAGACCGGAGCTTTAATGTTGTGTGTTTGAAGGTGGTGGTCGGAGATAAAGTGGTCCTGATGCCGGTGAACGCCGGGCAGCCTCTGCACGCCAGCAACATCGAGCTCCTGGACAACCGCGGCTGCAAAGAGGTACAGCCAAAAGAGAGTGACCGACTGTCTCCAGGTGCAAATCATGTTTTTAAAGGAGCAGTATGTAAGATTTTCATGTCAAGTCATCATTAAAGGGGCCCAATCTGTCATCATTAAAGGGCCTTAATCTGTCATTAAAGGGCCCTGATCTGTCATCATTAAAGGGCCCTAATCTGTCATAATAATAAACTGCTCTTTTCCAATACTTCTTTAACTGATAACAGTAGTTCAGAGATATTTGAATTTCTAACTTACTTTTACAGCCTCTAAATCTTGTTATTGTTTTCATTTCGATGTCCCGCCCTCCACCGTTTCACCAATCAGAAAGTCTGTGATCCGGGCGCCAGAATTGGTCGAGCTAATCTCACTGGTAAAGTACCATGTGGAGCAGAACTAAAAAGGTCTCGTTATGATTCTCAAATCATTAACGACAAAACAAAGGAATAAAACCAGGATTTCTATCTTTGTGAAAAAGGTGTTGGTTATAGATTTGTTGTTGACTAAACTCTTGTCTATTCAGCTGTTATGGTCCCAGCTGGATTCGTCTGCATATCTGGCAACCTGAGTCAGGGAGAGTGGGAGAGGCTGCAGTACCACTTTTGGTCACATTTTTACACACTGCTCCTTTAAATAGATCCACTATTGTCAGTTGTAACTCGTCCTGTGTCTATCGTGTTTGGAATTTCTCACATTTCTGCATAAAATAAAATAAATACAATTTTAGAGGAGGATTTTCTACTTCTGGGTGGATCATCGATGTCCTCCTGGCGATACGTTCTCGTTCAATAAGACCAGAGAGATTTGATCAAAAGTGGAGAGGGCGGTTCTTTCCTGAAACTTGGGAAAATCCTCCATTTAACCTTTAAGTAAAACACAGATAATTAGGTTTTGATTATTTTAATAATGATTGCACAGAAATAATGACTGAAGGGGGAAGCGTAAGTCACTTTTAACAGCTGGTTTCCTTGGACTTTGGACCAGGATCAGTTTTTGACAATTCTTCTTTACACGACAGCTGTGTTCAGTCAGAGATGTCTGTTATGACGCCATAGACTCTCACTGGGTTCAAGTCCGGACTTTGACTTTGACTCCAGTCACAACACTTTAGTCCCAGCGCTGATCTAAAGCAGGAAGTAAAAAAATACCTGGTACCGGTTTAACAAGACCATGGGAATGCTCCAAATTAGAGAAGAGTAAAAGTAAGAGGTAAAGTAGGACCAAGTAGGACCAAGTAGGACCTAACGCTAGCAGGTGCTAACAAGTTCTGTGTTCTCCACGTCTCAGGTCAACGCTGTCAACTGTAACACAAGCTGGAAAGTGACTTTGTTCATGAAGTTCAGCGACTACAGAGAAGACATCTTAAAAGGAGTGAGTGGCTATAACCAGGTGGAAAGAGCTGGTGTGATTGGTGTGTGTGTGTATGGTGTCCCAGGGTGATGTTATAGGTGTGTGTGTATGGTGTCCCAGGGTGATGTTATAGGTGTGTGTGTGTGTGTGTCGCAGGGTGATGTTATAGGTGTGTGTGTCGCAGGTGATGGGGTTGTGTGATAGGTGCGTGTGTGTGTGTGTGTGTCGCAGGGTGATGTTATAGGTATGTGTGTGTGTATGGTGTCCCAGGGTGATGTTATAGGTGTGTGTGTGTGTATGGTGTCCCAGGGTGATGTTATAGGTATGTGTGTCGCAGGTGATGGGGTTGTGTGATAGGTGCGTGTGTGTGTGTGTGTGTCGCAGGGTGATGTTATAGGTGTGTGTGTGTGTATGGTGTCCCAGGGTGATGTTATAGGTATGTGTGTCGCAGGTGATGGGGTTGTGTGATAGGTGCGTGTGTGTGTGTGTGTGTGTCGCAGGGTGATGTTATAGGTGTGTGTGTGTGTATGGTGTCCCAGGGTGATGTTATAGTTATGTGTGTGTGTATGGTGTCCCAGGGTGATGTTATAGGTGTGTGTGTGTGTGTGTGTAGTCCCAGGGTGATGTTATAGGTATGTGTGTCGCAGGTGATGGGGTTGTGTGATAGGTGCGTGTGTGTGTGTGTGTGTGTCGCAGGGTGATGTTATAGGTGTGTGTGTGTGTATGGTGTCCCAGGGTGATGTTATAGTTATGTGTGTCGCAGGTGATGGGGTTGTGTGATAGGTGCGTGTGTGTGTGTGTCGCAGGGTGATGTGATAGGTGCGTGTGTGTGTGTGTGTCGCAGGGTGATGTCGTGAGACTGTTCCACGCGGAGCAGGAGAAGTTTCTCACTTCAGATGAATATAAGAAACAGCAGCACGTTTTTCTTCGCACGACTCTGCGGCAGTCGGCCACATCTGCCACCAGCTCCAAGGCTCTGTGGGAGATCGAGGTGAGCTGCAGCTCCTCCTGGTCTCCTCCCTCTGTATCCTGGGTCACCTCCTGGTCTCCTCCCTCTGTGTCCTGAGTCTCCTCCCTCTGTGTCCTGGGTCTTTTCCTGGTCTCCTCCTGGTCATCTCCTCCTGTCTCCTTCCTCTGTGTTCTTTCAGGGTTTAGTTTTATAAACAAGACCAGGTCAGGTTTATAACTGGTCTCTCTCTGGTCTCTCTCTGGTCTCTCTCTGGTCTCTCTCTGGTCTCTATCTTGCAGGTCGTGCACCATGACCCCTGCAGAGGAGGAGCTGGACAGTGGAACAGTCTTTTCCGCTTCAAACACTTGGCCACAGGGAACTACCTGGCAGCTGAAGTGAGTCACACACACACAACATACATACATGCGTACGTACATATATGCGTACTTACGTACATGCGTACTTACGTACCTGCATGCATGCATACATACAGTAACAGTACAGACCAAAAGTGTTTTATTTTCATGATAATGAGAAATGTAGATTCTCACTGAAGGCATCAAACCTATGAATGAACTCATGTGGAATTATGTACGTACTGAAAAAGTATGAACCAAATGAAAACATGTGTTATATTCTGGGTTCTTCAAAGTAGCACCTTTTGCTCTGATTCTGCTTCACTCTTGGCATTCTCTGGATGAGCTTCAAGAGGACCTGAAATGGTCTTCAACAGTCTTGAAGGAGTTCCCATGATGCTTAGCACTTGTTGGCCCCTTCACTCTGCGGTCCAGCCCCTAAACCATCTGGACTGGGTTCAGGTCCGGTGACTGTCATCAAGCCCAGCACCATCACTCTCCTTATTGGAGGATCTTGGAGTGACGTCGTTGTTTATAGTTTTTCCGCTCCCGTCACGTGACTGTGTGGCACTACAGCATAGAAAGCTTCCTGGATGTTAGAGAGTTATCTATTATTAGACGTTTGTAGAGAGGTTTTACTAAATCAAATGGGCCGTTCCTGTTGTGTGGTCGGTTGTACGGCCCGCTGGGGACAGATTCAGTTTTTTTTCTAATTCTTTTGGAAAAGAACAACGAAAAACGGCCGCTGTAAAGTGGTTGCCCTTTTAAGCTGTTACCTACGGTCATGAATCATTTTGGTTGCTCATCCCCGCGGCTTCCTGTTCCACCTTTACCGTAAGTAACAGCAAACAGTGACAGCCCGCTTTTGATGTGCTTTACCGCGACGGCGAAAGGCCGGGCCACTTTACCGCGGTGAAAAACGCGGTAAAGTCCCTTCATGAGTGAAGGGTCCCGGGTTTTGTATGAAGTAAGAATAAATGTCTCCCAGTCCCAGTCCCAGCAGATCGGTGCCAAACAGAGGTGAGTCTGACCAATGTTTTTTCTCGTTATCCCAGGTCTCATATGGGCTTTGGATTTGTTCAGTTCGGTCTCATATACTTATTTTTAGCTTGTCTTTATATCTCCTCTGATCTTCTTGCGTTAAAGTGCTTATATACAGTGCTATTCGCCCACTGAGTGAGTGAAGACAGTGCTCTGTCTTCTTGCCACACAGCGAGTGGCGCATGTGCACGCGGGTGTAAACAAAGATCCTCCTATTGGTCAAACAGCCCTTACACAGCCTGGTGTGGATCTACAGGCAATAGTCATGAAAATAACTCAGTGAAGGAGGAAGGGAGTCCAAATTTTTGCTCTGTACTGTATGTATATATACATACATATGTACGTACATATAATATACACTATACATACAAATACATGTTTGTTTTACAGTGTTATGGATTTGTTCTTTTAATGAAAAAGTGAAATAAAGGAGACTTAGGAATGAGACCAGAGAGAGAAAGGTCAAACTCACAACACCATTTTTAGTGTCCCCTAAAATAATTGTCTATTATTATGATGAACTTACAGCATCGATGGCAAACGGCCACAAAGGCATGTTATACATCATCTATTTACTCAGCAAAACAAGTTTCATTCATTCTAAAATTTTAACAGATAATAGAAGTGAAATAGATCTTACCAATCCAAAAATGAAAATATATCCTATAGCAATAAGTAGAAGAATCAATGAGTGGGTGGTCATAATAGAAGCTGACACTATTCTACTTAAAGACTTGTGCATGTGTCAGAATGCGTCCATTACACAATTCTTCATAGAAATATGTAATACTTATAATATATTAAACTATAAATCATGGTTCGTGTATCACTGTTCTTTACCAAACTATTTCCTTATATTCTCTGTATCTGTGCAGTTCTGTGTGTGTCCTGCAGGGGGCAGTGTCTCCTTTGTATCTGTGCAGTTCTGTGTGTGTCCTGTAGGGGGCAGTGTCCGCTTTGTATCTGTGCAGGTCCCTCTGTATCCCGTAGGGGGCAGTGTCTCCCCTGTTACTGCTGTCAGAGCCTGATTGACAGAGTTGAGAAACATTATGTCATTTTTAACTTGTTGTTTTTACAGATAAACCCTGAATTCAAAGATGACTCTGAGCCCAAAGCAGAAGTAAGTCCTAAAAACATCAGACTATACTTATATTTCATACTCTTACTACATACTTATTAATACTTATACCATATACTTGTACTACATACTAATACAGTACTAATACTACATCTCTGTGGCTGGATGGAGAGTAGACACAAAGACACATTTGTCTATTTATGTCATTTGTTAGAGAAAGTTTATATTATATTATTATATTATATTATGATTAAGTCCTGAGTTTTTGGACAAATCTCTTTCCTCTGATTGTGTTTGAGACAAATCTTCAGCTCAGACGGATCCACACGAGCCTCACATTTGTACATTTGTATTCTGCCAACGCACAGTTCTGTATGCAGCATCCAGACACACTCAGGGATCTTACATAAGGTGTGTGTGTGTGTCTGTGTGTGTGTCTTTGTCTGTGTGTCTGTGTGTGTGTGTCTTTGTCTGTGTGTGTGCCTGTGTGTGTGTGTGTGTGTGTCTTTGTCTGTGTGCCTGTGTGTGTCCCTGTGTGTGTGTGTGTGTGTGTCTGTGTGTGTCTCTGTGTGTGTGTGTGTGTGAATCTGATTAGTTCAGATGGAGACATTAAACTGGGTAAACGGCCTAAACTCAGTCGTTTGTTGAAATTAGTTGTTGTGGATCTTGCCACATCCTCTGAGAACATTTGATCTGGACCTTTCCAAGTCTTCACCGCAAGTCTGAACCCCGGGGACCGAGTCTGAACCCTCTGGAACTCTCCATCAGAGATCAGAGAGGCAGGACCAGTGTGGGGGGCAGAGACGGGACCAGTGTGGGGGGACATGTTGAGGTCCACATTCTCTGCATGTGGGAACTTTGTAATTTATTCCACCAGCGTTTTTTTTTTTATTAAAAAGCTCAGAGTGGTGGTGAGGGTACGTGCTGTCTCTGTCTGTGAGTGTGTGTGTCTGTGTGTGTCTCTGTGTGTGAGAGTGTGTGTCTCAGTGTGTAAGAGTGTGTGTCTTTGTGTGTGTGATGCTGGTGCTGAGTTGCCAGAGTGACTCACCGCTGGAAGAGTGGGAGGACTGAGGCGCTCTGAGATAAACTCTGGGGAGCTGCCCATCCACACACACGCACAAAGACACGCACACACACAAAGACACGCACACACACAAAGACACGCACACGCACAAAGACACACACAGGAATGAAGCAACTACTGCTCTACACTTGATACCACTCAAAACACTGAGCAAACAAGAGACAGATCACAGAAGATAAGTCTGACACAACGTCACTGCACAAGAACAGAGGGAGATGAAGACAAATGGACTTTTCAACTTGTGTGTGTGTGTCTGTGAGAGTGTGTTTGTGTGTGTGACCATGTGTCTGTTTGTGTGACCATGTGTGTGTATGGAATATATATAAACATAAGCATTTGTTTCATCCAGCAACTTGTTGAATTCAAGATTCAGATTCATTTATTTGCCATTTGCAGTAAAACCACACTGGAATACATCCGCAAAAGTACCTTAAGATGTGTGTTTTGCAGGTTTGAAATAAATCAAATTAATCTTTTTATAAATGCAACATTCATATTAATCTTTCCCTTTTCCATACAACTTCAGGACTGAGGCTGTAGATCCAGGACTGAGGCTTTAGACCCAGGACTGAGGCTGTAGACCCAGGACTGAGGCTGTAGACCCAGGACTGAGGCTGTAGACCAGGCATGTCAAAGTCAAATACATCAGAGGGCCAAAAAAACTAATTTGCTGCGAGCCGAGGGCCGGAGTGGTTCAATGTTTAATAACTCATTGCCTACCAGCCCATTTCAGAACAGGTACTCCCATATTGCCAGCAGTTTCTGATGATTTTTATAGATTTTTCAAGACCCACCGAATATTGTGTACTATGACTATCTGAAATCCGAAACCAGATTCTGAAAGAATAGACTGTCTACTTTCATCAGCAAAAAGAATTTTGTTTCTAGCTGTTTTCAAACTATTCAGAGAGCGCTGCTGCCACCTGCTGGCTCGATTCAATATGCTCTCAAGCTTATCCCCATACATATTCGATATAATAGACATCTGGGAACATGAAAATAGCGGAAAACGCAATTGACGTAATAGTGCGTCAATGGCAGGCAACGGGCCATGTAAAATTCACTTTGACTTTGACACATGTGCTGTAGACCCAGGACTGAGGCTGTAGATGATGTTTTTGTGCAGATTGAAAACGGTTCAGTTTTCTCCAAGAGGAAGAATCAGGCGCTGGAGAAGATCGCCTTCACTTTAGTTTCTGTGCCTCATGGAAACGACATCTCTTCACTGTTCGAGCTCGACGCCACAACACTGCAACGAGCAGACTGTGTGGTGCCCAGGTCAGACACACACACACACACACACACACACACACACACACACACACACACACACACACACACACACATTTCTCCAACACATATAGACACACACACACTTTTCCAACACATATAGACACACATACACAAATTCACACACACACACTTTTCCAACACATATAGACACACATACACAAATTCACACACACACACACACTTTTCCAACACATATAGACACACATACACAAATTTACACACACACACACACACACTTTTCCAACACATATAGACACACTACACAAATTCACACACACAGATTCAGACACAGATACACCATAGACTGTAAATATTAATGGACGTAGTCACGCCTATCTCCGCCGTTCAAACTAATGTGCCACCACTGCAGCGGTCTATGAGCAGTTTCAAAATGGCCACGAGTGCCTTCAAAAAGTCCACAGCGACTAAACTAGACTGGTCCAAAAAATTCACCCCCCTCAGCATTGACACACATGTGGAACGGAGCTTTGGGCCAAGAGCCACTTTTGGACCATCCTGTAAACCTGTTTTCGAGACATCAGCTAATGCTATATGTTAGAATTGAATAATTCACTTGTGCTTGCTGTGAATTTTTTAAGTCTCTCGTTCAAATGAATGGAGTTGCGCCGGCTGACGCATGCACAGATGCGTTTTTTCACAATTTTCTTGTGGGCGGGGCCACTCGCGGCCATTTTGGATTGCTCCAGTAGAGCACATTTTTTGGCCCATTAGTTAGAACGGCGGAGATAGGCGTGACTCTGTCCATTAATATATACAGTCTATGGTACCGAGCTGCACTCGCCCAACATGAAAGCCTTGCGTAAGAGCCCCGCAACCGCCGGAGGGTCCGGACCCCCACTTTGAGAACCACTGCTTTAAAGTTTCTGTCGCAAAGAAGTTTCTAACAACTTCTTCTGATTCGAACAGAAACTCGTACGTGAGACTGCGGCACTTGTGCACGAACACATGGGTCACCAGCACCAGCACCGCCATCGACATGGAGGAAGAGCGGCCCGTCATGCTCAAGGTCAGCACCAGACTTTTACTTTGTTTATCATTTCATTTTTATTCATTCAAGAAGAAATTACACTATTTTCTCTTATTGTACATATAGTACTCACACACACACACCCGCTGCAGCTTACAGCCAAATCCTGTCAGACCTCTGAAGCTAAGCAGGGCAGGGCCTGGTCAGTACTCTGATGGGAGACCTCTGGGAACACCAGGAGCCACAGTGGGGCAGCTGTAAAGTGCCAAGCTTGTGGTTGTGTTCTTAGGCAAGACACTTCCCCCACACTAGAATGAGTCTGCTGTGTGTGTGAATGGTTGGTGGTGGTGGGAGGGGCTGGTGGCACAGACTGGCTGCCTTGCTTCTGTCAGTGTGTCCCAGGGCAGCTGTGTTTGGAGTGAATGTATAATGGCATGTGAAGTGTCTGCGTGTCAAAAAGCACTTATTATTATTATTATTATGATTATGATTATATACTTTATTGTATTACAGCTTTGAAATAGTAAATAAAGAATATAAAAGACGTCTGTTGGATCCATATTCACCTCTTGTTGAATCATCCTTCACTTTATTGTGTTTGAACAGATTGGCACGTGTCCCGCCAAAGAAGACAAAGAGGCGTTCGCCATCGTGTCCGTGGCTCGCTCCGAAGTCCGAGATTTAGATTTTGCAAACGACGCAAACAAAGTCCTGGAGTCGACTGTGCAGAAGCTGCGATACGGAAACATCACTCAGAACGAACGCAGGTCACTCTCATCTGCAACTCACTGAGAACACAAACAAGTACACCACAGTCTATACACAACTCAAAGTTCTGAACAAAACCACATACAAACAATGACATCATCAATAATCACTACAGAATTATTTTTCTCAGACAGAGAGGACCACACTCTCTCAGCCAATCAGCTCTCAGCCCAAAGAGTTTAGTACGGCGGCACGGTGGCTGAGTGGTTAATACTCTCGCTTCACAGGAAGAGGGTCCCGGGTTCGAAACCTGGTCGGAACAGGGTCTTTATGGGAAAAGTTTGCATGTTCTCCCCGTGTCTGTATAGGTTTTCTTCTAGTTGCTCGTTTTTCCACGACCACTAAATAAAACACGAACAAAAGGTAAAATCCTCCAGCTCTGGTCCTGACCCAGAGCATCAACATCTGACGGGTCCCTGCTGTTGCTACGGCGACCACTGCTGCTGACAGACGCCCAGTGGCATCAGGGTCAAGTGCAGAGGGATAAATAAACTGTACATTTATTTACAATATTCTCTCCAAAGATGAGGGGATTTCTAACCAGAGGATGTCGTCTTGTTGTGCGGCCTCTGATGTGTTTCTGGATAATCCCAGGTTTGTGACGAAGCTTCTGGAGGAGCTGATCTTCTTCGTGTGTGTGGTTTCAAACAACGGTCAGGACGTTCTGTCGGTCGCTACGTCGGCGCCAAACCGCGAGCGCCAGAAGCTGATGAGGGAGCAGAACATCCTGGAGCAGGTCAGACACAGCCTCAGACACTTCAGACGAGAGACTCTGGTGCTTAGACCTCGGCAGGAGGCGACATCAAAGACACGAGGAAAACAGAGGACGGGGACGAACAGGAAGGAGTCATAAAGATACTAACACAGTCAGATCAGTTCTGTCGTATTAAAGTAGCTCTCTTCTGCTCTGCCTCTTCTGTTTTATAAAAGTAGCTCTCTTCTGTTGTATAAAAGTAGCTCTCTGTTGTATAAAAGTAGCTCTCTCCCTCTTTTGTTGTCTAAAAGTAGCTCTCTGTTGTATAAAAGTAGCTCTCTACCGCTTCTGTTGTATAAAAGTAGCTCTCTGACTGTTGTTTAAAAGTAGCTCTCTGTCTCTTCTGTTTTTATAAAAGTAGCTCTCTGCCTCTTCTGTTGTACAAAAGTAGCTCTCAGATTGAAAAAGGTTGGATACCTCTGTGTTAAGGTGTCCAGTCTTCTCTGCTAACTGCTGTGACACAGTTCAGTAATGGTCCATACCATGTATAACCATCATACCATGTGTCTCTCAGATCTTCGGGATCCTCAAAGCTCCGTTCGAGGACCAGGGCGAGGGTCCGATGCTGCGTCTGGAGGATCTGGGCGACCAACGCTACGCTCACTTCAAATACATACTGCGCCTCTGCTACAGGATCCTGCGCCACTCGCAGCAGGACTATCGCAAGAACCAGGCAAGTCCTCTCACCTGGTCCTCAGACTCTACACCTGGTCCTCAGACTCTAAAGCCAGGGACCATGTGAGGACCTCCACTGCAATCTGTGTGGACTGTATCTCCATTGGGTCTAATCAGCCACCGATTGCGCAAGTCCTCCCACTTAAAAAGATGGTCTCTCTCGGGCCTCTCTCTGTCTTCTCTCTGGTCTCTCTCTCTGGTCTCTCTCTGGTCTCTCTCTGGTCTCTTTCTGGTCTCTTTCTGGTCTCTCTCTGGTCTCTCTCTCTGGTCTCTCTCTCTGGTCTCTCTCTGGTCTCTCTCTGGTCTCTCTCTGGTCTCTCTCTGGTCTCTCTCTAGTCTCTCTCTGGTCTCTTTCTGGTCTCTCTCTGGTCTCTCTATAGTCTCTCTCTGGTCTCTTTCTGGTCTCTCTCTGGTCTCTCTCTGGTCTCTCTCTGGTCTCTCTCTCTGGTCTCTCTCTGGTATCTCTCTGGTCTCTCACGTCCTTCCTTGTTCCCGGCAGGAGCACATAGCCAAGAAGTTCTCAATCATGCAGTCTCAGATGGGATACGAGATCTTGGCTGAAGACACCATCACTGCTCTCCTCCACAACAACCGCAAACTACTGGAGAAACACATCACAGCGAGAGAGATCGAGACCTTCGTCACCCTGCTCCGCCGCAACCGGGAGCCCAGGTGAGAGAGCGGATAGGAGAGACCAGAGAGGAGAGACCAGAGAGGAGAGAGACCAGAGAGGAGAGAGACCAGAGAGGAGAGAGACCAGAGAGGAGAGAGACCAGAGAGGAGAGAGACCAGAGAGGAGAGAGACCAGAGAGGAGAGAGACCAGAGAGGAGAGAGGAGAGAGACCAGAGAGGAGATAGACCAGAGAGGAGAGAGACCAGAGAGGAGGAGATGAGCGAGAGAGACCCTTCTCCTCTGGGAACTTTCTGGATGATTCTGATCTAGTTTCAGAACGATTCCAGTCGTGCATAATAAATAAAATGTGTGTTTTTAGTTTTCTCTATGATCCTGGTGTTTATGTGTTTATATTATATTTGTAAATCCAGATCTGAGCCATAAGAACTTTTACAGTTTTGGTTCCGTCCTGGTCCTTTGTGGTGATGTTTAGTGTGTTTGTGCAGGTTCTTGGATTATCTGTCAGACCTGTGCGTGTCCAACACCACCGCCATCCCAGTCACACAGGAACTCATCTGCAAGTTCATACTGAACGCAGCCAACGCTGACATCCTCATCCAGACCAAGTCAGTCACATCAGTGTGTATTTATATATGTGTATGGTATGTGGATATGTGTGTATATGCGTGTATGGAATGCGGATATCAGAATCATTTTTATTGCCACGTAAGTAACAGGAAGTCACGGACTTGAAAATTGCTTTGGCTCATGTGTGTAGGGTATGTGTGTACGTGTATATGTGTGTACGTGTAAATGTGTGTATATGCATAATATCACTCCGCATTACATACATATATATTTTGGAAGACTAGTATTGAAGTATTTACAGAATTTCCAGCCAAGAAACATGGCTACTACTTATTTTGTATGTGACCATGTGACCCTGGATCTCCTTCTCAGACTCATGTCCACAGAGACCCCCCTGGAGTCCAGTCTGCTGCAGGAGGAGGGGGAGGAGGAGGAGGTGTGGCTCTACTGGATCGATCACCACAAGGAGCCGCACGGAAAATCCATCCGCCACCTCGCCCAGGACGCCAAGCTCAACCACAAGAAGGAGGTGGACACCATGACCTACTACAGGTGATGTCACACCCTCAGGACACTACTATGACCTACTACAGGTGATGTCACACCCTCAGGACACTACTATGACCTACTACAGGTGATGTCACACCCTCAGGAACATGACTGTGTGATGTCAGGGATGTACCCCTGTTTTAAGTCATCAGTAAAAAAATGCTTTTTGACTTCTTTGATCACTTTGAAATGTGACATGTTTTGTTTCACGTGATGTATTTTGATTTGATTTATTTGGGAAAGCCCCTTGAGGCTCCTATGAACATCCACATTTACCACAGAACAAGTCTCCTCCTGTGGTGTGTGTATGGTATATGTGTGTACGTTTGTATGGTGTACGTGTGTATGGTGTACGTGTGTATGGTATATGTGTGTACGTGTGTATGTTATATGTGTGTACGTGTGTATGGTGTATGTGTGTACGTGTGTATGGCATATGTGTGTACGTGTGTATGGCATATGTGTGTACGTGTGTATGGTATATGTGTGTACGTGTGTATGGTATATGTGTATGATATATGTGTGTACGTGTGTATGGCATATGTGTGTACGTTTGTATGGTATATGTGTGTACGTGTGTATGGCATATGTGTGTACGTGTGTATGGCATATGTGTGTACGTGTGTATGGCATATGTGTGTATGTGTGTATGGCATATGTGTGTACGTGTGTATGGTATGTGTGTGTACGTTTGTATGGTATATGTGTGTACGTTTGTATGGTATATGTGTGTACGTGTGTATGGTATATGTGTATACGCGTGTATGGCATATGTGTGTACGTGTGTATGGCATATGTGTGTACGTGTGTATGGCATATGTGTGTACGTGTGTATGGTATATGTGTGTACGTTTGTATGGTATATGTGTGTACGTTTGTATGGTATATGTGTGTACGCGTGTATGGTATATGTGTGTACGCGTGTATGGTATATGTGTATACGCGTGTATGGCATATGTGTGTACGTGTGTGTGGTATATGTGTGTACATGTGTATGGCATATCTGTGTACGTGTGTATGGTATATGTATGCATGGTTTATGTGTGTACGTTTGTATGGTATATGTGTGTACGTGTGTATGGTATATGTGTATGGTATATATGTGTACGTGTGTATGGTATATATGTGTATCATGGTATATATGTGTACGTGTGTATGGTATATATGTGTATCATGGTATATATGTGTACGTGTGTATGGTATATGTGTGTACGTGTGTATGGTATATGTGTATGGTATATGTGTGTACGTGTGTATGGTATATGTGTACGTGTGTATGGTATATGTGTGTATGGTATATGTGTATACGTGTGTATGGTATATGTGTGTACGTGTGTATGGTATATGTGTGTATGGTATATGTGTATACGTGTGTATGGTATATGTGTGTATGGTATATGTGTACGTGTGTATGGTATATGTGTGTATGGTATATGTGTATACGTGTGTATGGTATATGTGTGTACGTGTGTATGGTATATGTGTGTATGGTATATGTGTATGGTATATATGTGTACGTGTGTATGGTATATGTGTGTATGGTATATATGTGTACGTGTGTATGGTATATGTGTGTATGGTATATGTGTGTATGTGTGTCCTCCCTCGGACCCCACTCCACTTTCACCACAAAACAGTCCATACACACAACTGCAGGTAGAATAATACAACTTTTACATTTTACAACCAAACATAAATGATCAAGGACAGACTAAAAACCAGGTGGGAAAACCCTACATTTACCAACAGTCTTCTCCATTTCTCTGTTAGTGTCTCTCACGGTCCTCCCCCCGGTCTGTGCCCGCAGGTACCAGCTGAACCTGTTCGCCCGCATGTGTGTGGACCGTCAGTATTTGGCCATAAACCAGATCTCCAGCCAGCTCCCCGTGGACCTGATCCTTCGCTGCATGTTTGACGACTGTTTGCCCTTTAACCTGCGCGCCGCCTTCTGTCGCCTGATGCTGCACATGCACGTGGACCGCGACCCGCAGGAGGCCGTAGTCCCCGTGCGCTACGCTCGCCTCTGGACTGAGATCCCGTCAGAGATCACCATTCACGAGTACGCTCCTCTGTCTACTCTAAGTCAGCACTGTGTCTCCCATCACAGCACTGACCAGGCCCTGTCCTGCTTAGCTTCAGAGGGACCCGAGCACACAAATAAACAGTCCCTTTCCTCAAACAGGTTTATTTAGAGCATAGAAGTGATATGTTTTCTAATGAATTTGAGGATCTACTTTCAACTCGATATAAAACTGAAAATCACACTAATTATTGTATTTGTATGTTTTTAGTTTATTTGACACATTGTGCAATAACTAACATTTCTCTAAATCAATCCATCAATGAAATCTTTTGTCAAGCACATTTAAAACAACGTTATACCGAAGTGCTGCACAGACACTAAACAACAGCACAATAAAAACACAGAAGTGTCCCTGGACAGGTTCAGAAGTCAGTACAATAATACTTTATACTTTCTAACCTAATACTTGTGTTCTTGTCTGTGTCACGAGTCGCTCTTCTGTCTGTGATCCAGGTCCGAGGACTTTCCTAAGCTGTCGATTCTCCAACAACAGATCAGAGAATAAAGCACACCTCACTTCATTGTAGAGTGTTTATAGCAGATCAGGGCAAACTGCGGGCTGGGGGCCACATGCGGCCCTATTCACACTCTTATGTGGCCCCTGGACCCTTTGTGTTGGTTCAATCAAAGCAAAACTTATGAAAACCCATTATCAATAAAAATTGTAATATAGAATACTTACTGCTCCGTGTCTAAAACAAACATAACTTTGATATTGTCAGAAAGGGTTCAGACCTGTGCTGTTTGTGGGAGTCTAAAATACTGCTTTAATGAATCTGTTTTTCCACCTGCAGCTTTGAGTACGAGTTGTCTGACGCCTCACAGGAAGAGATGAAGAGAAAGTTCTTCCCAATAAAGGAGTTTGTTGAAGAATACCTCAAAGATGTGGTCAGCCAACGATTCCCCTTTGAGGACAAGGACAAGAACGAGCTGACGCTGGAGGTGAAAAAGTGAAAGTGAACGTGTAGTTGTGTATTCTCTAACCCGAGCGTCTCCCGCAGGTCGTTAACTTGGCTCGGAACCTGGTTTACTTTGGCTTCTACAGCTTCAGTGACCTGCTGCGACTCACACGCACCCTCCTGGCCATTCTGGATATCGTCCAACACCCGCTCACCTTCATAAACAAACTCAGCAAGAGCCCAGAGGCCGGTGAGGGCTGCGTCTGCCGCGTCTGCTGCGTCTGCTGCGTCTGCTGCGTCTGCTGCGTCTGCTGCGTCTGCTGCGTCTGCTGCGTCTGCTGCGCCTGCTGCGCCTGCTGCGCCTGCTGCGCCTGCTGCATATGTTGCTTTATCTGTCCAGCTGTATGTTAGAGCTGTGTGTCTGTGGTTTTGTTTGAAGGTAACAACGTCCTGCGTACGATCCACGGCGTGGGGGAGATGATGACTCAGATGGTGATGAGCCGAGGGGTCCCCCACAGTCTCCCCGACTCCCCCCCCTCCCCCAGATACTCCAAAGGACACTTCCTCCCGGACAGCGAGGACCTGATGGTGATGGACACCAAGCTGAAGATCATCGAGATCCTTCAAGTAAGACTGAGGCTGTAGACCCAGGACTGAGGCTGTAGACCCAGGACTGAGGCTGTAGACCCAGGACTGAGGCTGTAGACCCAGGACTGAGGCTGTAGACCCAGGACTGAGGCTGTAGCCCCAGGGCTGAGGCTGTAGATCCAGGACTGAGGCTGTAGATCCAGGGCTGAGGCTGTAGATCCAGGGCTGAGGCTGTAGACCCAGGACTGAGGCTGTAGCCCCAGGGCTGAGGCTGTAGACCCAGGACTGAGGCTGTAGACCCAGGACTGAGGCTGTAGACCCAGGACTGAGGCTGTAGACCCAGGGCTGAGGCTGTAGACCCAGGACTGAGGCTGTAGACCCAAGACTTGATGATGATGATGATGATGCTTGTTCCTCCATAGTTCATCCTCAGCGTCCGCTTGGATTACAGAATCACGTATTTATTGTCAATTTACAAGAAAGAATTTGGAGAAAAGAACATATCGACGGACACGTTCTTCATCCGTGAGTTCAGACTTTTTTAGTGATTTTAAAGTCATTTATATTTATCTTTGATGTTCTTCGTTCCTCAGCCTCGGACCCGGACATCGACGAGATCGCTGCTCGAGCCGAGTCCATGTTCGCCGGAAGGTACAAGAACCAACGTGTGTGTGTGTGTGTCCTGATGTGTGAGTGTGTGTGTTCTGATGTGTGTGTGTGTGTGTCCTGATGTGTGTGTGTGTGTCCTGATGTGTGTGTGTGTCTGTCCTGATGTGTGTGTGTGTGTGTCCTGATGTGTGTGTGTGTGTGTGTCCTGATGTGTGTGTGTGTGTCCTGATGTGTGTGTTTGTCTGTCCTGATGTGTGTGTGTGTGTGTCCTGATGTGTGTGTGTGTGTGTCTGTCCTGATGTGTGTGTGTGTCTGTCCTGATGTGTGAGTGTGTGTGTCCTGATGTGTGTGTGTGTGTGTGTGTGTCCTGATGTGTGTGTGTGTCTGTCCTGATGTGTGAGTGTGTGTGTCCTAATGTGTGTGTGTGTGTCCTGATGTGTGTACGTGTGTGTGTGTGTCCTGATTTGTGTGTGTGTCCTGATTAGGGGTGGGAACCTAAGGGTACCTCACGATACGATACGATACACGATACAAAGCTCACGATAACGATACAAAGCTCACGATAACGATACAAAGCTCACAATAACGATATCACGATAACGATTTTATCAGGATATGACGATTATTGATATATTGGTCAGAAATATACAATATGCCAATTTAAGGCATAAATAAAAGAAAAAATGTGTGTGTGTCTGTTCTGATGTGTGTGTGTGTGTCTGTTCTGATGTGTGTGTATATCTGTACTGATGTGTGTGTGTCAATCCTGATGTGTGTGTCAGTGCTGATGTGTGTGTGTATGTCCTGATGTGTGTGTGTGTGTGTGTCCTGATGTGTGTGTGTGTGTGTCCTGATGTGTGTGTGTCAGTCCTGATGTGTGTGTGTCAGTCCTGATGCGTGTGTGTCTGTTCTGATGTGTGTGTGTCAGTCATTATGTGTGTGTGTTTGTGTGTGTGTCTGTTCTGATGTGTGTGTGTCTGTCCTGATGTGTGTGTGTCTGTCCTGATGTGTGTGTGTCTGTTCTGATGTGTGTGTGTGTGTGTGTGTCTGTTCTGATGTGTGTGTGTGTGTGTGTGTCTGTTCTGATGTGTGTGTGTCAGTCCTGATGTGTGTGTGTGTCAGTCCTGATGTGTGTGTGTCTGTGCTGATGTGTGTGTGTCTGTCCTGATGTGTGTGTGTCCGTCCTGATGTGTGTGTGTGTGTGTGTGTCTGTCCTGATGTGTGTGTGTCCGTCCTGATGTGTGTGTGTGTCTGTTCTGATGTTTGTGTGTGTGTATGTCTGTACTGATGTGTGTGTGTCAATCCTGATGTGTGTGTCTGTTCTGATGTGTGTGTCTGTCCTGATGTGTGTGTCTGTCCTGATGTGTGTGGGTGTGTCAGTCCTGATGTGTGTGTGTGTGTGTGTGTCTGTCTTGATGTGTGTGTGTCTGTCTTGATGTGTGTGTGTCAGTCCTGATGTGTGTGTTTCAGTCCTGTTGTGTGTTACAGCAGTGAAGTGTGTGTGTTGCAGTTGTTTGTTGTGTGTTGCAGTTGTGTGTTGTGTGTTGCAGCAGTGAGGTGTGTGTGTTACAGTTGTGTGTTGTGTGTTGCAGCAGTGAGGTGTGTGTGTTACAGTTGTGTGTTGCAGCAGTGAGGTGTGTGTGTTACAGTTGTGTGTTGTGTGTTGCAGCAGTGAGGTGTGTGTGTTACAGTTGTGTGTTGCAGCAGTGAGGTGTGTGTGTTACAGTTGTGTGTTGTGTGTTGCAGCAGTGAGGTGTGTGTGTTACAGTTGTGTGTTGTGTGTTGCAGCAGTGAGGTGTGTGCTGTGGAGCTGGATGATGAAGGAGGCCGGACCTTCCTGCGGGTCCTGATCCACCTGATGATGCAGGACTATCCTCCGCTGGTCTCTGGGTCTCTGCAGCTCATCTTCAAACACTTCAGCCAGAGATCAGAGCTGCTGCAGGCCTTCAAGCAGGTATACACTCATCAGGCGGCATCAGGGAGCATCAGGCAGAGATCAGAGCTGCTGCAGGCCTTCAAGCAGGTATACACTCATCAGGCGGCATCAGGGAGCATCAGGCAGAGATCAGAGCTGCTGCAGGCCTTCAAGCAGGTATACACTCATCAGGCGGCATCAGGGAGCATCAGGCAGAGATCAGAGCTGCTGCAGGCCTTCAAGCAGGTATACACTCATCAGGCAGCATCAGGGAGCATCAGGCAGAGATCAGAGCTGCTGCAGGCCTTGTGTGGTTGCCAGATAATTAAGTCTCCTTTTATCTGTGTGGTTGCCAGATAAATGCATGGATCTTATGTTTATGGTACTGTATGTGTGTGTTCCAGGTCCAGCTGCTGGTGTCGGAGCAGGATGTGAAGAACTATAAACAGATAAAGAGCGACTTGGACCAACTGCGTCTGACGGTGGAGAAGTCTGAGCTGTGGGTGGAGAAGAGCAGCGAGCTGGGGGCGCGGCCGAGCAAGGAGCAGACCATTGAGGTTATTATCATATAAATATATACATATATATATATGTATATGTGTGTTATTATATATTATATATACGTTGGTGACATGAATATGATATATACGTAAGTGACATGTCGTCGCAGCAGGAGGTGGTGCTGAGTCCAGTCCAGGACGGAGATCACAAACCACAGATCGACTGCAACAAAGGAAATAACTACAACATTGTAAAAGAGGTGAAGTCAAATCCTGGATCCAAACACTAATATATATATACATAATATATATATATATATATACACACACATTATGTATGGTATTCTAACTGTATACCTGTCCATGTCCCACGGTAGATCCTGATGCGGCTCAGTACCATGTGTAATCCTAATAAGAAGAGTCGTGTGCAGCAGCAGAGGCTCCTGAAGAACATGGGAGCTCACACTGTGGTCCTGGACCTGCTGCAGATACCATACGAGCAGGTGACACTATGACACACACTGGGACACACTGGGACTAGTGGTGCTTTCAGACCGGATCATGCGTTGCGTCGGGTTTCAATGCAAAGTCTATGGTGGGGCGCGTTCGACCGTCACAACGCACGGACCTCTCGGCACGCACGCACGACTGTTCAATAAAAACGCACGGACTTGGCGGGAAAGTGAAAAGGGAGGAGCAGGAGCGAAAAATCAACGCCCACAGGAGATGGATTCTGCTCATCCTTTCCTTGGGACGAGAGAGCAGCAAAGTAGTCACGGGGACATTAGCGGACTGAGCGAGCAGACTGAAAATACTCATAAACAGCCAAAACAGGACCCACACCAGACTTCACCAGAACGCAAACCAGGGTTGACAATGGGGGACTCTGTGCTTGTGAAAATATGCATTGTCATGCTCCCGTGACCTTATGCAACTGCTTCGAGTGTGTTCGCCGATGCGGAAATACCGTTTAATAATATGAAAAAACGTATGGTGCACCTCTGTGAACACATACTACTGTTATATAAAGCCCGTGGTAAGTCTCTGTTCAAAGACACGCTGCAAAGCTGAATATTGGAGAAGATCTGTCCACAAGAAGCTGCTAGCATAGCTCTGTTAGCATCAAAGCCGGCCGGCTACTTCCGGTACTTCCGGCTCGCGTCAGGACATCTCGGTGTGAAGACCCCTGCGTCTGAAAACTAGAGAATGCGCGTCTGGTGAGCGGGGCTTCAGCGTTTCAGCGTTGCCGGTCTGAAAGCACCATTAGACACACTGGGACACACACTAGGACTAGGACACACACTAGGACACACACTAGGACTAGGACACACTGGGACACACACTGGGACACACACTAGGACTAGGACACACTGGGACACACACTAGGACACACACTAGGACATGGACACACTGGGACACACACTAGGACATGGACACACTGGGACACACACTAGGACATGGACACACTGGGACACACACTGGGACACGGACACACTGGGACACACACTGGGACACGGACACACTGGGACACACACTGGGACTAGGACACACTGGGACTAGGACACACTGGGACACACTGGGACTAGGACACACTAGGACACACTGGGACACACTGGGACTAGGACACACTAGGACACACTGGGACAAGGACACACTGGGACTAGGACACACTAGGACACACTGGGACTAGGACACACTAGGACACACTGGAACTAGGACACACTAGGACACACTAGGACACACTGGAACTAGGACACACTGGGACTAGGACACACTAGGACACACTGGGACAAGGACACACTGGGACTAGGACACACTGGGACACACTGGGACTAGGACACACTAGGACACACTAGGACACACTAGGACACACTGGAACTAGGACACACTGGGACTAGGACACACTAGGACACACTGGGACTAGGACACACTGGGACTAGGACATACTAGGACACACTGGGACTAGGACACACTAGGACACACTGGGACTAGGACACACTATGACACACTGGGACTAGGACACACTAGGACACACTGGGACTAGGACACACTAGGACACACTGGGACTAGGACACACTAGGACACACTGGGACTAGGACACACTAGGACACACTGGGACTAGGACACTCTCTGACTTGTTCCTGTTTCTTCACAGACTGATGAGAAAATGAACAACATCATGAAACTCGCTCACACTTTTCTGCAGAATTTCTGTAGAGGAAATCCTCAGAACCAAGTGCTGCTGCACAAGCACCTGAACCTGTTCCTGACCCCAGGAGTAAGTACAAGCACCTGCTCCTGACCACAGGAGTAAGTACAAGCACCTGAACCTGCTCCTGACCACAGGTGTAAGTACAAGCACCTGCTCCTGACCACAGGTGTAAGTACAAGCACCTGAACCTGCTCCTGACCACAGGTGTAAGTACAAGCACCTGCTCCTGACCACAGGTGTAAGTACAAGCACCTGCTCCTGACCCCAGGAGTAAGTGTAACAAATGTCTGAGAAGAGTCATGTAAAACCATCTACTTTATTCTTGCAGCTTGCTTTTCACTTTATTATACATTATATTTATTATATTGGTATTACAATATGTTGTTTATATTTTAAAGTCACTAATATACATTTATGTCTGTTATATATATTTATTATTATATATGTGATGTTTAGTTGCTGGAAACGGAGACGATGCGCCACATCTTTATGGATAACTATCAGTTGTGTCATGAGATCAGTGACCGAGTCGTCCACCATTTTGTTCACTGCATCGAGACTCACGGGCGCCACGTCCAGTACCTGCGCTTCCTGCAGACCATCGTCAGAGCTGACGGCAAGTTCGTCAAGAAGTGTCAAGACAAAGTCATGACGGAGGTGAGTCTATCACTTTATCAGCGTTCCTCTGTGATCTGCACTGAAGGTTCAGTGTTATGCACCGCCCTCTGGTGGTTCTGATTGACAGAACTGTGGTTACACACGTAACCTTAGTTTTTATGTGTTTGTTGTATGTTGTTTTTGTGTGTTTAGCTGGTGAATGGCGGAGAGGACGTCCTGGTCTTCTATAACGAGCGCTCGTCGTTCCCGCTGCTGCTGCAGATGATGGGATCAGAGCGAGAGCGAGCGGACGAGGACGGGGCCCTGGTTTATCACATGACGCTGGTGGAGCTGCTCGCCGGCTGCACCGAGGGAAAGAACGTTTACACGGAACTAAAGTGTCACTCGCTGCTGCCGCTCGACGACATCCTCAAAGTGGTGGCAGACGCTCAGTGCATCCCAGAGGTGACGCTCCCATCATCCACTCTCTGGTCCACTCTCTGGTCCACTTTCTGGTCCACTCTCTGGTCCACTCTCTGGTCCACTCTCTGGTCCACTCTCTGGTCCACTCCCTGGTCCACTCTCTGGTCCACTCTCTGGTCCACTCTCTGGTCCACTCTCTGGTCCACTCCCTGGTCCACTCTCTGGTCCACTCTCTGGTCCACTCTCTGGTTCACTCTCTGGTCCACTCTCTGGTCCACTCTCTGGTCCACTCTCTGGTTCACTCTCTGGTCCACTCTCTGGTCCACTCCCTGGTCCACTCTCTGGTCCACTCTCTGGTCCACTCTCTGGTCCACTCTCTGGTCCACTCTCTGATCCACTCTCTGGTCCACTCTCTGGTCCACTCTCTGGTCCACTCCCTGGTCCACTCTCTGGTCCACTCTCTGGTTCACTCTCTGGTTCACTCTCTGGTCCACTCTCTGGTCCACTCTCTGGTCCACTCTCTGGTCCACTCTCTGGTCCACTCTCTGGTCCACTCCCTGGTCCACTCCCTGGTCCACTCTCTGGTCCACTCTCCCCACATCTGCCTCATCTGTGTTCGTTTTTTAATGGTTCTCTGTGTCCTCAGAGAACTACTGCTGTGATTTAGGGCGTTACAAAAATACGTAGACTTGAATTGAGTTTTTTCTGAATTACTCTGTGTTTTGTCGTCAGGTGAAAACTGCGTACGTGAACTTTGTGAATCACTGCTACGTGGACACAGAGGTGGAGATGAAGGAGATCTACACATCCAATCACATCTGGAAGCTCTTCGACAACTTCCTGGTCGACATCTCCAGTGTAAGAGTGTGTGTGTGTGTGTGTGTGTGTGCGTGTGTCTCTCTCCCTGTATACACATCTAATGTCTCCTGATGACTGTTCCTAATGTCTCCTGATGACTGTTCCTGATGTCTCCTGATGACTGTCCCTGATGTCTCCTCAGGTTTGCAACAGCACCACAGACCGTAACCACGCCAACCATTCTCTGGAGAAGTACGTGACGGAGACGGTGATGGCGATAGTCAAAGGCTTCTTCAGCTCGCCCTTCTCTGTCAACCACTCCAACCTACAGGTACTGTCCCTGTGTCACCCACTCCAACCTACAGGTACTGTCCCTGTGTCACCCACTCCAACCTACAGGTACTGTCCCTGTGTCACCCACTCCAACCTACAGGTACTGTCCCTGTGTCACCCACTCCAACCTACAGGTACTGTCCCTGTGTCACCCACTCCAACCTACAGGTACTGTCCCTGTGTCACCCACTCCAACCTACAGGTACTGTCCCTGTGTCACCCACTCCAACCTACAGGTACTGTCCCTGTGTCACACACTCCAACCTACAGGTACTGTCCCTGTGTCACCCACTCCAACCTACAGGTACTGTCCCTGTGTCACACACTCCAACCTACAGGTACTGTCCCTGTGTCACACACTCCAACCTACAGGTACAGTCCCTGCATATATAATAATAAATAATGCTAATCCCACAGCAGCAGTCCTGACTGAGCTTCTTCCAAAACACTAGAACACAGACTTTCTTTATTTTGCAGTGTTTGAAGGTTTTAGGAAACGTGTCTGGGCAGCAGAGAGACTCCAACTCCAAGGCCAGGTCCCAGGCCAGGGACCGCACGGGCGCGTGAAGGCGCAGTCTACGAGCTCCGCGTAAAAAGAGAGACACCAAGTTATGGCCCCCCACAGTACCGTTACCAACCAGGTCATGATAACATGAAATAGCAGCAACATATACCTTTAGAGTAGATGGGGCCCGACCTTCATCCAGGAGAGACTGAAGGAACTCCAGGACAACAGCCACCGGGCACGACACGGGATCCCGACCGCGGGAAGAACACCAGCGGGAGAACAACTTCCATCTGTTCTCATACAGCCGCCGAGTAGAGGCCGCCCTGGCATTCAGGAGTGTACGCCTGACAGGGCCAGTGACAAATAGTGCCTGCAGCTCGGGCCAGCCTACGGCCACATCCATAACTTGAGGCGGTGAGGACAGGGATGCCACATCTGACCGTCCAGCTGTGAGAGCAGATCCCGCCTGGGAGGGAGAGGCCAAGGGGGAGCCCAACAAAGTCTGAGTAGCAGTGGAAACCAAAACGGAGCCACCAGTAACAACCTGTGCCCCTCACGAAGGACCCTCTGGGGGGAAGGCGTACAGGAGGGCCTGAGGCCAACTGTGCGACAGGGCATCCTATAGGGATCTCCCAGTCACGTGACCCATAGCCGCGTGTCAGCCATTTTGACGGTATCCGTCCGCCGACTCTGCAACAATGGAGCTAAGCTAGCTAGTTCAAAAACTCTCTGGAACTACATGAAAACTGAACAAAGAATTCTGAACATCAGCTGTGAGTTACTCATTTATACCGAACCTAAATCCATCAGATCCTCTTCAAATGTGTCCTAAATATTAGTTTCATGTTAATGGTTACTTCCGGGTTTATCACGATCGCTTTTTGTTACATTAAAACAGTATTTTCGTCATGAATACGTTAAATAATTCTGAAAACCTCCGTGCACCCGGTATAAAGATATTCCTTTTGTCTGATCACGTCGCATCCAACTGCACAGCATCGCTCCGGCATGACAGGAACATCTCGCTGCTACCTGTAGTATCATCGGCGGGTTTGCATTTCTACACCGTCAAAATGGCTGCTCCAAATGGCGTGACGTCACGCGGGACGTCCCTATACATATATGTATACTAATAAATAGTGTTGAACATTACAGACAGTACAGGCCAGAGAACTGTAGAGCAGTAAAATCCACATGTATGTGTTTGTCCTCACGGTCCTCATGTGGCTGCTGTGGTCTCCATGGACTGTGTGGACACGTGCGGCCGTTATGTCAGATGTGAAAATATAATAATTTACAAACGTTGCTTATCCCGTGTGAATGCACTGCAAGATCTCAGATATCCTCCGCGATCATCACAAATCTCCAGGGGTCCACAGTAATACTAATCCAGTCCGAATAGGGCTTTAAAGACTGTATGCAGGGTTTGCATTAACAAACTGATACACACCTGATTATTGGGATTTAAACCATTTATCTTTTTAGACTGTTACACAAACCTGCTCTGGGACAAGTACAAGTTTTCAATTCAATCACAACAGTAGTTATCGTGGAGGTCTTTACAAAGCTGTCGATTAGCCAACACAGATCAGAGAATCAACAGTTCAAACAGACGCAATGCAATGATAAAAACAAAAAGTTACACACATGTGGCGCAGTCGTTAGCACAGAGAAGATCCTGGTTTTAAGTCCACCACCAGGCCTTTCTGTGTCGAGTTTGTATGTTCTTCCCATGTCAGTTTCCTCCTGGTGCTCCGGTTTCCCCTGCCATCAATAACATGCACAATGGAGTGTAATGAGTGACAGAATGGTGCCGGAGGCTTCGATGCTCCAGTGTCTCTCATTACCGTGTGGAGAGTGCTTGTAAAATTTGCTATATAAATAAAAATGAGTGGCTTACATCGTCATGGGTCCATAAGTGGCAGATGACCAATGTCCATAAATGGCATCAATACTTACATTTTGAACTATTTTCAGACCAACCAGTCCATCTTCATCAAGCTGCTGCAGTCCGCCTTCAGACTCTACAGCTGCTCCTGGATCTCCTCGGCTCAGAAGGCCAACATAGAAAGTTGTATAAAGACTCTGGCAGACGTCGGTGAGTGTGATTCTGACTCCGGTGTAGTGTCCATGTCCGTCAGTGATGGAGGCTCCTGTGTCTGCAGCGAAGGCTCGGGCCATAGCGATCCCTGTGGACCTGGACAGTCAGGTCAACACCCTGTCCAAGGTCCACACCAACATGATCCACAGAGCAGCCAAGGACTGGAGGACCTCTGCACGGAACCGGCCCCGCAAGGAGGCCTTCGGGGGCCCGGACTACCGCAATATCATCGAGAAGCTCCAGGTGACTGTGCTCTACTGCTGTCTGCAGAAGCACGCTCTTTAAGTATCTATCTTTTTAATTTACTTATTCATGTCGCTCTAATTGTTTCTTTTGGCCATACATCCTGTCAGACCTCTGAAGCTAAGCAGGACAGGGCCTGGTTAGTCCTGTGATAGGAGACCTCTGGGAACAGTAGGTGCCACAGTGAGGCGGCTGTAAAGTGCCAAACTGTGGTTGTGTCCTTAAGCAAGACACTTCCCCCACATTAGAATGAGTCTGGTGTGTGTGTGAATGGTTGGTGGTGGGAGGGGCCGATGGCACAGACTGGTTGCCTCGCTTCTGTCAGTGTGCCCCAGGGCAGCTGTGGCTACAGTAGTTTATCACCACCGTGTTTGGAGAGAGAGAATAATGATGTGAAGAGACTTTGAGCGTCCTGAAAAGCGCTGTATAAAACAATGAATTTGTATTATTATTTTGTTCAGTGTTGCCTTGTGTATGACCTGTGCTATACAAATAAACTGTCCTCGATGCCCCTTTACAATGGACTGTGGTGTGTGCAGGGCGTGGTGTCCTGTCTGGAGGAACAGTTCAGTCCAAAGGTCCAGGCCGAATTCTCAGTCCTGGTGGACGTCCTGCACAGTCCAGAGCTGCTGTTCCCAGAACCTGCCAGAGTCCGCTGTGAGAGCGGGGCCTTCATGTCCAAGTAAGACACCCACCACCCAGAGACATGTCCCAGGGAGACGCCACCCAGAGACATGTCCCAGGGAGACGCCACCCAGAGACATGTCCCAGGGAGACGCCACCCAGAGACATGTCCCAGGGAGACGCCACCCAGAGACATGTCCCAGGGAGACGCCACCCAGAGACATGTCCCAGGGAGACGCCATCCAGAGACATGTCCCAGGGAGACGCCACCCAGAGACATGTCCCAGGGAGACGCCACCCAGAGACATGTCCCAGAGACATGTCCCAGTAAGACACCACCCAGAGACATGTCCCAGTAAGACACCACCCAGAGACATGTCCCAGGGAGACACCACCCAGAAACATGTCCCAGGGAGACACCACCCAGAGACATGTCCAAGGGAGACACCACCCAGAGACATGTCCCAGGGAGACACCACCCAGAGACATGTCCCAGGGAGACGCCACCCAGAGACATGTCCCAGGGAGACGCCACCCAGAGACATGTCCCAGAGAGACACCACCCAGAGACATGTCCCAGAGACATGTCCCAGGGAGACACCACCCAGAGACATGTCCCAGAGAGACACCACCCAGAGACATGTCCCAGAGACATGTCCCAGTAAGACACCACCCAGAGACATGTCCCAGTAAGACACCACCCAGAGACATGTCCCAGGGAGACACCACCCAGAAACATGTCCCAGGGAGACACCACCCAGAGACATGTCCAAGGGAGACACCACCCAGAGACATGTCCCAGGGAGACACCACCCAGAGACATGTCCCAGGGAGACGCCACCCAGAGACATGTCCCAGGGAGACGCCACCCAGAGACATGTCCCAGGGAGACGCACCACCCAGAGACATGTCCCAGAGACATGTCACCACGCCATGTGTCTGTATCTTGGTTGAGAGTGAGTTAGGGTTCTGGGTTCGATTCCACCTCCAGGCCTTTCTGTGTGTTATTTATGTTCTCCCCGTGTCTGCATAGGTTTCCTCCAGGTGCTCCATGTGTTTATGTCTCTTTATCAAAGGGTAAAGATAATTAGTGAAATAACGTGTGTCCTCTTTCTCAGGCTGATCAAACACACCAAGAAGCTGATGGAGAAGGAGGAGAAACTGTGCATCAAAGTGCTGCAGACGCTCAGAGCAATGCTGGACAGGAAGGAAATCTTCCAGGAGTCTGTAAGTGTCTGAGCACCCACAGCACCCACATGGTCTCCCACATAGTCTCCCACATGGTCCGCAGCACCAGCAGCCACACCATCAAACCTCTGCACGAAGCACACCTTGTACGTGTGAGTAAAGTGCTGTGTTCCAGTCGTGGCATCAGGAGCCGTCGGCCTAGAGCCAGACGCCTCATCACTATTCTGTGGACCTCGCACTCTTACATAAGGCAGCGAGGCACATGAGGACACAGAGAGGGGGAGGGAGGGAGAGAGAGGGGGAGGGAGGGAGGGAGGGAGAGAGAGGGGGAGGGAGGGAGGGAGAGAATCGGCAGAAGAGAAGGAGCAGCAGGAGGAGGACTGGGGGATCACACTGAACGAACAAATCAATACTGCAGCAGTGAAAGGGGTACAGGCTGTCTGTGTGCACCCCCCCATCAGAGCCCAACAGAACACCCCCCCCCCCCCCCAATCAGAGCCCAACAGAGGACTGATGTGTAAGGGGGGGGTCCTGTTGCACTCTACGACCCTGAGAGGCAGAGAGTCGTCTGGAAAGTTCTGGCAAGTTGGCTCCAGCTGTGAGTCAGAGAGGGTGAAGTTAAGACACATGATACACAGGCTGTTGTGTAGTGAAGGTGTGAGAGTGTGTGTTTGGACATAGGAACGTTTGTGGTGTACACGTTTACTCAGGTTGCATGTAAAAGTTTTGTTGTCATCGTTCAGCTCATGATTCAACAGATGTGACTTAACATCAGGAGTTTCACTGAACACTGTGAGAGAGTGGCTCTGCAGACGCACACTGGTCGTGTGTGTGTGTGTGTCTGTGTGTCTGTGTGTGTGTGTCTGTGTGTGTTATTTCCCCGTCTCCCTGTATGTGGTGCTGCTGCCTCACTCACTGCTGTAATGAGGAGGAGGCTCAGACGGTGACAGCAGCAGCAGAGGTTGGTGGCTCCCCTGGGGTGCAGCGAGTGGGCAGAGGGGTGAGGGAGGAGGGGTGAGGGAGGGGGGGGAGGGGTGAGGGAGGGGGGGGCCATGTGAGGAGACATGTGAGCTCACGGCGGCAGAGCGAGGGATTGGAGAGGAGCGAGTGCTGAGTCCATGAGAGACGGGGAGGAAGGAAGAGGGGGGGCGCTTACGTAACAGCTGCAGTGGCTGAGGCTGCACGTGGACCATCACGTTCTCTCTCTCTATCTCTCTCTGTCTCTCTCCCTCTGTCTCTCTCTCCATCTCTCTCTCTCTCTCTCTCTCTCTCTCTCTCTGTCTCTCTCTCTTTCTCTTCCCCTCACTGCAAAAAGTGATAAAAAGTCAGATATTGCTCAAATTTGGCCAAATGTTTGTTAATCTGAGCACATTGTGACTGAGCCTTAAAACCAGATTTTCCAACGGGACAAAATCTGGATCTGGTTTTAAAAAGAAAAAGAAATATCTCCTTTGTAATGAGGAAGTAGAGCAACAGTTCATGAAACAACACTAAATGTGTCTGAATCTGGTTTTAAATCCAAATGTGTCAGATTAAGAGAAAAACCCTTAATTTTAGCATTTATTACCTCAAATTTGATCATTCTTTGAGGTGCTCTCTCTCTCTCTCTCTCTCTCTCTCTCTCTCTCTCTCTCTGCCTGGTCTCTCTCCCCCCCCCTCTCCTCTTCCCCTCTCTTTGTCTCGCTCTGCCACACACTGCCTCTCCTCGTGCATCTTTGGCTGAAGTTTCCATGGGTCACAGGAGGAGATTCACACTTACTGTAAATGTGATCAAATATGGAGAAAACTGAATCAAATCTGATCCAGATTTGCCATATAAATAATCCAGGCGCTATATAAATAAAGATGACTTCCTAACTCACTTATAGATGTGTATGGTTATCAGTCTAAGGTGGTGATGTCACGTAACATTTAATCATTCTCACATTTATATGAACTGTCATTATGTAATCTTCAATTCCTTCTGTTTCACACTCTCCTCATGGGTCTGTCTGTGAGCCTAACTCTCTCTGGTCTCTCTCTGGTCTCTCTCTCTCTGGTCTCTCTCTCTCTGGTCTCTCTCTCTCTGGTCTCTCTCTCTCTGGTCTCTCTCTCTCTGGTCTCTCTCTCTCTGGTCTCTCTCTCTCTGGTCTCCCCCTTTTCCCGGATCTCTCTCTCTGGTCTCTCTCTCTGGTCTCTCTCTCTGGTCTCTCTCTCTGGTCTCTCTCTGGTCTCTCTCTGGTCTCTCACTGGTCTCTCTCTCTGGTCTCTCTCTGGTCTCTCTCTCTGGTCTCTCTTTTGGTTTCTCGCTGTTCTCTCGCTGGTCCTACTCTCTCTCCTTCCTCTTTCTCTCTTGCCAACTTTCACACCTCCAGCTCAAGGCAAAGCAGATTTACAGATAGTAAGGAGCTCATACTCTGTATGTCCCAGAGAGAGAGACCAGAGACTGTGGAGGAAGCTTCTTTCCACTTTGTCTTTTCGGTCGTTACCCAAAGGGAAAGGAGCTTTGATTGCAGACACTGCTCCCTCTTCACCACAACATACAGCGGCCCCCACACTGCACTGATCCGTCTCAATCTCACTCCACACAAACATATAGTACAGAGTAAAAGTTTGGACACCCTTCCTCCTTCACTGAGTGTCTTTTCATGACTATTGCTGTAGATCCACACCAGGCTGTGTAAGGGCTGTTTGACCAATAAGGAGAGAGATGGTGCTGGGCCACATGACCTCCACAGTCACCGGACCTGAACCCAGTCCAGATGGTTTTGGAGACTTTTGAGGAACTGTTAATAACTTTATTAGTTTATTATTATCAGAGTTTTACTCATTTGGTTTGGGTCAAAAACAGAAGTGTTTTTCTTTCTCTCGAGGACTTTGTAAACAACTGGTTTGTTCTAGAGTCACAAGAACAACTGAACCAGCTGTTGTGTGTCTGTGGAGTGTGTGTCTGTGGAGAGAGTGTGTCTCAGTCCTGCTCTCAGTTCACTGCAGCAGTGTCCTGATGCTAATAGACTCTCCAGCAACTGAAGCAGAGAAATCCGCAGGACCGGACGGGATCAGTCCCAGGCTGCTGAGGACCTGTGCAGACCAGCTCTCTGGGGTCCTCAGCTACAACCTGAGCCTCAGCCTGGAGAAGGTCCCTGTCCTGTGGAAGACCTCCTGTGTGATCCCGGTCCCAAAAACAGCGCACGCCAAGGAACCGGCTCACTACAGACCAGTCGCAATGACCTGATGAAGACCATGAAGCGGCTCATCCTCACCCATCTCCGCTCCATGGTCAGCCCTGACCCACCTGGAGCCTGCAGGGGGCGCTGTGAGGGTCATGTTTTTTGACTTCTCCAGCGCTTTCAACACCATCAGGCCGGCACTGCTGCGGGGGAAGATGGAGGACGCGGGAGTTGACAGTAGCCTCACTGCATGGACCATCAACTACCTCTCAGAGCGACCACAGTACGTGCGGCTGCAGCTGTGAGTCTGAGGTGGTAGTCTGCAGCACTGGGGCCCCTCAGGGCACTGTCCTCTCACCGTTTCTCTTCACCATCTACACCTCAGACTTCACACACGACACACACAGCTGTCACCTGCAGAAGTTCTCCGACGACTCCGCCATCGTGGGCTGTGTGTCTGAGGGGAACCAACTGGAATATCAGTCGGTTATCAAGGACTTTGTCGACTGGTGTGAGCGCAACCACTTGTGCTTGAACACCAGTAAGACCAAGGAGATGATCATCGACTTCAGGAGAAAACCACTTTCCCACACGCTGCTGAACATCCAGGGGGAGGACATTGAGCTGGTGGACAGCTTCAAGTACCTGGGTGTTCACATTAACAATAAACTGGACTGGTCCCATAATACAAACGCCCTGCACAAGAAGGGCCAAAGTCGCCTCTTCCTTCTGAGGAGGCTGAGGTCCTTCGGAGTGAGCAGGCCTCTGCTCAGGACTTTTTATGACTCTGTGGTAGCATCTGCCATTTACTATGCTGCCGTGTGTTGGGCCCCGGGCAGCACAGAGCGGGACAGAAACAGACTGAACAAGCTGGTCAGGAGGGCCAGCTCCACTCTGGGCTGCTCCCTGGACTCTGTGGAGGAGGTGAGGGACAGGAGGCCCCTGGACTCTGTGGAGGAGGTGAGGGACAGGAGGTGCTAGTCAAAGCCACCTCCATCATGAACAACACCTCCCACTGCACAGGACTGAGGAGGAGCTTCCACTCCTTCAGTGGAAGACTGAGACATCCTCAGTGTAAGAAGGAGCTCTACCGCAGGGCCTTTATCCCCACCGCTGTCAGACTGTACAACAAGTCACTTTAAGACACTGCACTAAGACTGATAAAACCTGCACTACTATTGACACTTCTTTCTAGTCGCCACTTTCTTGTACATAATATATCCTGCATTAACATGTGTTCCTGTCCTTGGGACATGTACATTTCTCCAGTGTGAGATTCATAAAGTCTTATCTGTCATTGATGTCTATCAGTGGCTAAACGTCACACTAAAGATGTGATGTTTATAGTAAATATGAGTCTATAAAGATTTCGCTGCTGTGTTGTTTTGATTTCTGAATCGATAATTGTCACATGATTATCATCGTCATCGTCACATGATTATCATCGTCATGGTTTCAGGTTTCGGCACATGTCTGTGTTTTGTCCCACAGTGAAATGTGATTCTTGTTTTTTTCCTGCTTGAGTCGTGTGATGTGACATCACATGTATCCCATGGTTCCTTTGAAATGTTCTAAAATCCATGTAATCAAAGTCTCTAAAGATGTGTTTTGTTTCCAAACCGATCATAAAAGTTTAATCTGAGACAGATCTTTGTTTCTCTGAACTCAGAGCCACAGAGTTCTGAGAAGTTGGGCCTGAACCAGAGCAGACTCTCCAGACCACAACTTTAGGATTTCATATGTGTGTGTGTGTGTGTGAGAGACCAGCAAGAGACCATGGGAGGATATGGCAAAAAGAACTATCATTGACAAGAAACTAGCCCTGTGTTAAAGGCTGGAATGCTGCATTGGTCATTCTTGATACACACATAATATACACAACCACACAACTGGACACGCACACAACTTGACACACACTGTTCTTTTGCTGGTCTCTTGCTGGTCTCTCGCTGGTCTCTCGCTGGTCTCTTGCTGGTCTTTTGCTGGTCTCTCGCTGGTCTCTCGCTGGTCTCTCTCTGGTCTCTCGCTGGTCTCTCTCTGGTCTCTCGCTGGTCTCTCTCTGGTCTCTTGCTGGTCTCTCGCTGGTCTCTCTCTGGTCTCTCGCTGGTCTCTCTCTGGTCTCTCGCTGGTCTCTCTCTGGTCTCTCGCTGGTCTCTCTCTGGTCTCTCGCTGGTCTCTCGCTGGTCTCTCTCTGGTCTCTTGCTGGTCTCTCTCTGGTCTCTTGCTGGTCTCTCTCTGGTCTCTTGCTGGTCTCTCGCTGGTCTCTCTCTGGTCTCTTGCTGGTCTCTCTCTGGTCTCTTGCTGGTCTCTCTCTGGTCTCTCTCTGGTCTCTTGCTGGTCTCTCGCTGGTCTCTCTCTGGTCTCTTGCTGGTCTCTCTGGTCTCTTGCTGGTCTCTCTGGTCTCTCTCTGGTCTCTTGCTGGTCTCTCTCTGGTCTCTTGCTGGTCTCTCTCTGGTCTCTCTCTGGTCTCTTGCTGGTCTCTCGCTGGTCTCTCTCTGGTCTCTCGCTGGTCTCTCTCTGGTCTCTCGCTGGTCTCTCGCTGGTCTCTCTCTGGTCTCTCGCTGGTCTCTCGCTGGTCTCTTGCTGGTCTCTCGCTGGTCTCTCGCTGGTCTCTTGCTGGTCTCTTGCTGGTCTCTCTCTGGTCTCTTGCTGGTCTCTCTCTGGTCTCTTGCTGGTCTCTCTCTGGTCTCTTGCTGGTCTCTTGCTGGTCTCTTGCTGGTCTCTCGCTGGTCTCTCTCTGGTCTCTCTCTGGTCTCTCGCTGGTCTCTCTCTGGTCTCTTGCTGGTCTCTTGCTGGTCTCTCTCTGGTCTCTTGCTGGTCTCTCTCTGGTCTCTTGCTGGTCTCTCTGGTCTCTCTCTGGTCTCTGCTGGTCTCTCTCTGGTCTCTCGCTGGTCTCTTGCTGGTCTCTCTCTGGTCTCTCTCTGGTCTCTTGCTGGTCTCTCTCTGGTCTCTTGCTGGTCTCTCTCTGGTCTCTTGCTGGTCTCTCTCTGGTCTCTCTCTGGTCTCTTGCTGGTCTCTCTCTGGTCTCTTGCTGGTCTCTTGCTGGTCTCTCTCTGGTCTCTCTCTGGTCTCTCTCTGGTCTCTCTCTGGTCTCTCTCTGGTCTCTCTCTGGTCTCTTGCTGGTCTCTCGCTGGTCTCTCTCTGGTCTCTTGCTGGTCTCTCTCTGGTCTCTCTCTGGTCTCTTGCTGGTCTCTCTCTGGTCTCTCTCTGGTCTCTCTCTGGTCTCTCTCTGGTCTCTTGCTGGTGTGCAGTGTTTGGGCCTGATCCGCAGTGTGGCGTGCCGCTGCACATTTTAAAGCTCACACGTCTGGTTCTCGCTTTTGTTTGCTCCGTCGCCGCCTCCGCCCCCTCCCCCCTCCGCCCCCTCCCCCCTCCGCCCCCTCCCCCCTCAGCTGCCCCCCCCCCCTCCCCCACCGGCTTCACCCCTGTCAGCTCCTCTCTCTCTCTTACATCACCTGACTGGAGGTTTGTCAGCGCTGGTCGATGCATCTCTGTTAAATCTGAAACTCAAATGTGAGAGAAGTCTCGGTCTCGTTCTGGTCTCAGATCTTTGTCTCTGCAGAAGGCCTTAAACTAATGAATGAGTGAATCATAACATCATCCGTTAGTTTGAGGACTTCCAGTTTCTTTCTTTTGTCTCATTTTAACAATGTAGTAAAATCCATGAAAACAGTTTGTTTCTTGAGCATGAATGAGGACCGCTCTGACTCAGAGCAAAGGGTCAAATAGTGACTCATAGGGATCTTTCGTACCTGTGAGAAATGTTACCTTTTCTGTGATTAATATTTATGAAGCTTTAATCGTGTTTAATCAACATTTGACGACTGTTGAAAGGGTAGATTCACAGTGGAGTGTGTTTGTAGTTGTGTGTGTGTGTAGTTTTGTATGTCTGTGTGTAGTTGTGTGTGTGTGTGGTGGAGTGTGTGTTCGCGGCTGCTGCAGACGGAGTCAGACGAGTGCAGGTGGTGACTGCAGATGAGTGTTCTCTGACTCTGGGGCCACAGACACACACAGTCTCACACACACGCATACACACACACACGCATACACAGACACACACAGTCACACACACGCATACACACACACACGCATACACAGACACACACAGTCTCACACACACACGCATACACAGACACACAGACACTCACACACACTTTGGGCTGACGCTGAAGATTCTTCCCTGAGTCTGAGGATCTCTGGATCTGGATCTTGTTTCTATAAAGGCCATTGGGACAATTCCTCTGGTCTGGGGCTGGGCCTGGGTCTGGGTCTGGGGCTGGGTCTAGGGCTGGGTCTGGGGCTAGGTCTGGGTCTGGGGCTGGGGCTGGGGCTGGGGCTGGGACTGAGCAGACTGTGGTGGTCTCTCTCCAGATACAAATGTAAATAATTAAACTGGATCATTCTGGTGGAATTGGTCATTTATAAAAACAGGATTCTTAAAGACTTGATCCACTGACACTGGTCTAGAACAAGGGCTGGGGTCTGAACTCTGAGTCCTGAATCTAAAACCAACTTATATTGAGGACAACGCGGTCCTTTACGAAACATGATCCAGCTTCAAACTTCTTCACACTTTGTCAAACCTTGTTTTCTTTGCTGCATCTTCCTCAGACTGGGTTTAACGATGGATGTTTCTCTGCAGGGAAACGAGTTACGGAAGATCCTCCTCACTCGATACTTTGGGAATCAGAAGCTTCTGTCCAAGACGGAGCACAGCATCGGAACCTCCCCCGGCTTCAAACCCTCTGCTGCAGGTAAAGGACTGAGGCTGTAGACCCAGGACTGAGGCTGTAGACCCAGGACTGAGGCTGTAGACCCAGGACTGAGGCTGTAGACCCAGGACTGAGGCTGTAGACCCTGGACTGAGGCTGTAGACCCTGGACTGTAGGCTGTAGACCCAGGACTGAGGCTGTAGACCCAGGAATGAGGCTGTAGACCCAGGACTGAGGCTGTAGACCCAGGACTGAGGCTGTAGACCCAAGTGTTGTTTTATGTCTAATTCATGACAAACTGTTGTCATGTTGTGCGTCATGTTGTGCGTCATGTTGTGCGTCATGTTGTGCGTCCTGTTGTGCGTCCTGTTGTGTGTCCTGTTGTGTAGCTGTGTCCCCGGTGTGTGACATGGACAGGCCCTGCTCCTCTCTGGTGGAGATCCAGTGTCTGTTGGACGCAGTCGGGGCCTCGGAGCTCGTCATCGACCTCATCGTCAGCACAAAGAACCACCCTGTGTTTAACGAGAGCATCCTCCTGGGGATCGCACTGCTGCGGGGCGGCAACACACAGATACAGGTGACACACACGCACGCACACACACACATATACACACACACACACATGCACACAGACTGAGCTTGTTATCGGTGCTGCTCCAAACCCTGTGGAGTCCAAAAGCTTCTTAGTCCTTCTCCCTCTCTTCAACATCCTGTATTTATCCTGTGTTTGTGCCACAGAACTCCTTCTACCAGCAGCTGTATTTATCCTGTGTTTGTGCCACAGAACTCCTTCTACCAGCAGCTGTATTTATCCTGTGTTTGTGCCACAGAACTCCTTCTACCAGCAGCTGTATTTATCCTGTGTTTGTGCCACAGAACTCCTTCTACCAGCAGCTGTATTTATCCTGTGTTTGTGCCACAGAACTCCTTCTACCAGCAGCTGTATTTATCTTGTGTTTGTGCCACAGAACTCCTTCTACCAGCAGCTGTATTTATCCTGTGTTTGTGCCACAGAACTCCTTCTACCAGCAGCTGTATTTATCTTGTGTTTGTGCCACAGAACTCCTTCTACCAGCAGCTGTATTTATCTTGTGTTTGTGCCACAGAACTCCTTCTACCAGCAGCTGTATAAACAGAAGAAGTCCGAGCGGTTCTTTAAGGTGTTCTTCGACCTCATGCAGCTGGCTCAGCAGGAGATCAGGGCCACTGTCTCTGTCAATATGTTCGAGGTCAGCAGCAGGAGGAGGGAGGACGAGGGAGAAGGAGGCGCCAGATACAAGAACGGTAAGGCTTTCTCCTCCCACCTCCATCATGAAGGAGGCTCCCTCTCCCTCCTGATGAGGGGACTGTATCAGTTCCTCTGATCTGGGAGGTCCTTGGTCCTGAGTCTGAACTAAGTGTTAAAGTCAGAGGTCAGAGGTCATGTGACACCACAAGCCTTTTGTGGCAGAACTGGCACCATTTACATGTCTATCACCCCCTCTCTCCCCCATCACTCCCTCTCTCCCCCATCACTCCCTCTCTCCTCCATGGTGTTGTCCAGTGACCAATCAGATCGCACAGATCTAACATAAACTGTGTGATCTTCTTTCCTGTGGTCAGGGAGAGACTCGGGGCTCCACCTGAGGGAGGAGATGCGAGGGCAGCTGAAGGAGGCGTCCTCTGTCACCTCCAAGGCCTTCTGCTCCTACAGGAAGGAGCTGGACCCTGACATGGAGAACCCAGGCCCCAACAGCGAGGTCCAGGAGGAGGTGGCAGAGGAGACGCAGATGTCCGCCTCCATCTCCATCATGAAACCCATCCTCCGATACCTCCAGCTGCTCTGCGAGAACCACAACTCAGAGCTGCAGGTACTTCTGTAGTACTACCATAAGGAATACTGTGAAGGATCCTTGTACTTCTGTAGTACTACCATAAGGAATACTGTGAAGGATCCTTGTACTTCTGTAGTACTACCATAAGGAATACTGTGTAGGATCCTTGTACTTCTGTAGTACTACCATAAGGAATACTGTGAAGGATCCTTGTACTTCTGTAGTACTACCATAAGGACTACTGTGTAGGATCCTTGTACTTCTGTAGTACTACCATAAGGAATACTGTGAAGGATCCTTGTACTTCTGCAGTACTACCATAAGGAATACTGTGAAGGATCCTTGTACTTCTGCAGTACTACCATAAGGAATACTGTGTAGGATCAAGGCAAAATTTCACCCCCTGTAATATTCTCGTTTATGCTCATCATAAAACTCCAGATTTTGAGACCTGGAATAAACTCTAAATAATAACAATACCAGTTTCTTACAAACCTCTTCTTCTGGTGTTTCACTGACTCTTCATGGTCCGTCTCCTTCAGAACTTCCTCCGGAACCAGAACAACAAAACCAACTACAACCTGGTGTGTGAGACGCTGCAGTTCCTGGACTGTATCTGCGGCAGCACCACGGGGGGTCTGGGTCTGCTGGGTCTCTACATCAACGAGGGCAACGTGGAACTGGTCCGACAGACGCTGGAGACCATCACCGAGTACTGCCAAGGACCTTGCCACGAGAACCAGGTGAGGACTGAGACTGTAGACCCAGGACTGAGGCTGTAGACCCTGTAGACCCAGGACTGAGGCTGTAGACCCAGGACTGAGGCTGTAGATCCAGGACTGAGGCTGTAGATCCAGGACTGAGGCTGTAGATCCAGGACTGAGGCTGTAGACCCAGGACTGAGGCTGTAGACCCAGGACTGAGGCTATAGATCCAGGACTGAGGCTGTAGACCCAGGACTGAGGCTGTAGACCCAGGACTGAGGCTGTAGACCCAGGACTGAGGCTGTAGACCCAGGACTGAGGCTGTAGACCCAGGACTGAGGCTGTAGACCCTGTAGACCCAGGACTTTCATTATAATTACACATTTATAATATCATGTGAATTATTGTATTTTCTACTTTAAAAAATACTTTCTAGATTCATGAATAGTCAAAGTAAATAATCATTACATTGTGTTTCCAAAAATGCAATTTCTTGATTGTGAGATGTCTTAAACTCATAAATGTGTGTGTCTTTGTGTGTGTGCGTGTCTCTGTTTGTGTGTGTGTGTGTCTCTGTGTGTGTGCGTGTCTCTGTTTGTGTGTGTGTGTGTGTGTCTCTCTGTGTGTGTGTGTGTGTGTCTCTGTGTCTCTGTGTGTGTGTGTCTGTGTGTGTGTGTGTGTCTGTGTGTGTGTGTGTGTGTGTGTGTGTCTGTCTCTGCAGTCGTGTATCGCTCGACACGAGTCCAATGGCATCGACATCATTATCGCACTAATAGTGAACCCCATAAACCCTCTGGGAAAGAACCGCCTGGACCTGGTTCTGGAGCTGAAGGTAAGAGTCTGTTACTGCTCCAGGGACAGGAGCTGTATATATGAATATATACTGTGTATATATACAGTGCCTTGCGAAAGTATTCGGCCCCCTTGAACCTTTCAACTTTTCGCCATATTTCAGGCTTCAAACATAAAGATATAAAACATGTATTTTTTGTCATGAATCAACAACAAGTGGGACACAATCGTGAAGTGGAACGAAATTTATTGGATAATTCAAACTTTTTTAGCAAATAAAAAACTGAAAAGTGGGGCGTGCAATATTATTCGGACCCTTTACTTTCAGTGCAGCAAACTCAGTCCAGAAGTTCAGTGAGGATCTTTGAATGATCCAATGTTGTCCTAAATGACTGATGATGATAAATAGAATGCCCCTGTGTGTAATCAAGTCTCCGTATAAATGCACCTGCTCTTTGATAGTCTCAGGGTTCTGTTTAAAGCGCAGAGAGAACCATGAAGACAAAGGAACACACCAGGCAGGTCCGAGATACTGTTGTGAAGAAGTTTAAAGCCGGATTTGGATACAAAAAGATTTCCCAAAACATCTCAAGGAGCACTGTGCAAGCAATTATATTGAAATGGAAGGAGTATCAGACCACTGCAAATCTACCAAGACCCGGCCGTCCCTCCAAACTTTCATCTCAAACAAGGAGAAGACTGATCAGAGATGCAGTCAAGAGGCCCGTGATCACTCTGGATGAACTGCAGATAACTACAGCTGAGGTGGGAGAGTCTGTCCATAGGACAACAATCAGTCGTGCACTGCACAAATCTGGCCTTTATGGAAGAGTGGCCATTTCTCAAAGATATCCATAAAAAGTCTTGTTTAAAGTTTGCCACAAGACACCTGGGAGACACACCAAACATGTGGAAGAAGGTGCTCTGGTCAGATGAAACCAAAATCGAACTTTTTGGCCACAATGCCAAACGATATGTTTGGCGTAAAAGCAACACAGCTCATCACCCTGAACACACCATCCCCACTGTCAAACATGGTGGTGGCAGCATCATGCTTTGGGCCTGCTTTTCTTCAGCAGGGACAGGGAAGATGGCTGAAATTGATGGGAAGATGGATGGAGCCAAATGCAGGACCATTCTAGAAGAAAACCTGTTGGAGTCTGCAAAAGACCTGAGACTGGGACGGAGATTTATCTTCCAACAGGACAATGATCCAAAACATAAAGCCAAATCTACAATGGAATGGTTCACAAATAGACGTATCCAGGTGTTAGAATGGCCAAGTCAAAGTCCAGACCTGAATCCAATCGAGAATCTGTGGAAAGAGCTGAAGACTGCTGTTCACGAACGCTCTCCATCCAACCTCACTGAGCTCGAGCTGTTTTGCAAGGAAGAATGGGAAAGAATTCCAGTCTCTCGATGTGCAAAACTAATAGAGACATGCCCCAAGCGACTTGCAGCTGTAATTGCAGCAAAAGGTGGCGCTAAAAAGTATTAGCGCAAGGGGGCCGAATAATATTGCACGCCCCACTTTACAGTTTTTTATTTGTTAAAAAAATGTACGTTTACCAATAAATTTCGTTCCACTTCACGATTGTGTCCCACTTGTTGTTGATTCTTGACAAAACATTTAATTTTTATATCTATATGTTTGAAGCCTGAAATGTGGCAAAATGTTGAAAGGTTCAAGGGGGCCGAATAGTTTCGCAAGGTACTGTATATATAACTACACATATATACGTCATATATATATACAGTATGTGTATATATATATACATATATATATATATATATATATATATAACTACACATATATACGTCACATATGTGTATATAAAGGGACTATAGTGAGGGAAGGATGGAGTGTGAGAATGAAGGCGGATCCACAGCATGTGCAGTGATGCGGTCGCTGTATCGGAGCAGCGTCTGCAGTCAGAGCTGTATCGGACCCTCACCTCTGGTCATGAGCTTTGGGTAATGACTGAAAGAATGAGGTTGTGAATACAAGCGGTTGAAATGAGCTTCCTCTGCAGAGTGGCTGCTCCCTTAGAGATAGAGGAGCTCAGTGTAGAGCCACTGCTCCTCCACGTCGAGAGGAACTAGTTGAGGTGGCTCATCTGTTCAGGATGCCTCCTGGACGCCTCCCTGGGGAGGCGTTCCGGGCACGTCCCACCGGGAGGAGACCCCGGGGAAGACCCAGGACACAGAGGGACTATGTCTCTCTCCGGGAACCCCTTGGGGTCGGACGAGCTGGAGGAAGTGTGTGAGAGAGAAGTCTGGGCGTCTAATGTTTGCTTTGATCTGTACTTCAGAACAACGCCTCCAAGCTGCTGCTGGCGATCATGGAGAGCCGCCATGACAGTGAAAACGCAGAGAAGATCCTCTACAAGATGAGGCCCACTGAGTTGGTGAGAAGACCCGCACCAGTTAGAATCATTATAGTAGAAGTGTGTGTTTGTCATAGTGTCAGAACGACCCGCCTTTAACCCGCCCTTTGAGGCACTAGAGCTTAAGATGGAGATGATTAGACAGCAGTCAGAGTAAACTGTTGTGGATCAGCTGAAGAGGATCCACAGGAGACCAAACTTCATGATAATAACCACACAGGAGACAATACTTCATGATAATAACCACACAGGAGACAATACTTCATGATAATAACCACACAGGAGACAATACTTCATGATAATAACCACACAGGAGATAATACTTCATGATAATAACCACACAGGAGACAATACTTCATGATAATAACCACACAGGAGATAATACTTCATGATAATAACCACACAGGAGATACTTCATGATAATAACCACACAGGAGACTATACTTCATGATAATAACCACACAGGAGACCATACTTCATGATAATAACCACACAGGAGATAATACTTCATGATAATAACCACACAGGAGATACTTCATGATAATAACCACACAGGAGACCATACTTCATGATAATAACCACACAGGAGACCATACTTCATGATAATAACCACACAGGAGACCATACTTCATGATAATAACCACACAGGAGACCATACTTCATGATAATAACCACACAGGAGACCATACTTCATGATAATAACCACTCAGGAGATAATACTTCATGATAATAACCACGCAGGAGACAATACTTCATGATAATAACCACACAGGAGATAATACTTCATGATAATAACCACGCAGGAGATAATACTTCATGATAATAACCACGCAGGAGACAATACTTCATGATAATAACCACACAGGAGACAATACTTCATGATAATAACCACACAGGAGACAATACTTCATGATAATAACCACACAGGAGACAATACTTCATGATAATAACCACACAGGAGACAATACTTCATGATAATAACCACACAGGAGATAATACTTCATGATAATAACCACATAGGAGATAATACTTCATGATAATAACCACACAGGAGACAATACTTCATGATAATAACAACACAGGAGATAATACTTCATGATAATAACCACACAGGAGATACTTCATGATAATAACCACACAGGAGACCATACTTCATGATAATAACCACACAGGAGACCATACTTCATGATAATAACCACACAGGAGACCATACTTCATGATAATAACCACACAGGAGACCATACTTCATGATAATAACCACACAGGAGACCATACTTCATGATAATAACCACGCAGGAGATAATACTTCATGATAATAACCACGCAGGAGACAATACTTCATGATAATAACCACACAGGAGATAATACTTCATGATAATAACCACGCAGGAGATAATACTTCATGATAATAACCACGCAGGAGACAATACTTCATGATAATAACCACACAGGAGACAATACTTCATGATAATAACCACACAGGAGACAATACTTCATGATAATAACCACACAGGAGACAATACTTCATGATAATAACCACACAGGAGACAATACTTCATGATAATAACCACACAGGAGACAATACTTCATGATAATAACCACACAGGAGACAATACTTCATGATAATAACCACACAGGAGACAATACTTCATGATAATAACCACACAGGAGATAATACTTCATGATAATAACCACATAGGAGATAATACTTCATGATAATAACCACACAGGAGACAATACTTCATGATAATAACAACACAGGAGATAATACTTCATGATAATAACCACACAGGAGACAATACTTCATGATAATAACCACACAGGAGACAATACTTCATGATAATAACCACGCAGGAGACAATACTTCATGATAATAACCACACAGGAGATAATACTTCATGATAATAACCACACAGGAGACAATACTTCATGATAATAACGAGCTGTGTAACAAGAGTGAAGCTCTGATCATCAGTTTTTTTTACCAATGTGTTAAAAATATGTTTGAAAATGTCTCCATTACTCCATGTGGATGACAGACCTGTCGTAGTTCACTAGTTCTGTCCCAGAGCAGCCTGTCCTGGCTGCTCTGGGACAGGCGTGGCTGAGTGGTTAGCCCTCTCACTTTTCAGCAAATAAGTCCAAATCCCAGTCGTAAAAGGACCTTTTTGAGTGGAGTTTGCATGTTCTCCCCATGTCAAATGAGGATTGTTTATAGCTTGTTTTGTGTGTGTACTTGTTTTTACTACAACTAGACTGAATGTGACTCTGACTTGGGCCTCTTGCAGGTGGATGTGATGAAGGAGGCCTACACTCAGAGTCTGGAGAGCGACGAGGATCAGGACGGAGCTGGAGACAAGATCAATCCCAGAGACGTGGGACACAACATCTACATCCTCGCTCACCAGGTCAATAACAAGATCCAGGACTGAGGCTGTAGACCCAGGACTGAGGCTGTAGACCCAGGACTGAGGCTGTAGACCCAGGACTGAGGCTGTAGACCCAGGACTGAGGCTGTAGACCCAGGACTGAGGCTGTAGACCCAGGACTGAAGCTAGACCCAGGACTGAGGCTGTAGATCTACATATAAGTTCTGTTGTCTTCTGCAGCTGGCCAGACATAACAAGAGTCTGCAGCAGAGTCTGAGGCCGGGGGCGGGGTCTGTGTTATCCGCCGACATGGACGACGAGAAGGAAGACGCCCTCCATCACTATGGCAACCACACGGCTCAGATAGAGGTCTCACTCTCTTCAGGAATAAGGCCTAAAAGGAGCCTATCTGTATTTCTTACCTCTGTGTTGGGTGCGTGATCGGTGCAGATAGTGCGACACGACCGGACCATGGAGCAGATCGTTTTCCCGGTGCCGAACATCTGCGAGTATCTGACGGAGGAGTCCAAGCTGCGGGTCTTCACTACGACCGAGCGGGACGACCAGGGCAGCAAGGTCAACGACTTCTTCACACAGTTCGACAACCTGTACAACGAGATGAAGTGGCAGAAGAAGATCCGCAGTGAGTCTCTCCCTCTGTGTTCTAAAGCTGCTGCTGCTGCTACTGCTACTGCTGCTACTACTACTGCTGCTGCTACTGCTGCTGCTGCTGCTACTGCTGCTGTATCTACTGCTGCTGTATCTACTTCTACTGCTGCTGCTGCTACTACCGCTACTGCTACTACTGCTGCTGTATCTACTGCTACTGCTGCTGCTGCTACTACTGCTGCTGCTGCTACTGCTGCTGTATCTACTGCTGCTGTATCTACTGCTACTGCTGCTGCTGCTACTACTGCTGCTGCTGCTACTGCTGCTGTATCTACTGCTACTGCTGCTGCTGCTACTACTGCTGCTGCTGTATCTACTGCTGTATCTACTGCTACTGCTGCTGCTGCTGTATCTACTGCTGTATCTACTGCTGCTGCTGCTACTACTGCTGCTTATACTACATCCTGCTGCTGCTGCTGCTGTGTGACGGGGAATTTACACAGTAGGCGTAAACAGCGCGTACGCGTTTACTGCGTGCTCTCTACGCGTCACATTTTTTTGGAGTATCTACACTGGCCGTGCCGTACAGAGGACTGATGTAGAGCAACACAAATCACATGCATGTGTTTGTCCTCATGGTCTCTGTTGCTGGTTTGGCCAGACGCCAGACTTTATGAAAGAAAAAAAAAACGATGTCCAGAATCACTGTAAAACCTGCTGCTCCTCCTGCTGATGTTTAGACACAAGTGCTGTGTGTGTGTGTGTAGATGCGATCTAGAGCCAATCCTGTTTTACATGAGATTTCAATGGGAGACGCGTTGGTGCGCGCACAAAATTAGAAATCCATCCTAAATTAGAGCGCAGCTTCGCGTTATACGTCCGTCATACGCGCGTATAACGCTAGAAGTGTAAATATCATCATAGGTTAACATGGAAAAAAGTTATGCGCGTCTGCTGCGCGTATAACGTGTGCGTGCTGTAACGCGTGATGTGTAAATTAGCAGTGAGCCTGATGCAGATGTTGTTGTGACAGAAAACAAGGCCATCTTCTGGTTCTCGCGGCACATCTCCGTCTGGGGCAGTGTCTCGTTCTATTTGGCATTTCTGCTGAACGTGGTCGTCGCCGTGTTCTACCCGTTTGGTGACGATGACGACGAGGGTGAGTCCTCACACATGTAGGTCTCTGTCCTCACACATGTCTCTGTCTTCACACATGTAGGTCTCTGTCCTCACACATGTAGGTCTCTGTCCTCACATGTAGGTCTCTGTCCTCACACATGTAGGTCTCTGTCCTCACACATGTAGGTCTCTGTCCTCACACATGTAGGTCTCTGTCCTCACACATGTAGGTCTCAGTCCTCACACATGTAGGTCTCTGTCCTCACACATGTAGGTCTCTGTCCTCACACATGTCTCTGTCTTCACACATGTCTCTGTCCTCACACATGTAGGTCTCTGTCCTCACACATGTCTCTGTCTTCACACATGTCTCTGTCCTCACACATGTAGGTCTCTGTCTTCACACATGTCTCTGTCCTCACACATGTAGGTCTCTGTCCTCACACATGTAGGTCTCAGTCCTCACACATGTAGGTCTCAGTCCTCACACATGTAGGTCTCTGTCCTCACACATGTCTCTGTCCTCACACATACATGTAGGTCTCAGTCCTCACACATGTAGGTCTCAGTCCTCACACATGTAGGTCTCTGTCCTCACACATGTCTCTGTCCTCACACATGTAGGTCTCAGTCCTCACACATGTAGGTCTCTGTCCTCACACATGTAGGTCTCTGTATTCACACATGTAGGTCTCTCTGTGTTCCCTCTGTGTTCAGGTACTCTGCCTCCGCTCTGGAACATCCTGCTGTGGGTGTCTCTGGGAGTCTTCACCACTCTCCTTCCTGTTCTTCCCAAACCATGGGGCATTTTATTCTTCCTGGTGTCCCTCATCCTCAGAGCCATCTACACCATGGGTCTGCGACCAGCGCTGCTCCTGCTGGGCATCATCAATGTGAGTTTAGTGTGTGGTTATTCTCCTTATGGCTGTTGTTCACTGTTAGTAATGGATTTACCAACATTCTGAAGCCCCTTTTCTCCAAGGTCCTGGTCCTGGTCCTAGTGCTGGTCCTGGTCCTGGTTCTTGTTTTTCCATCAGTAGCCACGGCTAGTTACCACAGCAACGCCGTTTACTAGCAGCAGTATTTCTAATTGTATTCACCAGTTTTAGCATTTATTAGAAAGTAAAAAATAAACAAAAATGTACTTTTGTTATTTGTATAAAACTATTAAATAAATGGAATGGGAGCCGTCTAAATGTGGGACCCAGTGTAAAAATGTCCGTTTCTGAACCTCCGGTTGCACTGATTATTATTTATTTTAATGTTTTATTATCAATGTGTTTGTTTCTGTTGCAGCTCTTCAACAAACTGGTTTTTCTGGTTAGTTTTGTTGGAAACCAGGGAACGTTCACTCGTGGATACAAAGCGGTGGTGATGGACAAACTGTTCGTGTACCATCTGGCCTACGCTCTCATCTGTGTCCTGGGGCTCTTCGTCCACGAGTTCTTCTACAGCTTCTTGGTAAGAATCTGTTTCGATGTTTAAATTAGGCTTTTCTACAATATTAATTTATTCTTTGGAGTGATCAGAATACAAAATGGCCTCCGAGTAAAATATTATCTACAGCTTCATTTGGGTCAAAACCAGTGCTAAGATCAGTTCAATTCTATTTATTTGTGGATAAGTCCTAAGGACTTTAGACCCAGGACTGAGGCTGTAGACCCAGGACTGAGGCTGTAGATCCAGGACTGAGGCTGTATACCCAGGACTGAGGCTGTAGATCCAGGACTGAGGACTTTAGACCCAAGACTGAGGCTGTAGACCCAAGACTGAGGCTGTAGACCCAGGACTGAGGCTGTAGACCCAAGACTGAGGCTGTAGACCCAAGACTGAGGCTGTAGACCCAAGACTGAGGCTGTAGACCCAAGACTGAGGCTGTAGACCCAGGACTGAGGCTGTAGACCAAGGTGGGGAGGGGGTGCAGCCCACAAGTCCAGGTCGGGTGCAGATGGAGGAGGCCAGGTTTAGGGTCCCATCATCAAGCCATGGAACAAACAATGGGACAGCAGGTGAATAGCAATGAACAGACTACAGCTGAAGTCATTTAGAAGATGGGCCACTTCAAGAGACATTTCCAGAGTGGTCTTTGAACGTGCAGCAGCTGTAGTTTGAGCCGTTAGCTGCTATCGCTAACGTCCTCCGTGTTACCGACTCTCGTCCTGCAGCTGTTCGACCTTGTGATCCGCGAAGAGACGCTCCTGAACGTGATCAAGAGCGTGACGAGGAACGGCCGCTCCATCATCCTCACCGCCATCCTCGCCATCTTCCTCGTCTACTTCTTCTCCATCATCGGCTTCTTATTCTTCAAACACGACTTCCGTATGGAGGTGGACCGGCTCCCTGCAGGTACCTCCTCAGGCCGCACCTCCTCAGGCCGCACCTGACCATACCTCCTCTGGCCAAACCTCCTCTGACCACACCTCCTCTGACCACACCTCCTCAGACTACATCTGACCACACCTCCTCTGGTCACACCTCCTCTGACCACACCTCCTCTGACCACACCTCTCTGACCACACCTCCTCTGACCACTCCTCCTCTGACCACACCTCCTCTGACCACACCTCTTATGACCACACCTCTTATGACCACACCTCTTCTGACCACACCTCTTCTGACCACACCTCCTCTGGTCACACCTCCTCTGACCACACCTCCTCTGGTCACACCTCCTCTGGTCACACCTCTTCTGACCACACCTCCTCTGACCACACCTCCTCTGACCACACCTCCTCTGACCACACCTCCTCAGACTGCATCTGACCACACCTCCTCTGGTCACACCTCCTCTGACCACACCTCCTCTGACCACACCTCCTCTGACCACACCTCCTCTGACCACACCTCCTCTGACCACACCTCCTCTGACCACACCTCCTCAGACTGCATCTGACCACACCTCTTCAGACTGCATCTGACCACACCTCTTCAGACTGCATCTGACCACACCTCCTCTGACCACACCTTTCTGACCACACCTCTCTGACCACACCTCCTCTGGTCACACCTCCTCTGACCACACCTCCTCTGACCACACCTCCTCTGGTCACACCTCCTCTGACCACACCTCCTCTGACCACACCTCCTCTGACTGCATCTGACCACACCTCCTCTGGTCACACCTCCTCTGACCACACCTCCTCTGACCACACCTCCTCTGACCACACCTCCTCTGACCACACCTCCTCTGACCACACCTCCTCAGACTGCATCTGACCACACCTCCTCTGGTCACACCTCCTCTGACCACACCTCCTCTGACCACACCTCCTCTGGTCACACCTCCTCTGACCACACCTCTTTTGACCACACCTCCTCTGACCACACCTCCTCTGACCACACCTCCTCTCCCTAAAACCTTCTCATCAGGTCAGAAATCTAGGAGTAATAACTGAATTAGACCTAAAGTTTAACAGCCACATCACATCAGTAACATCTGCAGCTTTTTACATCTGAGAAACAAAACCATAGTATCTAAAGCAGGAGACTTATTCCGCTATAATCTGGAACAGTCTTCCTGAAAATTTTAGACTTCTTCTCTGACAAGGTTTAAATGAACTGTGCTACACAATTAAACTGTGGTGTGGTGGTGGCTGTGTGGCGGCTGTGTGGCGGCTGTGTGGCGGCTGTGTGGTGGCTGTGTGGCGGCTGTGTGGCGGCTGTGTGCCGGCTGTGTGCCGGCTGTGTGGCGGCTGTGTGCCGGCTGTGTGGCGGCTGTGTGGTGATGGCTGTGTGGCGGCTGTGTGGTGGCTGTGTGGCGGCTGTGTGGCGGCTGTGTGGTGGCTGTGTGGCGGCTGTGTGGCGGCTGTGTGGTGGCTGTGTGGCGGCTGTGTGGTGGCTGTGTGGCGGCTGTGTGGCGGCTGTGTGGCGGCTGTGTGGTGGCTGTGTGGCGGCTGTGTGGCGGCTGTGTGGCGGCTGTGTGGCGGCTGTGTGGTGGCTGTGTGGCGGCTGTGTGGGCAGGTGGATGCTGTGGCACATGCACCTGTTGCATAACGCGTCAGCTGAGTTTGTGAATGAGCCTCAGACAGACACAGAGCTTATGTAACAGACACTCAGACCTCAGACCGGGACCAGGGCTTCTGTAGGAGACCTGTGAGTGTGGAGCAGGACCATTCCCAACCAGGGGTTCACGGGTCTGCACTGGTGCAAAGATACTTTATTGATCCTGTAGGAGAAAGGCAGACAAACAAACACATCTAAAAGTGCAACAGCAGCAGGTGGTGAAAGCAGATATTTATTTAAAGTAAGACCAATGCATTACTATTATTATTATTATTTTCATTATATTTACTCCATACTCGGTGGTGATGAAGTACTGCAGTAGCCACAGCTGCCCTGGGGCATCTGGTAAAATGTTTTTGAAATGTTCATTAAAAGTTTTCTCCAAATCCCAGATGAGAAGCATCCAGAAGCTGTATTTGTCAGAGACTTCCAATTTGTTTGTGTATCGCCCTAAAGCACAACGTCTCTGAGGACTTGACAAAGTTGTCGATTCCCCAAAAACAGATCAGAGAATCACACAGTTCCAACACAGGGGATGACTACAGAAATGTTTAGGTGCGAGTAGAGTGTGAGCGATGAGGATGAAGCAGTAAAACATGTATGAAATAATATGTTGCTTGTGTCCAAACTGAGGCCCGAGGGCCAGATGCGGCCCGCTGTGTCAGGTATGTGGTCCCCCTCTAACACAAAGTACCATTGATATTATTATATTTATGTGAAGCTGTAAACACAGGAGGAAAAAGCCACGTAATGAATGAATGTAGAGGTTTTTTGTATATTCTGCTGTACATTACTAACACAGATTTCTGTTTTTTAGAGAGAAACAATCTGATGAGCAGCAAAGGACTCGCTAACACCTGCACCAATGATGGCTGCCCCAGTTCTGGTGAGATCAGAAATGAAAATATATTTCACTTTTATCCATTCTTAGCGTTTGTACCTAATACTGTACATACAGTGCCTTGCGAAAGTATTTGGCCCCCTTGAACCTTTCAACATTTTGCCACATTTCAGTCTTCAAACATAAAGATATAACATTTTAATTTTTTGTCATGAATCAACAACAAGTGGGACACAATCGTGAAGTGGAACGAAATTTATTGGATAATTTAAACTTTTTAAAAAAATAAAAAAACTGAAAATTGGGGCGTGCAATATTATTCGGCCCCTTTAATTTCAGTCCAGCAAACTCAGTCCAGAAGTTCAGTGAGGATCTTTGAATGATCCAATGTTGTCCTAAATGACTGATGATGATAAATAGAATGCACCTGTGTATAATCAAGTCTCCGTATAAATGCACCTGCTCTTTGATAGTCTCAGGGTTCTGTTTAAAGCGCAGAGAGAACCATGAAGACAAAGGAACACACCAGGCAGGTCTGAGATACTGTTGTGGAGAAGTTTAAAGCCGGATTTGGATACAAAAAGATTTCCCAAGCTTTAAACATCTCAAGGAGCACTGTGCAAGCAATTATATTGAAATGGAAGGAGTATCAGACCACTGCAAATCTACCAAGACCCGGCCGTCCCTCCAAACTTTCATCTCAAACAAGGAGAAGACTGATCAGAGATGCAGCCAAGAGGCCCGTGATCACTCTGGATGAACTACAGCTCAGGTGGGAGAGTCTGTCCATAGGACAACAATCAGTCGTGCACTGCACAAATCTGGCCTTTATGGAAGAGTGGCCATTTCTCAAAGATATCCAATAAAAGTCTCTTAAAGTTTGCCACAAGCCACCTGGGAGACACACCAAACATGTGGAAGAAGGTACTCTGGTCAGATGAAACCAAAATCAAACTTTTTGGCCACAATGCAAAACGATATGTTTGGCGTAAAAGCAACACAGCTCATCACCCTGAACACACCATCCCCACCTCAGCTGTAGTTATCTGCAGTTCATCCAGAGTGATCATGGGCCTCTTGGCTGCATCTCTGTTCAGTCTTCTCCTTGTTTGAGATGAAAGTTTGGAGGGACGGCCGGGTCTTGGTAGATTTGCAGTGGTCTGATACTCCTTCCATTTCAATATAATTGCTTGCACAGTGCTCCTTGAGATGTTTAAAGCTTGGGAAATCTTTTTGTATCCAAATCCGGCTTTACACTTCTCCACAACAGTATCTCGGACCTGCCTGGTGTGTTCCTTTGTCTTCATGGTTCTCTCTGCGCTTTAAACAGAACCCTGAGACTATCAAAGAGCAGGTGCATTTATACGGAGACTTGATTACACACAGGAGCATTCTATTTATCATCATCAGTCATTTAGGACAACATTGGATCATTCAAAGATCCTCACTGAACTTCTGGACTGAGTTTGCTGCACTGAAAGTAAAGGGGCCGAATAATATTGCACGCCCCACTTTTCAGTTTTTTATTTGTTAAAAAAGTTTAAATTATCCAACAAGTTTCATTCCACTTCACGATTGTGTCCCACTTGTTGTTGATTCATGACAAAAAATTAAAATGTTATATCTTTATGTTTGAAGCCTGAAATGTGGCGAAATGTTGAAAGGTTCAAGGGGGCCGAATACTTTCGCAAGGCACTGTATGTGTGCTGTAGAGTTTTCCTCAGAGCACACCTGGCTAATAGCACACTGGGCTAATAGCACACTTGGCTAATAGCACACCTGGCTAATAGCACACTGGGCTAATAGCACACTTGGCTAATAGCACACCTGGCTAATAGCACAATTGGCTAATAGCACACTTGGCTAATAGCACACCTGGCTAATAGCACACTGGGCTAATAGCACACTTGGCTAATAGCACACCTGGCTAATAGCACAATTGGCTAATAGCACACTTGGCTAATAGCACACCTGGCTAATAGCACACTTGGCTAATAGCACACTTGGCTAATAGCACACTTGGCTAATAGCACACTTCGCTAAACTTTTGTAAAAAATGTTATCTGTATATATTAATGTATACATTTCCCACATGAGTCAAAAGCAGAGGACACACGTCTCTACTGGACACTGAAGTATACGTTACCAAACCAAACCTGGTCATAATTACATAACATTTATAAAGAGATTGTTATAAAACAGCTTAGTTAAAAAAACCCTAAACTGATGTTAGCCACAATCATCGCTGAAATGTAGAGAGTCATACATACTTTTTCTTTTTGTGTTTAATTATAGAAATAAATAGACTTTTCCACAATATTCTAAGTTCCAAATGTTTACTTGAGCCACAAAACACAATATTGATGATCTTTAGTATTTAAGTCTTTCTCTGTGACACATGGATCCTGACCTTTAGGCCTCGGTCTCGCTCTGGTCTCTGCACAGAAAATAATCAACACAAAGAAACTCGATGAGGAGCGAGTGAGTCACCGCTGCTCTCCACCTGCATCACAGGGCTGCAACATGTGACTGAGACCAGAGCGAGACCGAGAGCAGAGAGAGAGAGACCAGAGAGAGGCAGAGACCAGACAGAGAGACCAGACAGAGAGACCAGACAGAGAGCCCAGACAGAGAGAGAGAGACCAGACAGAGAGACCAGACAGAGAGGGAGACCAGAGAGAGGGAGACCAGAGAGAGGGAGACCAGAGAGAGGGAGACCAGAGAGAGGGAGACCAGAGAGAGGGAGACCAGAGAGAGGGAGACCAGAGAGAGGGAGACCAGAGAGAGGGAGACCAGAGAGAGGGAGACCAGAGAGAGGGAGACCAGAGAGAGGGAGACCAGAGAGAGGGAGACCAGAGAGAGGGAGACCAGAGAGAGGGAGACCAGAGAGAGGGAGACCAGAGAGAGGGAGACCAGAGAGAGGGAGACCAGAGAGAGGGAGACCAGAGAGAGGGAGACCAGAGAGAGGGAGACCAGAGAGAGGGAGACCAGAGAGAGGGAGACCAGAGAGAGGGAGACCAGAGAGAGGGAGACCAGAGAGAGGGAGACCAGAGAGAGGGAGACCAGAGAGAGGGAGACCAGAGAGAGGGAGACCAGAGAGAGGGAGACCAGAGAGAGGGAGACCAGAGAGAGGGAGACCAGAGAGAGGGAGACCAGAGAGAGGGAGACCAGAGAGAGGGAGACCAGACAGAGAGACCAGACAGAGAGACCAGACAGAGAGACCAGACAGAGAGACCAGACAGAGAGACCAGACAGAGAGCCCAGACAGAGAGACCAGAGAGAGGGAGACCAGAGAGAGGGAGACCAGAGAGAGGGAGACCAGAGAGAGGGAGACCAGAGAGAGGGAGACCAGAGAGAGGGAGACCAGACAGAGAGACCAGACAGAGAGACCAGACAGAGAGACCAGAGAGAGGGAGACCAGAGAGAGGGAGACCCACACATTGATCTGTGTTTGTTGCAGGAGACGATGGGACAGAGCGAGTGTGTGACACTCTCCTCATGTGCATCATCACGGTCCTGAACCAGGGCCTTCGTAACGGAGGCGGCGTTGGGGACATCCTGCGGAGACCCTCTAAAGAGGTCACTACTACTACTATTTCTACTGTAGCCACAGCTGCCCTGGAGCACACTGACAGAAGCAAGGCAACCAGTCTGTGCCCTCAGCCCCTCCCACTCTCCCTGACTCAGGTTGCCAGATATGCAGACGAATCCAGCTGGGACCATAACAGCTGAATAGACAAGAGTTTTGTCAACAACAAATCTATAACCAACACCTTTTTCACAAAGATAGAAATCCTGGTTTTATTCCTTGTTTTGTTGTTAATGATTTGAGAATCATAACGAGACTTTTTTTAGTTCTGCGCCACATGGTACTTTACCAGTGAGATTAGCTCCACACGGTGAGTTCTGACACCAGGATCACAGACTTTCTGATTGGTGAAACGGTGGAGGGCGAAATGAAAACAATAACAAGATTTAGGGGCTGTGAAAGTAATTTATAAATTCAAATATCTCTGAACTACTGTTATCAGTTAAATAAGTATTGGAAAAGAGCAGTTTATTATTATGACAGATTAGGGCCCTTTAATGATGACAGATTAGGGCCCTTTAATGATGACAGATTAGGGCCCTTTAATGATGACAGATTAGGTCCCTTTAATTATGACAGATTAGGGCCCTTATGACAGATTAGGGCCCTAGAATGATTACAGATTAGGCCCCTTTTAATGACGACAGATTAGGGCCCTTTAATGATGACATATTAGGGCCCTTTAATGATTACAGAATAGGGCCCTTTAATGATGAAAGATTAGGGCTCTTTAATTACAGAATAGGGCCCTTTAATGATGGCAGAATAAGGCCATTTAATGATGACAGATTAGGGCCCTTTAATGATGACAGATTAGGGCCCTTTAATGATGACAAATTAGGTCCCTTTAATTATGACAGATTAGGGCCCTTTAATTATGACAGAATAGGGCCCTTGAATGATTACAGATTAGGGTCCTTTAATGATGACAGATTAGGGTCCTTTAATGATGACAGATTAGGGCCCTTTAATGATTACAGAATAGGGCCCTTTAATGATGAAAGATTAGGGCCCTTTAATGATTACAGAATAGGGCCCTTTAATGATAGATTAGGGCCCTTGAATGATTACAGATTAGGTCCCTTTTAATGATGACAGATTAGGGCCCTTTAATGATGACAGATTAGGGCCCTTGAATGATAACAGATTAGGGCTCTTGAATGATGAAAGATTAGGGCCCTTGAATGATGACAGATTAGGGCCCTTGAATGATGACAGATTAGGGCCCTTGAATGATGACAGATTAGGGCCCTTGAATGACAGATTAGGGCCCTTGAATGATGACAGATTAGGGCCCTTTAATTATTACAGAATAGGGCCCTTTAATGATTAAAGAATAGTGCCCTTTAATGATAGATTAGGGCCCTTTAATGATGACATATTAGGGCCCTTTAATGATGACAGATTAGGGCCCTTTAATGACAGATTAGGGCCCTTTAATTATGACAGATTAGGGCCCTTTAATTATGACAGAATAGGGCCCTTTAATTATGACAGAATAGGGCCCTTTAATTATGACAGAATAGGGCCCTTTAATGATGACAGAATAGGGCCCTTTAATTATGACAGATTAGGGCCCTTGAATGATTACAGATTAGGGCCCTTGAATGATGACAGATTAGGGCCCTTTAATGATTACAGAATAGGGCCCTTTAATGATGAAAGATTAGGGCCCTTTAATGCTGACAGATTAGGGCCCTTGAATGATTACAGATTAGGTCCCTTTAATGACAGATTAGGGCCCTTTAATGACAGATCAGGACCCTTTAATTATGACAGATTAGAGCCCTTTAATGATGACAGAATAGGGCCCTTTAATGATGACAGAATAGGGCCCTTTAATTATGATGGAATAGGGCCCTTTAATGATGACAGAATAGGGCCCTTTAATTATGACAGATTAGGGCCCTTGAATGATTACAGATTAGGATCCTTTAATGATGACAGATTAGGGCCCTTTAATGATTACATAATAGGGTCCTTTAATGATGAAATATTAGGGCCCTTTAATGATTACAGAATAGGGCCCTTTAATGCTGACAGATTAGGGCCCTTGAATGATTACAGATTAGGTCCTTTTTAATGATGACAGATTAGGGCCCTTTAATGATGACATATTAGGGCCCTTGAATGATGAAAGATTAGGGCCCTTGAATGATGACAGATTAGGGCCCTTGAATGATGACAGATTAGGGCCCTTGAATGATGACAGATTAGGGCCCTTGAAGGATGACAGATTAGGGCCCTTGAAGGATGACAGATTAGGGCCCTTGAATGATGACAGATTAGGGCCCTTGAATGATGACAGATTAGGGCCCTTGAATGATGACAGATTAGGGCCCTTGAATGATGACAGATTAGGGCCCTTGAATGATGACAGATTAGGGCCCTTGAATGATGACAGATTAGGGCCCTTGAATGATGACAGATTAGGGCCCTTTAATGATGACAGATTAGGGCCCTTCAATTATTACAGAATAGGGCCCTTTAATGATTAAAGAATAGTGCCCTTTAATGATGAAAGATTAGGGCCCTTTAATGATTAAAGAATAGGGCCCTTTAATGATGAAAGATTAGGGCCCTTGAATGATTACAGATTAGGGTCCTTTAATGATGACAGATTAGGGTCCTTTAATGATGACAGATTAGGGCCCTTTAATGATTACAGAATAGGGCCCTTTAATGATGAAAGATTAGGGCCCTTTAATGATTACAGAATAGGGCCCTTTAATGATAGATTAGGGCCCTTGAATGATTACAGATTAGGTCCCTTTTAATGATGACAGATTAGGGCCCTTTAATGATGACAGATTAGGGCCCTTGAATGATAACAGATTAGGGCTCTTGAATGATGAAAGATTAGGGCCCTTGAATGATGACAGATTAGGGCCCTTGAATGATGACAGATTAGGGCCCTTGAATGACAGATTAGGGCCCTTGAATGATGACAGATTAGGGCCCTTTAATGATTACAGATTATGGCCCTTTAATGATGACAGATTAGGGCCCTTTAATTATTACAGAATAGGGCCCTTTAATGATTAAAGAATAGTGCCCTTTAATGATAGATTAGGGCCCTTTAATGATGACATATTAGGGCCCTTTAATGATGACAGATTAGGGCCCTTTAATGACAGATTAGGGCCCTTTAATTATGACAGATTAGGGCCCTTTAATTATGACAGAATAGGGCCCTTTAATTATGACAGAATAGGGCCCTTTAATTATGACAGAATAGGGCCCTTTAATGATGACAGAATAGGGCCCTTTAATTATGACAGATTAGGGCCCTTGAATGATTACAGATTAGGGCCCTTGAATGATGACAGATTAGGGCCCTTTAATGATTACAGAATAGGGCCCTTTAATGATGAAAGATTAGGGCCCTTTAATGATTACAGAATAGGGCCCTTTAATGCTGACAGATTAGGGCCCTTGAATGATTACAGATTAGGTCCCTTTAATGACAGATTAGGGCCCTTTAATGACAGATCAGGACCCTTTAATTATGACAGATTAGAGCCCTTTAATGATGACAGAATAGGGCCCTTTAATGATGACAGAATAGGGCCCTTTAATTATGATGGAATAGGGCCCTTTAATGATGACAGAATAGGGCCCTTTAATTATGACAGATTAGGGCCCTTGAATGATTACAGATTAGGATCCTTTAATGATGACAGATTAGGGCCCTTTAATGATTACATAATAGGGTCCTTTAATGATGAAATATTAGGGCCCTTTAATGATTACAGAATAGGGCCCTTTAATGCTGACAGATTAGGGCCCTTGAATGATTACAGATTAGGTCCTTTTTAATGATGACAGATTAGGGCCCTTTAATGATGACATATTAGGGCCCTTGAATGATGAAAGATTAGGGCCCTTGAATGATGACAGATTAGGGCCCTTGAATGATGACAGATTAGGGCCCTTGAATGATGACAGATTAGGGCCCTTGAAGGATGACAGATTAGGGCCCTTGAATGATGACAGATTAGGGCCCTTGAATGATGACAGATTAGGGCCCTTGAATGATGACAGATTAGGGCCCTTGAATGATGACAGATTAGGGCCCTTGAATGATGACAGATTAGGGCCCTTGAATGATGACAGATTAGGGCCCTTGAATGATGACAGATTAGGGCCCTTGAATGATGACAGATTAGGGCCCTTTAATGATGACAGATTAGGGCCCTTCAATTATTACAGAATAGGGCCCTTTAATGATTAAAGAATAGTGCCCTTTAATGATGAAAGATTAGGGCCCTTTAATGATTAAAGAATAGGGCCCTTTAATGATGAAAGATTAGGGCCCTTTAATGATGACAGAATAGGGCCCTTTAATGATGACAGAATAGGGCCCTTTAATTATGACAGAATAGGGCCCTTTAATGATGACAGAATAGGGCCCTTTAATGATTACAGAATAGGGCCCTTTAATGATGACAGATTAGGGCCCTTTAATTATGACAGATTAGGGCCCTTTAATGATGACAAAATAGGGCCCTTTAATGATGACAGATTAGGGCCCTTTAATGAGGACTCAACATGAGAATGGTACATATTGCAGGAGCCTCTGTTCGCGGCGCGGGTGGTGTACGACCTGCTCTTCTTCTTCGTGGTCATCATCATCGTCCTCAACCTCATTTTTGGCGTCATCATCGACACGTTCGCCGACCTGAGGAGCGAGAAACAGAGGAAAGAGGAGATCCTGAAGACCACCTGCTTCATCTGTGGTGAGAGAGACCAGAGAGAGACCAGAGAGAGACCAGAGAGAGACCAGAGAGAGAGACCAGAGAGAGAGACCAGAGAGAGAGACCAGAGAGAGAGACCAGAGAGAGAGACCAGAGAGAGAGACCAGAGAGAGAGACCAGAGGGAGAGACCAGAGGGAGAGACCAGAGGGAGAGACCAGAGGGAGAGACCAGAGGGAGAGACCAGAGGGAGAGACCAGAGGGAGAGACCAGAGGGAGAGACCAGAGGGAGAGACCAGAGGGAGAGACCAGAGGGAGAGACCAGAGGGAGAGACCAGAGGGAGAGACCAGAGGGAGAGACCAGAGGGAGAGACCAGCGAGAGAGACCAGCGAGAGAGACCAGAGTGAGAGACCAGAGTCGGACTTTCTGAGTGGAGTTTGCATGTTCTCCCTGTGTCTGCGTAGGTTTCCTCCGGGTACTTCGGTTTCCCCTACCACTAAAAATATGGTCAATAGGTCTGGCATGCGCCTCCTGTTCGGCGACCCCACTCCTGTCTCTGTGTGGAGTGAGAGACAAATGCCCAAAAAATAACAATTGTGCTTTGAGACTCTGGTCTGTGAAAGGCGGTATATAAATAAAGCTTACTTACTTACTTACTTACAGAGTGACACCAGAGAGAGAGACCAGAGAGAGAGAGAGCAAAGACACTCCTGTATCTTAGCCAACAATATGTTCTGTCAGAGGGAAGAAGCTGGACCATGGCTGTGGTTATAAAGTATTTTCTTACGTCAGATTCAGTGTTGGTCAAACGTTAGAATCAAATGTCACTTTATTCTTTAACAAAGACTTATTATGATATTTCTACTGTTGTGTGTGAGTCAAACTGGAGAAGCAGCCGTAGAGTAAGAACCACACTAACAGTTTAAATATCTCTTGTGTCTAAATCAGTCTGTTGCTGAGGTCTTCTTTTGTCCAGGTTTGGAAAGAGATAAATTCGACAACAAGACGGTGTCGTTTGAGGAACACATCAAATCTGAGCACAACATGTGGCACTACCTCTACTTCCTGGTTCTGGTGCGAGTCAAGGACCCCACGGAGTACACGGGTCCAGAGAGCTACGTGGCCCAGATGATCGCGGTGAGTCCCGAGTCCCGAGTCCTGAGTTCACGCTTTTATCTGTAAACAACAAATCCATTTTTGTATCGAGACATAAAGAGTTTCTCTGTGTTTTACAACGAGAGGTTTATGGGACTGGCTTTAGACTTATCTGTCATATTAGTCCTGGGTCTACCTCAGTCCTGGGTCTACAGCCTCAGTCCTGGGTCTACCTCAGTCCTGGGTCTACAGCCTCAGTCCTGGGTCTACAGTCTCAGTCCTGGGTCTACAGCCTCAGTCCTGGGTCTACAGCCTCAGTCCTGTATCTACAGCCTCAGTCCTGGGTCTACAGCCTCAGTCCTGGGTCTACAGCCTCAGTCCTGGGTCTACAGCCTCAGTCCTGGGTCTACAGCCTCAGTCCTGGGTCTACAGCCTCAGTCCTGGGTCTACAGCCTCAGTCCTGGGTCTACAGCCTCAGTCCTGGGTCTACAGCCTCAGTCCTGGATCTACAGCCTCAGTCCTGGATCTACAGCCTCAGTCCTGGGTCTACAGCCTCAGTCCTGGGTCTACAGCCTCAGTCCTGGGTCTACAGCCTCAGTCCTGGGTCTACAGTCTCAGTCCTGGGTCTACAGCCTCAGATTCTACAAACTTCTGTAAATCGTTCCTACAGTTTATTTTTCCAAACGAAAGCCTCTAAATCCTAATGTGAGTCTGTGAGATCCAGAATACAGATGATGCCTGGGACCAGCTGCTCTGTCTCAGCTCTGTGCCCAGCTTCACAATGTGTCTCCTCCTCCTGTCTCCTCCTCATGTGTCTCCCCCTCATGTGTCTGCTCCTCATGTGTCTCCTCCTCATGTGTCTGCTCCTCATGTGTCTGCTTCTCATGTGTCTCCTCCTCATGTGTCTGCTCCTCATGTGTCTCCTCCTCATGTGTCTGCTCCGCATGTGTCTCCTCCTCCTGTCTCCTCCTCATGTGTCTCCCCCTCATGTGTCTGCTCCTCATGTGTCTCCTCCTCATGTGTCTGCTTCTCATGTGTCTGCTTCTCATGTGTCTCCTCCTCATGTGTCTGCTCCTCATGTGTCTGCTCCTCATGTGTCTGCTCCTCATGTGTCTGCTCCTCATGTGTCTGCTCCTCATGTGTCTGCTCCTCATGTGTCTCCTCCTCATGTGTCTGCTCCTCATGTGTCTGCTCCTCATGTGTCTGCTCCTCATGTGTCTCCTCCTCATGTGTCTGCTCCTCATGTGTCTCCTCCTCATGTGTCTGCTTCTCATGTGTCTCCTCCTCATGTGTCTGCTCCTCATGTGTCTGCTCCTCATGTGTCTGCTCCTCATGTGTCTGCTCCTCATGTGTCTGCTCCTCATGTGTCTGCTCCTCATGTGTCTCCTCCTCATGTGTCTGCTCCTCATGTGTCTGCTCCTCATGTGTCTCCTCCTCATGTGTCTGCTCTTCATGTGTCAGCTCCTCATGTGTCTCCTCCTCATGTGTCTGCTCCTCATGTGTCAGCTCCTCCTGTGTCAGCTCCTCATGTGTCTCCTCCTCATGTGTCTGCTCTTCATGTGTCAGCTCCTCATGTGTCTCCTCCTCATGTGTCTGCTCCTCATGTGTCAGCTCCTCATGTGTCAGCTCCTCATGTGTCAGCTCCTCATGTGTCTCCTCCTCATGTGTCTGCTCCTCATGTGTCTGCTCCTCATGTGTCTGCTCCTCATGTGTCTGCTCCTCATGTGTCTGCTCCTCATGTGTCTGCTCATCATGTGTCTCCTCCTCATGTGTCTGCTCCTCATGTGTCAGCTCCTCATGTGTCTCCTCCTCATGTGTCTCCTCCTCATGTGTCTGCTCCTCATGTGTCTCCTCCTCATGTGTCTCCTCCTCATGTGTCTGCTCCTCATGTGTCTGCTCCTCATGTGTCAGCTCCTCATGTGTCTGCTCCTCCTGTGTCAGCTCCTCATGTGTCTCCTCCTCATGTGTCTGCTCCTCATGTGTCTGCTCCTCATGTGTCTGCTCCTCATGTGTCTGCTCCTCATGTGTCTGCTCCTCATGTGTCTGCTCCTCATGTGTCTGCTCCTCATGTGTCTGCTCCTCATGTGTCTGCTCCTCCTGTCTGCTCCTCCTCATCTCTCTGCTCCTCATGTGTCCTGTTGTGTCTCCTCTACCCCCTCTCTCCTGTCTCCACCCCACCCCCCCCTCCCCTCTCTCCACCCCCCCCACCCCCCCCCTCCCCTCTCTCCCATGATGCTTCACTCCACATGCGTGTGACCGTCCACTCAAGCAGCACTTTGTATTCTGGGCTGATAACTGGTCCTGCTCAGATCTGAGGTTTGTTAATCCATCGGTTCCTGGTTTGTTGATGGTGAAGTGATGAGAAAGACTTCAGTTGTGGACCTGGGTGGTTCTGAGTGTTCTGAGTGTTCTGTGAAGCCTCAGACGCTGAGGCCCAGATCCAGATCCAAACAAAGAAAGTGTAGTCTATTCTCCGAGCTTCACTAATCCATGTTCTCTGCAGTCTCTGGGACCGTGGACCGTCTCAATCTGACCTTGTTCAAAACCACTTTCCAGGAGTTTGAAAACGTTTATGGAGCGTTGATAATAACTGTTTCCGCATCATTCGTTTCTCAGTTGTATCTATTTCAATGTGTTTTTCAAATCAGCAGATTTCAGATTCTATGGGGTTTTTTTCTACACATTTGTTCTGGCTGGAGTTCTCCCCGGTAAACGAGAGGGTCGCGTCCCTCCACCTCCGGGTGGGGGACAAGTCTCTCATTGTTGTGACGGCCTACGGGCCTAACAGCAGTGCAGAGTACCCGGCCTTCTTGGAGTCCTTGGGAGGGGTACTGGACGGTGCACCACCCGGGGACTCCGTTATTCTCCTGGGGGACTTCAACGCCCATGTGGGAAACGCCAGTGACACTTGGAGAGGGGTGATCGGGAAGAACGGCCCCCCTGATCTGAACCCGAGCGGTGTTCAGTTGTTGGACTTCTGTGCCAGTCACAGTTTGTCCATCACAAACACCATGTTCGAGCACAAGGGTGTTCACCAGTGCACGTGGCACCAGGACGTGCTCCTAGTCATGTGTCTGCTCCTCATGTGTCTCCTCTTCCTGTCTCCTCCTCATGTGTCCTCTAGGCCGGAGGTCGATGATCGACTTTGTTGTCGTATCATCTGACCTTCGACCGCCATGATGGTTCGGGGGACTCCTGAGGCAGCTGTCCAGTACCGGCAGGCCAAGCGTGCCGCGGCCCGGGCTGTTGCAGAAGCAAAAACCCGGGACTGGGAGGAGTTCGGAGAGTCCATGGAGCATGACTATCGGTCGGCCTCGAAGAGATTCTGGCAAACCATCCGGCGCCTCAAGAGGGGGAAGCAGTTCTTTGCCAACACCATGTACGGTGCGGGTGGAGGGCTGCTGACCTCGACTGGGGATATTGTCGGGCGGTGGAAGGAATACTTTGAGGTTCTCCTTAATCCCCCCGTCATGTCCTCTGTTACAGAGGCAGAGGCTGAGGATGTTGGGGCGGATACATCCATCTCCCTGGCTGAGGTCACCAAGGTGGTTGGCAGCCTCCATGGTGGCAAGGCTCCGGGTGTGGATGAGATCCGCCCTGATTATCTAAAGTCTCTGGATGTTGTAGGACTGTCTTGGCTGACACGTCGTGGCGATCGGGGGCGGTGCCAATGGAGTGGCAGACCGGGGTGGTGGTCCCTCTCTACAAGAAGGGGGACCGGAGGGTGTGTTCCAATTATCGTGGGATCACACTCCTCAGCCTCCCCGGTAAGGTCTACTCCAAGGTACTGGAGAGGAGGCTACGGCCGATGGTCGAATCTCGGATCCAGGAGGAGCAGTGTGGTTTTCGTCCCGGTCGCGGAACACTGGACCAACTCTATACTCTCCATCGGATACTCGAGGGTTCATGGGAGTTCGCCCAACCTGTCCACATATACTTTTTGGATTTGGAGAAGGCGTTCGACTGTGTTCCCCGGGGACTCCTTTGGGGGGTTCTCCGGGAGTACGGGGTCGGAGGTCGGAGGTCGGAGGTACTGAGGGCCATCCGATCCCTGTATGACCGGAGCCAGAGCTGTGTTCGCATTGCCGGCAGTAAGTCAGACCTGTTCCCGGTGAATGTTGGCCTCCGACAGGGCTGCCCTTTGTCACCGGTTCTGTTCACTGTATTTATGGACAGAATTTCAAGGCGCAGCCAGGGGTCGGAGGGGGTCCGGTTCGGAGACCACAGGATTTCATCTCTGCTGTTTGCGGACGATGTTGTCCTGTTGGCTCCAACGAACCAGGACCTGCAGCATGCACTGGGGCGGTTTGCAGCCGAGTGTGAAGCGGCTGGGATGAGAATCAGCACCTCCAAATCCGAGGCCATGGTGCTCGACCGGAAAAAGGTGCCTTGCCCTCTACAGGTGGGTGGAGAGGTCCTTCCTCAAGTGGAGGAGTTCAAGTATCTCGGGGTCTTGTTCACGAGTGAGGGAAGAATGGAGCGTGAGATTGACAGGCGGATCGGTGCAGTGTGCGCAGTGATGCGGCCGCTGTATCGGACCGTTGTGGTAAAGAGGGAGCTGAGCCGAAAGGCAAAGCTCTTGATTTACCGGTCAATCTTCGTTCCCTCCCTCACCTCTGGTCATGAGCTTTGGGTAGTGACCGAAAGAACGAGATCGCGGATACAAGCGGTCGAAATGAGCTTCCTCCGCAGAGTGGCTGGGCGCTCCCTTAGAGATAGGGTGAGGAGCTCGGTCACACGGGAGGAGCTCGGAGTAGAGCCGCTGCTTCTCCACGTTGAGAGGAACCAGTTGAGGTGGCTCGGGCATCTGTTCCGGATGCCTCCTGGACGCCTCCCTGGGGAGGTGTTCCGGGCACGTTCCACCGGGAGGAGGCCTCGCGGAAGACCTAGGACACGCTGGAGGGACTATGTCTCTCAGCTGGCCTGGGAACGCCTTGGGGTCCCCCCGGACGAGCTGGAGGAAGTGTGTGTGGATAGGGAAGTCTGGGCGTCTCTGCTTAGACTGCTGCCCCCGCGACCCGGCAACGGATAAAGCGGAAGAAAATGGATGGATGGATGGATGGACATTTGTTCTGGGATCGTGTCCAGCAGACGACACTGATGTCACAAAGAGTCCACAATATTACAACTTCACCAGAGTAGTCCTGTGTAACCAGTACCAGGTCCTTCTTTAGTCCTTCATGGTCCTGTGTGACCAGTACCAGGTCCTTCTTTAGTCCTTCATGGTCCTGTGTGACCAGTACCAGGTCCTTCTTTAGTCCTTCATGGTCCTGTGTGACCAGTACAAGGTCCTTCATGGTCCTGTGTGACCAGTACCAGGTCCTTCTTTAGTCCTTCATGGTCCTGTGTGACCAGTACCAGGTCCTTCTTTAGTCCTTCATGGTCCTGTGTAACCAGTACCAGGTCCTTCTTTAGTCCTTCATGGTCCTGTGTGACCAGTACCAGGTCCTTCTTTAGTCCTTCATGGTCCTGTGTGACCAGTACCATGTCCTTCTTTAGTCCTTCATGGTCCTGTGTGACCGAGTGTGTTTCGGACACTCGGGTAAAGAGAGGGGCGGAGCTGTCAACCGATCACCACCTGGTCGTGAGTTGGATCCGCTGGCAGGGGAAGAAGCCGGTCAGACCTGGCAGACCCAAGCGTGTAGTGAGGGTCTGCTGGGAACGTCCGTCTGACCCCTGTCAGACGGACTTTCAACTCACACCTCCGGGAGAGCTTCTCCCAGGTCCCGGCGGAGGAGGGGGATATTGAGTCTGAGTGGACCATGTTCTCTTCCTCTATCGCCGATGCGGCGGCTCGTAGCTGTGGTCGCAAGGTCTCTGGTGCTGGTCCCGGCGGCAACCCCCGAACCCGGTGGTGGACACCGGCAGTAAGGGATGCCGTCAGGCTGAAGGAGTCCTATCGAGCCATGATGGTTCGGGGGACTCCTGAGGCAGCTGTCCAGTACCGGCAGGCCAAGCGTGCCGCGGCCCGGGCTGTTGCAGAGGCAAAAACCCGGGACTGGGAGGAATTCGGAGAGTCCATGGAGCATGACTATCGGTCGGCCTCGAAGAGATTCTGGCAAACTGTCCATCGCCTCAGGAGGGGGAAGCAGTTCTTTGCCAACACCGTGTACGGTGCGGGGGGTGAGCTGCTGACCTCGACCGGGGATATTGTCGGACGGTGGAAGGAATACTTTGAGGTTCTCCTCAATCCCCCCGTCACGTCCTCCGCTCCGGAGGCAGAGGCTGAGGATGTTGGGGCGGATACTTCTGTCACCCTGGCAGAGGTCACCAAGGTGGTTGGCAGCCTCCTTGGTGGCAAGGCGCCGGGAGTGGATGAGATCCGTCCTGACTATCTAAAGTCTCTGGATGTTGTAGGACTGTCTTGGCTGACACGTCTCTGCAACATCGCGTGGCGATCGGGGGCGGTGCCAATGGAGTGGCAGACTGGGGTGGTGGTCCCTCTCTACAAGAAGGGGGACCGGAGGGTGTGTTCCAATTATCGTGGGATCACACTCCTCAGCCTCCCTGGTAAGGTTTACTCCAAGGTACTGGAGAGGAGGTTACGGCCGATGGTCGAATCTCGGATTCAGGAGGAGCAGTGTGGTTTTCGTCCCGGCCGTGGAACACTGGACCAGCTCTACACTCTCCATCGGATACTCGAGGGTTCATGGGAGTTCGCCCAACCTGTCCACATGTGCTTTGTGGATTTGGAGAAGGCGTTCGACCGTGTTCCCCGGGGTGTCCTTTGGGGGGTCCTCCGTGAGTACGGGGTCCGGGGTCCTCTGCTGAGGGCCGTCCGGTCCCTGTATGACCGGAGCCAGAGCTGTGTTCGCATTGCCGGCAGTAAGTCAGACCTGTTCCCGGTGCATGTTGGCCTCCGCCAGGGCTGCCCTTTGTCACCGATTCTGTTCACTGTATTCATGGACAGAATTTCTAGGCGCAGCCAAGGGTCGGAGGGGGTCCGGTTCGGGGACCACAGGATTTCATCTCTGCTGTTTGCAGACAATGTTGTCCTGTTGGCTCCAACGAACCAGGACCTACAACATGCACTGGGACGGTTTGCAGCCGAGTGTGAAGCGGCTGGGATGAGAATCAGCACCTCCAAATCTGAGGCCATGGTGCTCGACCGGAAA